GTACCTTGTTATGTGAAGCACTGGATTACTGTACCTTGTTATGTGAAGCACTGTACCTTGTTATGTGAAGCACTGGATTACTGTACCTTGTTATGTGAAGCCCTGGATTACTGTACCTTATTATGTGAAGCACTGGATTACTGTACCTTGTTATGTGAAGCACTGGATTACTGTACCTTGTTATGTGAAGCACTGGATTACTGTACCTTGTTATGTGAAGCCCTGGATTACTGTACCTTGTTATGTGAAGCACTGGATTACTGTACCTTGTTATGTGAAGCACTGGATTACTGTACCTTGTTATGTGAAGCACTGGATTACTGTACCTTGTTATGTGAAGCCCTGGATTACTGTACCTTGTTATGTGAAGCACTGGATTACTGTACCTTGTTATGTGAAGCCCTGGATCGCTGTACCTGTACACATAGTGTATATGTGATAGCAGCGAAAATTCAGGAAAGAAGTTTACCGGTACACCTCGGTCCCGCTCAAAATAAGGAATGGACGGTTAGAAATAAGAAATATTATTGTAAATAGTGTATGTATAGTTAGAATAAAAAAGAGATATTTTTGATAAAATCAACAGTTTAATACACAAACATACAATAAAATATTTTAGATATGGTCAAGTAGGCCCAGATTCGTCAACTTGCTTAAATGAAAACTCGCCTCCAAAGTATTAAATTTGCTACTTACAGACTGGAGTTCAACATCGGCGCCAATTCTAAATTGTAATGAAAGCAGAGAGTTAAAAACTAAATAAGAAGAGGTGTTATTAGATTAGGAAAGAATGGGCGTTGCCACAGTGGCGGCGTACGATATACTGACTACTAGATATACCTGATTGGATCCGTCTGAAGAAGCAAGAATATCTCTCCTTCATGCCGAGAGCGTAGCAGATTTTGAACTAGATGATCCAATACTATTCCTTCCTGAGACTTTGCTGGTCATCCCCAACTCCTGCAGTGGTCAATGGATACCACCTGTATGCCATGCCACGTATAGCTAAAATAGTACAGAAAAACTGAAGACATCGAATTCATTGGAATGACATCCCCTGTCGAGGAAGATAATTTTACCACAAATAAATGCAAACTGAAAATTTTAATTATATATATGCATTTTTTTAACCTGCTTTGAAAATAGTTTCATTCAATCCATAGATTAGCAGGTCTCAATACACGGAAGAAAGGTCGAATTTGGCTCAACTTTGAATAATGCGAAAATCGTATAATCCTAGTTTATGGGTGAAACGGAAATGGAATTGTTTATTGGAATGTTATTGATACAAAAGAGAAATTGATCGTACAACAATAAGACAGCGTAACAACATTAATTCTTACTTAACAATTTTTACCATAACTTATTCCCCATAACAATTAATTACAGCCATATCAACGGCATGTATTTGCTGTAATGCAAAAGACCAATCGAACTCAAAGCAAGTGATAACACACTATTCACAGTTTGGATATATGGCATAAAATCTATTCGTTTGTTTGTCTTCTGTAAACCCATCTAGATTAAAGTTAACTTAATGAACGAATATACATTCATCTTGAAAAAAAGCATTGCATACCAAATCCATAACGTGACAATGATCATGTATTCTGTAATACTATTAAACTTCCTGAAGATCGAAATCTGTTGAAAGGGTTGACAATCCTACAAGTTCTGAAAGGTCTTTACAATTTTTACAGTAAAAACCTGCGAACAAAGACTCTGATTACACAAGTATTAGTGATGTGATACAACAATATCGACTGACACTTTATTTATCTATACTGTTTCTAAAATGTCTATAATTTGATAAAATTGTGATGTATCATAACGATGCTTTGAAGTTATACAAACAATAGTTGAGCGTAATATAAATTGATCTATCAATAAGTAATTTCTGTAATCGAGTTTTACTGAACAATATAACAATATAAAGTTGATAAGGACAGACTTTAGTGTTTCATGTATATGCAATTTATATTTAATGTATTCCGTATAGTACGTCCCTAGCATATAGAATGATTTCTAAAACTTAATTTCCGTAATAATAAAATTGTTAGAATTTTCTCCGATTTTATCAAGAAATGTTCCCTAGAGTTTGGTTTTGCTGTGTTAAAGCTATACTTTATGTGCTTGCATATATACATCTGTTTCAACTTTCTTATTGGACAACATATACAAGGTGTGGAGTTAAATATGCAGCATCATGCTGTTGGGCTGGATGTGTAGATTTGAAGAATTGGTTCAATTTAAGGAATAAAATCTTTGATATTGCTGAAATGTCATAAGATGTTCTAGCTGAAGATGTAGAGTAGAATTCATGACCTGGATATATTGTAAGACCTGACTGTGAATAACTCCTTTGAAAGTTTTATGATATTCACATATATGCGAATCATTTGTCTGTAAACTTGTAAATATGTCAACGCAATATGTATAACTTCTCTGATGTAAGTTTAAAACTTATCCAATTTATTAATTATGTGTTCAGTTGGTTGAAACCTTGAGTAGAGGTGTTGGATGTTGATTACGTTGGTTGTGCATTTATAGCATAAAGAGAAGTACAAGATATCTCATGAACTTGTGAAAAAGTTAACATTCACACAACAGTACTACGCTTGATTACATTCTGATGGTCATTGGCAAAGGTTTCAGGTTCATAGGTCACTCTCGACCAGTTTTTGTGGAAAATGCTCGTGTGCAAGGTATTTCATAAACTTCTGAACAGATTTAGCTAAATATTCACAAGATCAATGTTACACCTGTTAGCGTTCTGGCGTCTTCATTCTTTGAGTGATTCTCTTCAAACTTCATACACTGATAAAGCATCAAAATATTTCGAACAAATTGAAGTTGCAGTGTTATTGGGTAAAGGTCAAGGTCGCCATTAAAAACAATGTCAGAGCAGTAGCGGATTTTTTACCTTGAGGAAATTTCATCAAACTTCACTCACGTTTTAAAAAGTATGAAAATATCTTGTACAAGTTTGAGTTTGAATCACTTACAATTTTTAGAAAATCATTGTTAGAGCTCAATCAGTTTAACTCATAAAAATATACATTTTTAAAATACTAAAAATATTTTGATCAGGGTTGAATTTTAGGCTTATTGGTTCAAGTGCACCATTGTGATTTTTAGAAAAAAATTATTACTTAAGTGGCTCCATGCCTTAAAGAATTTTGATCAAACTGCTTACAAATGACCATGATACATTATAAAAATTAGTGATAAATATCTCAGATGGTCGTACTTATTTATTGTATTATTCCTTTGAAATCAGTAACAAATTAATGGTATACTTAACACCAAACAGCACCACTTTTATAAATAATTACAAAGTAATAGATTGTGGGGGCTCTCTATCCTTGTTGCAGTAGTGTTCCCTTCGGGTACATGGTATGCTTATTTTCACAGTTTTAAATGCAATACTATAGTCATGAATTTCACCTGTATTTGTAATTGTTTTACATCCCAAAGAAAGAAAGAAATCATTGCGTGTGCCAATTTAGGGCAAACATGCAGGTCTTGACGTGAATGACGTTTGAGATAATAAAGTATTAATATTTTTCAGTTCAGTTGTTCGTGGGACTCGTGGTCACTAAGCCATGCCATAGCAGAACTCACACACAAAACTGCTTATGTAGCTCTGATGACGGGTGTTATAGAATGCCAAACATTACAGCAGCTTACTAGATAAAGTTATGTAAGATTAATGTCAGATTTAAAATTGAGATGCTCTTTGCGCTTCATCCTTAATATCATTTTCATGATCCATGATCTTACAAAACAAAATATTTTTATTGCGTTAGAGCACCTCATCAAAAGATATGTTGGGTCAAGAGTAAAGGGATTGATCTTCTATCTGTCCATTGTTTGGTTTCTGCATATCTCGAGCTCCATTGGACCATTTACACTGGAACTTTATCCAATGTGTCATTGAAGAAAGCACTTTATTGGGATTGTTCGTCTATTCCAGCGATCACAGGATAAGGTCACTCTTATGTCCCCTAATCTTCATACCAATCAGGATCTTATGCCTTGTTAGAAAATGTTATCTAACTTAGCACATCAATTCCTTATGACATCTCACTGGATACTACATTAGTTCTCCTAATATATTAAATGCCTTTTTCAGTTGAATGACTTAGACTTCATGTTTACTTAGCCTTCATGAATGACCCCTTAATTAATTCATTAAAGATTTCATATCCATACTCAAAGTAATCAGTAAATATTTCATTATGTTTTGTCTTGCAGTGCTATTTCTGTTTTATTTTCATGCAGGTGTGTCGGATTTTAAGTTCTGCAACTGGGTCAACTTTTCCAACTTTCTAACACAATGCACTCTTTGTTTGACTAGGGATTCTACTTTTGGAAATTGAAAGAAAGAATTGGAGGTCTTTTTTACGTTATTTGATGTCAATTCTTCAGCAACTGTCAACAAAGTTGCCATTTTAAGAAGCAGAGACGACAAACTCGGATTAAACTTTTCTTTAAAACGTCGTTTCAACTAGGTCGCAGTTTTAGGGAGCAGAGACGGCAAATTCGGATTAAACTGTTCTGAACAACGTCGTTATAACTAAGTCGCCATTTTGAGGAGTAGTGGGAGCTAATTCGGGTTAAACCTACAATTCTTGATTATACAGTACACAAAAATCACACTCCAGGATAAACTTTAAAGTGTCTGTAATTGTGTTCCACAAAGCAAATGGAAATCATCACATATATAATAAAAAATGATGGAATGTTCATGTCATGGAAAGCAGCCGAAGTATTTGCCATTTGACCGACAAAAACAACACAAGGTCGGAAATATTGACGTAATGTTATAACGGGAATGACGGAATTCTTACTTCATATTACGCAATGGGATATGATATTCCCCTATATAATTAAAGGCTAGTCAAAGACACAATAAAAATTCATTTGAATTATTTATTTCTCCTTCGCACACAAAGCAGGAAACACGACAGACATTATAGTAAAGTTTTTCTTATTATCTAACCCCAAGGCTGGATCTTTCTGTTGGTGACGTAATTGCCGCACGGGATATTGGTGTTCCGCGGGAGTGTCGCAAGATACAGGGGGGTGTCAGCACCTTAACAGAAACACAATTGCGTTAAAATTCTTACAGCCTGTAAAAATTTAAACCTGTACTAATATTCGTACAGCGAACTGGCGATATGAAACAGTATTGTGACAAATCAATACAGTACTCTTATTGCGTAAAGGCGAGTATGAACAGCTACATTTCTTAGGTCAGGTGAGATTCTTTCATCTTTTAACTAACTTGATCAGGTGAGATTCGTTAATTGTGTTTTACTTACCTTGATCAGGTGAGATTCGTTAATTGTATTTTACTTACCTTGGTCAGGTGAGATTCGTTAATTGTATTTTACTTACCTTGATCAGGTGAGATTCGTTATTATTTTTTACTTACCTTCATCAGGTGACAATGTCCCTCGATGACTCGTCATGATAGTGTTGACAAATCCCGGACAACACTGAAAAAAAAGTCTCCGTTTTAATCCCCATTGAATTGTTTCATACTGAGTTCATATAAGAGTTGAGGAATTCTAGTAAATTCATATACCATCCAATTACTTATTTACTTAGTTCATCTGTCCTTATCTCACATTTTCCTTGTTAAAACAACACTTACCGTATTTACCACGATCCCCGGCCGCACGTCATTGAGGAACTCTCTTTGTTGTATGAAGGTCATAAGTGTGATGCCTATCTTTGACAGTGCATAAGGAGTAATCGGCCAGCCTTCCTCCACCTGTGTACCAGACCTTGTGGCTCTGTAATCAGAAAATAATAGTCAGACCTACCACCTGTGTACCAGACCTTGTGGCTCTGTAATCAGAAAATAATAGTCAGACCTACCACCTGTGTACCGGACCTTGTGGCTCTGAAATCCGAAAATATTAGACAGACCTACCACCTGTGTACCAGACCTTGTCGCTATGTAATCAGAAAATATTAGTCAGACCTACCACCTGTGTGCCAGACCTTGTGGCTCTGAAATCAGAAAATATTAGTCAGACCTACCACCTGTGTACCGGACCTTGTGGCTCTGAAATCAGAAAATATTAGTCAGACCTACCACCTGTGTACCAGACCTTGTGGCTCTGTAATCAGAAAATATTAGTCAGACCTACCACCTGTGTACCGGACCTTGTGGCTCTGAAATCAGAAAATATTAGTCAGACCTACCACCTGTGTACCGGACCTTGTGGCTCTGTAATCAGAAAATATTAGTCAGACCTACCACCTGTGTATCAGACCTTGTGGCTCTGTAATCAGAAAATATTAGTCAGACCTACCACCTGTGTATCAGACCTTGTGGCTCTGAAATCAGAAAATATTAGTCAGACCTACCACCTGTGTATCAGACCTTGTGGCTCTGTAATCAGAAAATATTGGTCAGACCTACCACCTGTGTATCAGACCTTGTGGCTCTGAAATCAGAAAATATTAGTCAGACCTACCACCTGTGTACCAGACCTTGTCGCTATGTAATCAGAAAATATTAGTCAGACCTACCACCTGTGTACCGGGCCTTGTCGCTCTGTAATCAGAAAATATTTGTCCGACCTACCACCTGTGTACCAGACCTTGTGGCTCTGTAATCAGAAAATATTGGTCAGACCTACCACCTGTGTACCAGACCTTGTGGCTCTGTAATCAGAAAATATTGGTCAGACCTACCACCTGTGTAAGGTGATCTGTAATCAGAAAATATTGAGAACACGGCTCTGTAATCAGAAAATATTGGTCAGACCTACCACCTGGCTGTACCAGACCTTGTGGCTCTGTAATCAGAAAATATTGGTCAGACCTACCACCTGTGTATCAGACCTTGTGGCTCTGAAATCAGAAAATAGGTGGCTCTGTAGATGTGTACCAGACCTTGTGGCTCTGTTAATCAGAAAATATAGACAGCAAAGGAGATTTACCAGAGAACACGAGACGGCATAGGAGATTTACCAGAGAACACTAGACAGCAAAGGAGATTTACCAGAGAACACTACACAGCAAAGAAGATTTATCAGAGAACGTTAGACAGCTAGGAAATTTACCAGAAAACACTAGACAGCAAAGGAGATTTACCAGAGAACACTACACAGCAAAGAAAATTTACCAGAGAAAGTTAGACAGCATAGGAGATTTACCAGAAAACACTAGACAGCAAAGGAGATTTACCAGAGAACACTAGACAGCAAAGAAGATTTACCAGAAAACACTAGACAGCAGTAAATCATGCATGTTGCGTATTTAGAGGAAAGGTTTGCATCACCATGTTAGAATGAACTATGTAGACTTTAGCAGCTAAGGGAAAGACCATATAAACTGTCACAGATTCTTCCGGAAATGAACTAAGCAATCAGAAGACAGCTGAGCTTGGCTTTTCCAATGGTTCCTAGAGAGATGCAAGAAACATTGGCTTCGGAGCAATTTTTCAATGCGCTATTTCATTCAAAGTTACATATAAGATTAAAACGGTCGAGACCAAGGTTTTTGAATGGTGCTGTACGTCTAGCAGTAGAGCTGGAGCCGAGTCGAACAACGCCGTAAAGAAGGAAATGGGCATTTATGGACGACCAGCGCATCAGACACTTCACAGACATTACAGGATAACGCTAGTAGGGAAATAGTCAAAACAATGAAGACAATACCAGGGAAATAGGTGACTTGTAGAAAAATATAATGTTCACTTGACTGAGAGCAGGGGACAGGCAAAACGTGGATCACGTGACGACGTCATGTGTTACTACTATAGATAAAAGAACCGCAAGGAAAGAAGATGTACAGCACTTAAGAGTAGCAAGGACAACGGACAAACGTGTGGTGCCAGCACAGCTGGGATAAAACCTGCTGGGGAAGGACTAGGGATTGCTGTTGTTGTTGTTGATGTTATAAAAAGCACGAGTATGTACTAGTGTTAACAATGTCAGTGAATTCCCGTGCGTTGTAAAGAGCTGGTCATATGTGTAGTGTAGTACTGACAGCTTGGCGTCATTGTGTCAAAGAACGTGTAGTCACCGTCATTCTTTGTATAATCTGGTTGTCCTGACTTACAGACATGTTCCATGAATAGTCGGGACTTTTAACTGTATGTTATATTCGTACAATAATATGTTACTACTGATAAGTTGATTGGTTGAACTAGAGTTTCGTAGCGGCACCCTGGGAGGCACTGGGGGCGGATCAGACAGGTGCAAACCATTGTTTAAGTTATTGCTTTCAATATAAGTAAGTGGAGAGACACGTTTCACACATACCTGACATAACTGTCGACCATCTCCTTAAGCTCTTCCATCGTTAGGTTTGGGTCTGTTAAATGACTTCTAATCTTCTCGCTGCACATCCTAATGGCTATTTTAGAGACGTCGCTGGAGATATTAACTACCCTGAAAGTGAACGAGGATGTGGAATGATAAATTTATTGTAAATCACGTAGACAAATGATTCGTGACATGTGTTATGTATGGTAAGAATCATCAGTATCGATTAATATGATAAACATTGTTGCTAACACGTCATTATGTGAATTTATTCGATAATTACCATATCTGCTCATATGAAACTAGACAAACGATCACGTGATGTTTGATAGGTACAATATCTGCTCATATGTAACTAGACTAACGATCACGTGGTGTTTGATAGTTACGATACCTACCGTATGCAACTAGACAAAGGATCACGTGGTGTTTGATAGTTACGATACCTACCCATATGTAACTAGACAAACGATCACGTGGTGTTTGATAGTTACAATATCTGCTCATATGTAACTAGACAAACGATCACGTGGTGTTTGATAGTTACGATACCTACCATATGCAACTAGACAAAGGATCACGTGGTGTTTGATAGTTACGATACCTACCGTATGCAACTAGACAAAGGATCACGTGGTGTTTGATAGTTACGATACCTACCCATATGTAACTAGACAAACGATCACGTGTTTGATAGTTACGATACCTACCCATATGTAGCTAGACAAACGATCACGTGGTGTTTGATAGTTACGATACCTTCCATATGTAACTAGACAAACGATCACGTGGTGTTTGATAGTTACGATACCTACCCATATGTAACTAGACAAATGATCACGTGGTGTTTTATAGTAATGTAGGTTCAAATTACGCATGTGAGAAGGACAATCACAAACGCCATCCTTCAAACACACGCAAAACTAATGTTACTGATATACCTGAACCACTATCAGTTTGATGCGGAATAATCAGCTGTTTTCTTCGAACACAGGAAATATTTGATTTTCAATGACCTTCCCACAAATTCTCTGTGAGAATAATTATGAATATGAGGAATGATATTATCGAAGTTTTATCTACATGTGTGCCGTATGACGGTAAAACACCTGTCCGTACCTTGCATGGGAGCTGAGTATTGGAAATAGCGTTTCGCACACGTGCAGTGTTCCATAGAAATTTGTCCTGCAAGTCATTTCTGCCTGCGTCTTGAACGATTCCACGGTATCCGGCTGAAATTACAAATACATTTATCAATGGGGATCTTTAATCGTATCCAGATATTATGAAGGTGGGCTCAACATTTGGCCCCTGGTCCGATTTCTCCTATTTTTTTTTTTTTTTTTTGTCGGATGAAAATTCATAAAGATAAACCTGTATAAAATGATTTGTCGTTATTACTTCTGACAGTCGTAACGGACGTCCTTGTGTAACACCAGGATAAGAGAAGGGAGTAAGCGTAACAATAGAGTCATTACATCACTGTATAACAAGGTTAGCTATGTCTTAGGGTTTATTCCACCACGGTATAACAAGGTTAGCTATGTCTTAGGGTTTGTTCCATCACGGTATAACAAGGTTAGCTATGTCTTAGGGTTTGTTCCATCACGGTATAACAAGGTTAGCTATGTCTTAGGGTTTATTCCATCACGGTATAACAAGGTTAGCTATGTCTTAGGGTTTATTCCATCACGGTATAACAAGGTTAGTTATGTCTTAGGGTTTGTTCCATCACGGTATAACAAGGTTAGCTATGTCTTAGGGTTTATTCCACCACGGTATAACAAGGTTAGCTATGTCTTAGGGTTTATTCCACCACGGTATAACAAGGTTAGCTATGTCTTAGGGTTTATTCCATCACGGTATAACAAGGTTAGCTATGTCTTAGGGTTTATTCCACCACGGTATAACAAGGTTAGTTATGTCTTAGGGTTTATTCCATCACGGTATAACAAGGTTAGTTATGTCTTAGGGTTTATTCCATCACGGTATAACAAGGTTAGTTATGTCTTAGGGTTTATTCCATCACGGTATAACAAGGTTAGTTATGCAAGGTTAGCTATGTCTTAGGGTTTATTCCACCACGGTATAACAAGGTTAGCTATGTCTTAGGGTTTATTCCACCACGGTATAACAAGGTTAGCTATGTCTTAAGGTATAACAAGGTTAGCTATGTCTTAGGGTTTGTTCCACCACGGTATAACAAGGTTAGTTATGTCTTAAGGTTTATTCCATCACTGTATAACAAGTTAGTTATGTCTTATTTGAATGAAAACTGATATCGACATGACCTTCTGTTCATCATATTTGTAAACCCCTTTCTTCAATAATTATTTTACTAGTTAAGACATTGCGATATGCGTTTCCCATTTCTTATTTTCAAAACAAAAATTTCTTGATAGATAAAGATGTTCTAAAATTCTCATCATACCTTATACGCAATGCCAGCGTTATTGACTAGTATATCAATATCTCCATAGTAATTCTTTAGAAATTCGCCGAATTTCTCCACCTCAACCTTGTCCGTTATGTCCAGAGGGTAAAACTTTGGACCCAACCCTTCCGATCGCAACTGGTCAATAGCGTTCATGGCTTCTTCACTGTCGGGAGCTGTTGAGGAGAATGGTTAATTATAGTACAATGTCTGTCCAGGACGAACACTATTGATCAGTGTCGGGAGATATCGAGGAGAATGCTTAATTATAGCACTATGTCTGTCTAGGACAAACACTTTAGAAGTATGTTTGTACATCGAAACAATAAGTAGACGTTTGTATTCCTTCACAATAAGCAGACGTTTGTACACAGACACAATAAGTAGACTTTTTTTCGTGCACAATAAGTAGATGTTTGTACACAGACACAATAAGTAGACGTTTGTACACAGACACAATAAGTAGACATTTGTACATAGACACAATCAGTAGACGTTTGTACACAGACACAATAAGTAGACATTTGTACGCAGACACAATAAGTAGACGTTTGTACACAGACACAATAAGTAGACATTTGTACGCAGACACAATAAGTAGACGTTTGTACATAGACACAATCAGTAGACGTTTGTATATAGACACAATAAGTAGACGTTTGTACACAGACACAATAAGTAGACGTTTGTACACAGACACAATAAGTAGACGTTTGTACACAGACACAATAAGTAGACATTTGTACATAGACACAATAAGTAGACGTTTGTACACAGACACAATAAGTAAACGTTTGTACACCGACACAATGAGTAGACATTTGTACACAGACACAATAAGTAGACATTTGTACACAGACACAATAAGTAGACGTTTGTACACCGACACAATAAGTAGACGTTTGTACGCCGACACAATAAGTAGACGTTTGTATACAGACACAATAAGTTGACGTTTGTACACAGACACAATAAGTAGACGTTTGTACACAGACACAATAGGTAGACGTTTGTACACAGACACAATAAGTAGACGTTTGTACACCGACACAATAAGTAGACGTTTGTATACAGACACAATAACTTGACGTTTGTACACAGACACAATAAGTAGACGTTTGTACACAGACACAATAAGTAGACGTTTGTACACAGACACAATAAGTAGACATTTGTACATAGACACAATAAGTAGACGTTTGTACACAGACACAATAAGTAAACGTTTGTACACCGACACAATGAGTAGACATTTGTACACAGACACAATAAGTAGACATTTGTACACAGACACAATAAGTAGACGTTTGTACACCGACACAATAAGTAGACGTTTGTACACAGACACAATAAGTAAACGTTTGTACACCGACACAATGAGTAGACATTTGTACACAGACACAATAAGTAGACATTTGTACACAGACACAATAAGTAGACGTTTGTACACCGACACAATAAGTAGACGTTTGTACACCGACACAATAAGTAGACGTTTGTATACAGACACAATAAGTTGACGTTTGTACACAGACACAATAAGTAGACGTTTGTACACAGACACAATAGGTAGACGTTTGTACACAGACACAATAAGTAGACATTTGTACACCGACACAATAAGTAGACGTGTGTACACCGACACAATAAGTAGACATTTGTACACAGACACAAAGTTAATAGGTAGACTGTATGATGTGCATTTACATACCTGTTAAATACACATCACCTGGAAATACTCGACACAAACCTCGGACAATGGCCATCCCTATTCCCCGACTAGCACCGGTCACCTGTAATATATAACCGATATCAGGATAGAAAGAACTGCTTTACATGTATATATTCGTATATAGCATACATTCTAGTTTTATAGATATTACTTATTGATATCTGTATGTTTACTCTTTACTCTTTAACCATTGATACTGCCTGCCCATCTGTCTGTCTGTCTATCTATCTGCCCGTCCGTCTCTGTCTCTGTCTCTCTCTTTTACAATAACCATTGCAACACGGATACGTAACGTATAAGAGTGTAAAGCAGTCAGTCATCATTTCAAGATCTGAAACACACCCAGTCATCCACTGCTAAAATGATCACCTAGAGTTTGAACTTCGGATATTTTCATTACACGGGAGATAACTCTTCCGAAACTAGCTCAAGATTTAAACACAACTAAGCTCTACTACACCATGTCGTTGTTTGTCCTGGACTCGTCACTATAGATCAACATCATACGTACTTAGTGCGTTTGTTTTCTTTTTTAAATACATGTATGTAATATAACATTGATTTGAACTCTGATTAGTTTGTGTATCATAAGCTGTATTTGAATGAAACATAAGATATATTTTGTTGGTTTTATAATTCAGTGATCTAACTACACATTACATTATTTCATTTTCGCCGACGATGAATGTTTATTTTCGTCTTATTATTTTTATAATTTTGTAGTTTAAGTTTCCAGCGAATGACAAACTGATTTCTTCTTCGAATCGAAATGTCATTCCGCGTAATTAAGACGTTCACATTAAAAGCTTACAGTCAAATTTCAAGATTTAAAATACCTCTCTTAAATGTTACAATATCGATTTTCGTTTTGATCTTTTAAATCTCCAAATGATGTTGTCGTTTCAAGTCTGTTAAGTTGTAAAAAACACACACAGGTGAAGAGTTCTTTTCAATACAAACTCAGAAGTAGATACAGTAGAGCCAAAATAAAAACTGCATCATACAGCTGTTTCGTCCTTCTAGGACTCGTCTGTGATGCTCCATCATACAGCTGTTTCGTCCTTCTAGGACTTTTCAGTGTTGCCGAGGGCATGAAATGTTGAAATCTAGGCTGTGACCTTAGTTTGATGTCAGAGTCACAGATATATTTACTTGCTAAAATGATAATTGTTATGTCTCTGTATTACAGATACCAATACTTACAACAGCGACGTTTTTATCTGAAATCCCCATTCTGGTGTTGTATTACAATATATCGTCCTGGAATATCGAAAGATGGCGGGTGATCCGGACACTATAATGTTAGGACAACACAACTATGTGGCTACACGGCTCGCCCTGTCGAAAACACGCAGGCAGACCCTCAGATAACACCGCCCAAACAAAACATCATCACTTAGTTCAGATTTGTAAAAAAACTTTCACCACTATTCTTCCTCTTCAAGAGCTATGAATCTAAATCTACATTTTTATAGTGTCTATTTAAAAAAAAATCGTCATATGCCCAAACCATTCGTCAGGCGCCCAACTTCAGTTGTTATCAGTTTTTTTTGTGTAACATTCCTTAGCCGTGAGTACATACAGGATAAGATAAGTTTAACAATACAAAAAATATCTAATATGATATATATATAGAGAGAGCATTAAACCCAAAATATTTAGATATTAAAAATTCACTCCACGAGTGTAAAGGCTTTAATTTCGAACTTGTGATGTCAAACATCAACAGTACATTATTGGGTTATCAGTGTTTGTAAATGTAAGCCAATCAATCGATACCGTATCGATTGGGGGACACGTCTTCTAACTTACCAACCAGTACAGGTATCGTAAGGACGTAGTTCAAGATGTATTATAGAAATGTTTACATATCGTTGATACCGTGTTAAAACACACAATGCACACAGTAGATAACCTATGAAGTGGTAACGTGGGATTTCAGAGGCGAATAAATTCAAGTCTGATTTTCATTAAACGTAAAGGAGTCAAAGTTTTGATGTTAATTAAGATAACAAATACAATGAAGGAATGTTAGTTTTGTTCTCTTTTGGTTTTTGTTTTGTTTTGTTTTTACTCAATACAGTACGTGTAAATATAACTTAAACGTGTTTAAGCGTACGGATTTGTACGTGGTTCAATCGAATTTAGTGAGATGGGTCGGGGTGAGAGGGTTTCCCAATGGGAATTATCCGGAGGCAATACACATAGGGATAAGAATTGGATCTTTAGTAAGTTTTCATTTCATGAGAGATTCTGTGAAAAATAAGTATGAATATAAGATTGTTTTTGCGAGCCTTGGCGACAAAACTCCGAAGCAAATTAAGTGGCAGTATCATCGGAATGTTCAGTCAGTGACGCAACTCTAACGCGGTAGCTATCATCAGAACGTCGAGTGTCAGTGACGAAACTCTAACGCGGTAGCTATCATCAGAACGTCGAGTGTCAGTGACGAAACTCTAACGCGGTAGCTATCATCAGAGCGTCGAGTGTCAGTGACGAAACTCTAACGCGGTAGCTATCATCAGAACGTCGAGTGTCAGTGACGAAACTCTAACGCGGTAGCTATCATCAGAACGTCGAGTGTCAGTGACGCAACTCTAACGCGGTAGCTATCATCAGAACGTCGAGTGTCAGTGACGCAACTCTAACGCGGTAGCTATCATCAGAACGTCGAGTGTCAGTGACGAAACTCTAACGCGGTAGCTATCATCAGAACGTCGAGTGTCAGTGACGCAACTCTAACGCGGTAGCTATCATCAGAACGTCGAGTGTCAGTGACGAAACTCTAACGCGGTAGCTATCATCAGAACGTCGAGTGTCAGTGACGAAACTCTAACGCGGTAGCTATCATCAGAACGTCGAGTGTCAGTGACGAAACTCTAACGCGGTAGCTATCATCAGAACGTCGAGTGTCAGTGACGAAACTCTAACGCGGTAGCTATCATCAGAACGTCGAGTGTCAGTGACGCAACTCTAACGCGGTAGCTATCATCAGAACGTCGAGTGTCAGTGACGAAACTCTAACGCGGTAGCTATCATCAGAACGTCGAGTGTCAGTGACGAAACTCTAACGCGGTAGCTATCATCAGAACGTCGAGTGTCAGTGACGCAACTCTAACGCGGTAGCTATCATCAGAACGTCGAGTGTCAGTGACGAAACTCTAACGCGGTAGCTATCATCAGAACGTCGAGTGTCAGTGACGAAACTCTAACGCGGTAGCTATCATCAGAACGTCCAGTGTCAGTGACGCAACTCTAACGCGGTAGCTATCATCAGAACGTCGAGTGTCAGTGACGAAACTCTAACGCGGTAGCTATCATCAGAACGTCGAGTGTCAGTGACGAAACTCTAACGCGGTAGCTATCATCAGAACGTCGAGTGTCAGTGACGAAACTCTAACGCGGTAGCTATCATCAGAACGTCGAGTGTCAGTGACGAAACTCTAACGCGGTAGCTATCGTCAGAGCGTCGAGTGTCAGTGACGAAACTCTAACGCGGTAGCTATCATCAGAACGTCGAGTGTCAGTGACGAAACTCTAACGCGGTAGCTATCATCAGAACGTCCAGTGTCAGTGACGAAACTCTAACGCGGTAGCTATCATCAGAACGTCGAGTGTCAGTGACGAAACTCTAACGCGGTAGCCATCATCAGAACGTCGAGTGTCAGTGACAAAACTCTAACGCGGTAGCTATCATCAGAACGTCGAGTGTCAGTGACGAAACTCTAACGCGGTAGCTATCATCAGAACGTCCAGTGTCAGTGACGAAACTCTAACGCGGTAGCTATCATCAGAACGTCGAGTGTCAGTGACGAAACTCTAACGCGGTAGCCATCATCAGAACGTCGAGTGTCAGTGACAAAACTCTAACGCGGTAGCCATCATCAGAACGTGAGTGTCAGTGACAAAACTCTAACGCGGTAGCCATAATCAGAAAGTCGTGTGTACGTGACGAAACACTAACGCGGTAGCTATCATCAGAACGTCGAGTGTCAATGACGAAACTCTAACGCGGTAGCTATCATCAGGACGTCGAGTGTCGGTGACAAAACTCTAACGCGGTAGCCATAATCAGAAAGTCGTGTGTACGTGACGAAACACTAACGCGGTAGCTATCATCAGAACGTCGAGTGTCAATGACGAAACTCTAACGCGGTAGCTATCATCAGAACGTGGAGTGTCAGTGACGAAACTCTAACGCGGTAGCTATCATCAGAACGTCGTGTGTACGTGACGAAACTCTAACGCGGTAGCTATCATCAGAACGTCGTGTGTCAGTGACGAAACTCTAACGCGGTAGCTATCATTGTTGCAGAAACCATAGTTGGTGTCCGTGTCCAATGACCAACAATTGCAGATATTTTTGGGTGTTGGATCCTTGGTAACGGTTAGTTGGAGAAAGCATATTTCGATGTTTTATACTGGTGATCCAGTCAGATTTGACATCATATCGTGGGTTTGTATTAAATGAGACTGTCATTGGGATACAGGATAATTCATTACATTACCGATAACGGGCAGTTGGAAAATCTAGATCGTTAAACACTCCCATTTATCTAAAGCAATGAATGAAGACCACGCCCCCATACCACGTGCCACCAAGTTCTCACTTTGGTTGAATCTGAATTTTTTTTTGTTATGCCGGATTATTTTTCAATTAGATTTTAGTATATAAATAATAAACCAACAATCAAAAAGTTATGAACTTTTATTCTTCATATTCAAATAACATTCATCTCTTGTGATTAAATGACGGAACACATTTAAATAAATATTTTTTGAACATCCTGCACAGAAAGGGAAATATTTTAAAATGCACGATGTATTTCAACATGAAATTCGAATAGGTATATATACATACAGTCCTTTTAATAACGACATCCCTGTAGTGTCAGCAGTATCCTGATGGGTGAAATAGTGAAAGGCAAAACTGAAATCACTGGACATGTGATAAAATAAGTAATTTTATAATTTGTATATTTATATACATATGCTATATATAAGATATGACTTTTCCTGTCTTTTGTGTATTGTTATTTTTACGCTAGAAGTAACAAGCATTCTGATTATTGCTGTAGCAATACACGTCTCATACTGGCCCCACAAGCTAGAAAACGATGATCTAAAAATAGTAAGTGACCTTGACCCTACAGCACTGACGCTCACCCTTGTTTAAGACTGTTTGATCCTTAATAAGCGTGTGTAGTTTGACGAGGAATTAAGCGACTAGGTTGCTGACAAATTTTTACATAGGCAGGACAGGAAAACTACAGCCCATCTGTCCCCTACAGTTTCACTAATATGAATATGGTTATCAACTATAAAGTCTTCTTGAAAATGAAGAATCACTAGTACAACACCGGCATGAATGTGATACTGCTGTTTTTTTTCTGTCTACAACACCTAAAACCTCTCACCAAGTTCTAAGACAAGTGGCTGACAAAAAAACTAGCAATGGATTTCAAATCTTCTCACTTTCTGTTATCTGTAACAAAGACTACTCCACCATTTTAACTTTCTGAGAAATTTAAATGAAGATACAATAATAATTTATTAATGCAAACATTTCACTTAAGAATGTACTCTCCCCCTCCAAAGTTCAGAAAAAAGCTTTTTTCTCCTATGTTCAATCTTTTCGCTATCAGATACCAAGTCTCTGACCAGTTGTATGAGTATTGCTATGATGCACCAGCTGCCAAATCATCCATGAAACAACACTAATTCATACAACAGAATAAATGTTTGATTCTTTAAGGATATACTTTATGATCAGCCTATCACAACAGGACATTGGTCCATGTCTAGATATCCATATCATTTAAAATTTGGTATGGTATCATAATTTTTCACATATCAAAACCTTTAATATGTCCTTTTACACACAAAGTTGTTCAGGAGGACTTAAAGTAGTAAACTGTACACCAGGATACTTTCACCTATCCACACATAATGCTATATTACCAACAACAACACCATTCATTTTATGTTTTATAAATTAACTTTTGTTATACAGTTAATTTTGTCCTCTTCTCATTGGACAAAAAAATGGCAACAGTTAAACAGTTTACAGTCATCATGTACTTAACTATTCATGTTTGTCATTCACATTTTCGTATCTGTTCAGTCACCTCCTGACAATGGACACATTTTTTAAAAGTTTTAAAATTTATACAGGATAAACATCCCCCATGTATTTAACACAAAGACAGTAACTCAAATATAAAACACAAATAATATTTAATTAATACCTTTTTTAAAGAAATATTCCCATATAAATTAAATCAACGTTTCTCCAGTGCCATTCATATTCCTATCAAACTTCTGATGCATGCAGTATAACCAAAACATCACAGTATAACCATTTTTTTTTTTAATTTCACGAGAAGTTTGCCTATTAAAAAAAGCTAAGATTACTTTTTGTCAATGGAGGATTTCTCAAAAATAAATATTATAATTTGGAAAATGATATACATAATACAATGCATGTTTTAAACGTCTGAAGACAGGAAAACTAATCCCCATTCATAAGGAGTCTGTTTGTAGATAAATCTTTTGTTCCACATCAACATAAAATTGATGAGGTAGTTTTAGAAAGTACCTAGGGTAAAAAGTCTGAGTAGATCTGACTAATTTAGTAACTTCATTTGCTGCTGGATTAATTTCACAAGAACATTTAAATAATTACCAGAAATTTCTTCCTCAAACTTTTCAAGGGTTAAAAATTCAAAATGCCATTACACAAAACAAGTCGGACTACTGATGAAAATAAATAAAGTTTTGCTGATTTTCAGTTCATTTCTAATACTGATTTCTGTCGATCCTGCTTGGATCTGAAACCTTATGAAATACTGGATATTACTTCTAAATGTACACATTCTGAAATGAGACTTGAATTGAACTACAGTCTTGAAGATAAAACATAATTATGATAAAAAATCAAGAAATTATAATTCATTCATTCGGAAATCAAGTGAAGCTTTAAAAATGACGATAGTCACATATATATATATATCAATACATATTCATCTACAAATCCACCATACAAACTCTACAATATGATACATGTGTTCAACTCTCATGATACATTTACGTGTAGACATCATCAGAAGGACTAGATCGTAATCATTTCTGACAGACACAAAAACTTGCATGCCATTAAGTCATAACTGATCTCCGCAGAGGACTATTACAAAATTTGTTGATAAAGAAAACCATTTTTACAACCATTCTGGGAAAAACTTGAAAGCTTGAAAATCAAAGAATACATTACTCTGAGCAAAACAGAAAGCATAGCATAAACAAGGCAAGATAATGTTTAGGTAATGCTTGTGAAGAATGAAGATTTCACCCAGAAAATTTCACAAGGGCATGTTTATGTCAAATCTAAACTAAAATAACTGCCCTATTATCTATCTGTTATAAAAAGAGTGAAGACCATTTGGTTCAAGTTTCAATGAGATTGAATAAGTCAACCATCCAGGTTTTGTTAATTTGATTGACTTAGGATGATAGGAGTGAGCCAGGGTAAAGTGAATCAAACGTAAATCCAAATAAATCTTACTAGTGCAACTCATGCACTTTCAGGGTTTCCATTGATGTCAAAATTTGGGAGCAAGAGTAAATATTTTGAAACATTTCTGTAAATAAAGAACTAAAAAATAGACTGTAACCAGAACAAGATGATTTGGGGGTAAAAACCTCTGCAGGGAGTAAACAGGAATGTTGAAATTGAAAGTAAATATAACCCAGAGTGTAATTTACCTCCTTAGGGATATATAGTGATCCAATGAAACAAATTTCAAAATTTGGATAATGCACTTTATTAGTCTACCGTCCATGAATCCTATTCAAATTGATTTCATCTGGGTCTGAAGAATGTTTTTGAAATTCAGCCATTCTGAGGCTCCAGTCCTGACTAAGTCTGAAACATTAACAATAGACCTGCTTCACTCACATGTTATTCAATGTTAAGTAAAAATAGAATCAGTGTTACTATCACAAACATATTGACATGCACACTATAGGCATTCAAAGTTGGCATCTGATGAATTTTAACCAATTTCAAAACAAACAGCTTTTAAAACTTGATTCTATACAGTGACAGTTAGGACCTAGATTATAGGCAAATGCCATTTTTCCTCCTCAAAATTTGTTGTGCTTTTACCTAGAAACAGTTTTCCAAAAAAAAATATCATGCTTTTTCACCTTTTGGTAAGACAAAAGAAGTTGTTTAATGGTATTAACAAATTTGACCCCTATGACCCTTATATAAGGGCCAATGTAATTTCTCTTTACCAGTTTTTTGGGGGTTCATCCTAGAAACCTATTACCGGTACTTAAGAATCATGCTTTTGCACCTTTAAGTTAGACAGAAGAAGTCATTTAAAGGTTTTATCAAAATTAATCCATGTGACCTTGAATAAATGTTAAGGTCATTTCTTTTCGCAAACTTTGTCAGGCTTCATCCCAGCAACCCACAAACCAAATATAAGGACATCTGGTTTGCTGTTTTCGAGAATAAGTGGTATAAATGGAAAAGTTGACACCGTAGGGATGATGCGTCACAGCATAAGTTCACTTGGCTTTTCGGTCCAGACGAGCTAAAACTAATGTCTTGAAACAATTGTAGTATACCATGTATTTGTAGTGAATCAAGTACTCTAGTTAGTCCTTCTACACATCATTTTTTTCATTCAAAGACACAATCATTGGCTCCTTTAATAAAAAAGTTTAGAGTCTGTAGTTTCACACACAGCATTTATATATAAATGTTTCTCTCACTGCATCACACATCTTAGGAAGAAACCACCTTCCCACTATCTTCTTTCCCAGCATATTTCTTCTTTCCATGTGAAAATGGTATGTATCTGTATTTAATCATATGCTGGAAGAGAAAAGAAAAGATATAAACATTGACATTTATTAGAAAAAAATAATTTTACAAAATTTTGTTTCATAGAAATCTGGAAAAGTCATGAACGGATCCCAAGCACATTTGATTATTTCTATAAATAGTAACAGTGACATTAACTTCGTATCTGAGCCTTGAAGCCAAACCAGATTTATACACATACCATACTGTGTATAACCTTTTCATAAAAATATTACCAAGTTCCCTTCAATACAAGGTCATTTGAATTTTCAAATAGAACACTAGCCTTGCCTTAAAAATTTTCTCGGAATATAAACATGTATCAGGTACACCTGTTGTAAAAGACTTTTGCATAAAGCATTATCACAGTTATGTAGAGAAACAAGTTGTATTCTTATTACAATCAATCAGAAATGTTGAGACAGCAAAGCGACATGACAAGGTTAACAATATGTGTCCCAGCCTCCCAACAATAGGTTTTCTTTCCCATTTGACTTAAATCCTTTATCAAATTAAGTAATACCTAAGTAGTACAACACAGGTTATAGTGTTTTCATTAATTTTCCATTATCAGAAATCAAATCTGATTAAATTGCAGGTTCTACTTCTCAATTACACTCAGCATTAGGATTTGACAACGTCCCACAAAGGGTCGTGTTCTGGTGATCTTTGTACTTTGTACTTTTACCAAGGCAAATGGTCTTATTGACAACTTCATCAGCAGCAAGACATTTTGTCTCAGTACCTAGATCAATCTGATTGAATGTCAGTCCTAATTCCTGATCTGTTACACTCTGCATATGAACGAGAATGGACCTGCATTTGAATCAGACTGACATGTAAATATGCTCTAGCTTTTGTCAACATGTTGTGACAAAATGATCAATGCATGATTATATAGGATAATGTAAGCTATCCTGGGTACTTTGATTCCGAATGTTTTACAAGATTTGGTATGCCATGATTTGACTGTGTAATGTGAAAGTTCATGACCCTTTTGGATACTATCAGATCCTATGCAGAGAATATTAAAGCATGAAGTAAGACCTGAATTTAATCCACTTGTAATAAATCTTTGTATTAAAGTCCATCATTAATATCAAACAACATGGGCATGAATATCATGAGGTTAACAGAGTAAAATACTGCTTAAGTTACATTTCTGTAGATTATGAGGTATTCCACAACTTCCTGATTAACAGAAAGTAGTGTAAACTACCAACACATCATTTCTGTAGCACAAGTTCTACACCCAAATGTTTATTATAACAAGCATATGGGCTCTAGGTTGTGCATTTAGTGTGTAATGAAACATATATTTCAGTATACACTGTAGTGGAATGAATAGAAGGGGAGACTAAAACCTTGTTCAATACAACAATAGGGGGAGGTAATTCCTAAAATATTCCAGTATACTAGAACAGAGGCAGTATTTACTCAAATATTTTGGTATACTAGAACAGAGGCAGTATTTCCTCAAATATTTTAGTATACTAGAACAGAGGCAGTATTTCCTCAAATATTTTGGTATACTAGAACAGAGGCAGTATTTCCTCAAATATTTTGGTATACTAGAACAGAGGCAGTATTTACTCAAATATTCCGGTATACTAGAACACAGGCAGTATTTCCTCAAATATTTTGGTATACTAGAACACAGGCAGTATTTCCTCAAATATTTTAGTATACTAGAACAGAGGCAGTATTTCCTCAAATATTTTAGTATACTAGAACAGAGGCAGTATTTCCTCAAATATTTTGGTATACTAGAACAGAGGCAGTATTTCCTCAAATATTCCAGTATACTAGAACAGAGGCAGTATTTCCTCAAATATTCCAGTAAATTAGGAAAAAGGCAGTATTTCCTCAAATATCCCAGTAATTTGGGAAAGGGGAAGTTGTTCCTTAAATATTCCAGTATACTAGAACAGAGTCAGTAGTAAATCAAATATTCCAGAAAATGCATATAGTGTCTTAAATAACATGGTATACTAAAATAGGTGCAGAAATCACCAGAACCAAATATATTGTGTTAAACAAGAACTTGAAGAATACCTTAACTATACCAAGAAACTGGAAATAGAGTGTATAACCTTGACTAACATATTTTAACATGTATGATTTTACAAAGTCAAAATACTATAGATCAATGTTTATTTAGTTTCACCTCTGTAGATAGAGTTTAAGAGTGTTTTGTGAGGTATTCCATAACTTCCTGTGTAACAGAAAATTGTGTAAACTACCAGCACATTATTTCTGTAGCACAAGTTCTACACCCAAATGTTTATTATAACAAACATATGGGCTCTAGGTTGTGCATTTAGTGAGTAATTCCTCAAATATTCTGATATACTAGAGCTGAGGCAGTAGTACCACAAATGTTCCAGAATAAATGAACATAAATCTTAACTTTATATAGTTTACAACAATTATGAAACAAGTTATTTCAACTTATACTAATCACACTTGTTGACCTAGATGTAAGCGTGAGAGGGGTCTTATTGTGGGAGGAAACCGGAATACACAGGGAAAACCCACGCAGTCAGGTAGGTGACGCCTTTACCTTTTCACATCCGTTCTTGGAATTGAACCATGGACAACTAGGTGAAAGGCAGGTGTGTTACCACTGCGCCATCTGACCACCCATATCAAAAATAATATGGTAAACTAGATCAGGGACAGAAATCAAATTAAAACAAGAGGCCCATGGGCCTTAACGGTCATCTGACAAAAAGCAAGCCAAACCTAGAAAGTGGGTTGAGGTCATTCATTTGAACAAACTTGGTAGCCTCTCCTCCAAGCATCTTACAGGCCCAATATCAGCACTCATGGACTTTTGCTTGTTGAGAAGAAGTCGTTTGTTATTTTAACATATTTGACCCCTGTGACCTTGAAAGTGGGTTGAGGTCATTCATTTGAATAAACTTGGTAGCCTTTCCTCCCAGCATGCTACAGACCCAATATCGGCACTCATAGACTTTTGCTTATTGAGATGAAGTCCTTTGTATATTTTAACATATTTGACCCCTGTGACCTTGAAAGTGGGCCAAGGTCATTCATTTGAACAAACTTTGTAGGGCTCCATGCCAGCATGCTATGGGCCAAGTATTAGCCCCCTAGGCCTTCTAGTATTTGAGAAGAAGTTATTTAAAGATTTTGACATATTTGACCCCTGCGACCTTGAAAGTTGTTCAAGGTCATTCATTTAAATAAACTTGGTAGCCTTTCCTCCCAGCATGCTACAGACCCAATATCGGCACTCATAGACTTTTGCTTATTGAGATGAAGTCCTTTGTATATTTTAACATATTTGACCCCTGTGACCTTGAAAGTGGGCCAAGGTCATTCATTTGAACAAACTTTGTAGGGCTCCATGCCAGCATGCTATGGGCCAAGTATTAGCCCCCTAGGCCTTCTAGTATTTGAGAAGAAGTTATTTAAAGATTTTGACATATTTGACCCCTGTGACCTTGAAAGTTGTTCAAGGTCATTCATTTAAACAAACTTGATAGCCCTTCATCCCAGCATGCCACAGGCACAATATCAGCAATCTGAGCCTTTTGGTTATTGAGAAGAAGTTGTTTAAAGATTTTAACATATTTGACCCCTGTGACCTTGAAAGTTGTTCAAGGTCATTCATTTAAACAAACTTGATAGCCCTTCATCCCAGCATGCCACAGGCACAATATCAGCAATCTGAGCCTTTTGGTTATTGAGAAGAAGTTGTTTAAAGATTTTAACATATTTGACCCCTGTGACCTTTAAAGTGGGTCAAGGTCATTCATTTGAACAAACTTGGTAGTCCTTCATCCCAGCATGTCACAGGCCCAATATCTACACTCTGAGCCTTTTGGTTAATGAGAAGAAGTTGTTTAAAGATTTTAACATATTTGACCCCTGTGACCTTTAAAGTGGGTCAAGGTCATTCATTTGAACAAACTTGGTAGAGCTCCATGCCAGTATCCTCTGTGCCAAGTATTAGCCCCCTAGACCTTCTAGTATTTGAGAAGAAGTCGTTTGAATGAAAAGTTTACGGACGGCGCACGGCGGATGACGACGGACGAAGCATGATGACTATAGGTCATCGGACCCTTCGGGTCAGATGACCTAATAATGAAGATCAATGTTTATTCAGTGTCACCTCTGTAGATAGAGTTTTAGAGAGTGTTATGTGAGGTATTCAATAACTTTATGTGTAACAGAAAGTAGTGTAAACTACCAGCACATCATTTCTGTAGCACAAGTTCTACACCCAAATGTTTATTATAACAAGCATATGGGCTCTAGGTTGTGCATTTAGTGAGTAATTCCTCAAATATTCTGATATACTAGAGCTGAGGCAGTAGTTCCTCAAATTTTCCAGTATAAATGAATATGAATTTTAAATTAATTTTTTTCAACAATTGCGAAACAAGTTATTTCAACTTATACTAATCACTCTTGTTGGCCCGGATGTAAGCGTGCTAGGGATCTTATTGTGGGAGGAAACCCGAGTACCCGGGGAAACCTCTTTCCTTTTCACATCCATTCCGGGAATTGAACCCCGGACAACTAGGTGAGAGGCCATTGTGTTACCACTGCACCATCTGACCACCCATATTAAAAATAATATGGTAAACTAGATCAGGGGCAGAAATCAAATTAAAATAATGAAGATCAATGTTTAGTAAGTTCCAACTCTGTTGATTGAATTCAGGAGTGTTATGTGAGGTATTCAATAACTTCCTGTGTAACAGAAAGTAGTGTAAACTACCAGCACATCATTTCTGTAGCACAAGTTCTACACCCAAATGTTTATTATAACAAGCATATGGGCTCTAGGTTGTGCATTTAGTGTGTTAAGAAACATATATTTAGTACACACCACAGCAGAATGAATAGAGGGGATATTAAACCTAGTGTAATACAATAGGGGGAGCTAATTCCTAAAATATTCCAGTGTACTAGAACAGAGACAGCAGTTCCTCAAATATTCCAGTAAATAAATAACGAAAGTGGCAGTAGTTCCTCAAATATTTTGGTGTACTAGAACAGAGGTATGAAAGTTGTTCCTAAGATATTCCAGTATACTAGGACAGATTTAGTAGCTCCTTATGATTCCAGTTCACTAGGGTAGAGGCAGTGGTACCTTAATTTTACCAAAACAACTGGAATTGAGTCTACAAAACTAACCTTCATATTTTCATATGTGTACTACTCTAAACTGATGAATTCTCCCCTAAAACAACTTGATTGGAAACAAATTTAAAAAAGAAGCAATAACTGTAATAGAGAGGTTGTAGACCCTGACTTTGGTACACTACACATGGTCTTAGTATGAGCCATACATACGCCATGTTGCAGTATCCTAGTTTCCATGCAATGAAGCTATGTCCTAGACACAGAAAAAGGGGCAATAACTCTGTCATTATAGAGCTGTGGAAAATGGATTTAGTACACTGCACATCACCATATGATGACCATTGTATACAGCAAGTGTCAGGGTCCTGGTTTCATCTGTGGGCAAATTTATGCTCTGGACACAAAAGAATGGACAGACAAAACAAAAAATATATGCTACTCCAAATGTTTTCAGGGAGCTTACAAAGTGAAATGTTTATATAGTTTCAACACTGTAGAAAGAGTTTTAGAGAGTGTCTTGTGAGGTATTCAATAACTTCCTGTGTAACAGAAAATTGTGTAAACAACCAGCACATCATTTCTGTAGCACAAGTTCTACACCCAAATGTTTATTATAACAAGCATATGGGCTCTAGGTTGTGCATTTAGTGTGTAATGAAACATATATTTCTGTATACACTGTAGTGGAATGAATAGAAGGGGAGACTAAAACCTGGTTCAATACAACAATAGGGGGAGGTAATTCCTAGTATACTAGAACAGAGGCAGTATTTCCTCAAATATTTTGGTATACTAGAACAGAGGCAGTATTTCCTCAAATATTTTGGTATACTAGAACACAGGCAGTATTTCCTCAAATATTTTGGTATACTAGAACAGAGGCAGTATTTACTCAAATATTTTAGTATACTAGAACAGAGGCAGTATTTACTCAAATATTCCGGTGTACTAGAACAGAGGCAGTATTTCCTCAAATATTTTGGTATACTAGAACAGAGGCAGTATTTCCTCAAATATTTTGGTATACTAGAACAGAGGCAGTATTTCCTCAAATATTCTGGTGTACTAGAACAGAGGCAGTATTTACTCAAATATTTTGGTATACTAGAACAGAGGCAGTATTTCCTCAAATATTTTGGTATACTAGAACAGAGGCAGTATTTACTCAAATATTTTGGTATACTAGAACAGAGGCAGTATTTCCTCAAATATTTTGGTATACTAGAACAGAGGCAGTATTTCCTCAAATATTTTGGTATACTAGAACAGAGGCAGTATTTCCTCAAATATTTTGGTATACTAGAACACAGGCAGTATTTCCTCAAATATTTTGGTATACTAGAACACAGGCAGTATTTCCTCAAATATTTTGGTATACTAGAACAGAGACAGTATTTCCTCAAATATTTTGGTATACTAGAACAGAGGCAGTATTTCCTCAAATATTTTGGTATACTAGAACAGAGGCAGTATTTCCTCAAATATTTTGGTATACTAGAACAGAGGCAGTATTTCCTCAAATATTTTGGTATACTAGAACAGAGACAGTATTTCCTCAAATATTTTGGTATACTAGAACAGAGGCAGTATTTCCTCAAATATTTTGGTATACTTTAGTATACTAGAACAGTATTTCCTCAAATATTTTGATACTAGAACAGAGGCAGTATTTCCTCAAATATTTTAGTATACTAGAACAGAGGCAGTATTTCCTCAAATATTTTAGTATACTAGAACAGAGGCAGTATTTACTCAAATATTTTAGTATACTAGAACAGAGGCAGTATTTCCTCAAATATTTTGGTATACTAGAACACAGGCAGTATTTCCTCAAATATTTTTGAGAACAGAGGCAGTAAATATTTTGGTATACTAGAACAGAGGCAGTATTTCCTCAAATATTTTGAGGCAGTATTTCCTCAAATATTTTGGTATACTAGAACAGAGGCAGTATTTCCTCAAATATTTTGGTATACTAGAACAGAGGCAGTATTTCCTCAAATATTTTAGTATACTAGAACAGAGGCAGTATTTCCTCAAATATTTTGGTATACTAGAACAGAGGCAGTATTTCCTCAAATATTTTGGTATACTAGAACAGAGGCAGTATTTCCTCAAATATTTTGGTATACTAGAACAGAGGCAGTATTTCCTCAAATATTTTAGTATACTAGAACAGAGGCAGTATTTCCTCAAATATTTTGGTATACTAGAACAGAGGCAGTATTTCGTCAAATATTTTAGTATACTAGAACAGAGGCAGTCCTCAAATATTTTGGTATACTAGAACAGAGGCAGTATTTCCTCAAATATTCCGGTATACTAGAACAGAGGCAGTATTTCCTCAAATATTTTAGTATACTAGAACAGAGGCAGTATTTTCAAATATTTTGGTATACTAGAACAGAGGCAGTATTTCCTCAAATATTTTGGTATACTAGAACAGAGGCAGTATTTCCTCAAATATTTTGGTATACTAGAACAGAGGCAGTATTTCCTCAAATATTTTGGTATACTAGAACAGAGGCAGTATTTCCTCAAATATTTTGGTATATTAGAACAGAGGCAGTATTTCCTCAAATATTTTGGTATACTAGAACAGAGGCAGTATTTCCTCAAATATTTTGGTATACTAGAACACAGGCAGTATTTCCTCAAATATTTTGGTATACTAGAACAGAGGCAGTATTTCCTCAAATATTTTGGTATACTAGAACACAGGCAGTATTTCCTCAAATATTTTGGTATACTAGAACAGAGGCAGTATTTACTCAAATATTTTGGTATACTAGAACACAGGCAGTATTTCCTCAAATATTTTGGTATACTAGAACAGAGACAGTATTTCCTCAAATATTTTGGTATACTAGAACAGAGGCAGTATTTCCTCAAATATTTTAGTATACTAGAACAGAGGCAGTATTTCCTCAAATATTTTGGTATACTAGAACAGAGGCAGTATTTCCTCAAATATTTTAGTATACTAGAACAGAGGCAGTATTTCCTCAAATATTTTGGTATACTAGAACAGAGGCAGTATTTACTCAAATATTTTAGTATACTAGAACAGAGGCAGTATTTCCTCAAATATTTTGGTATACTAGAACAGAGGCAGTATTTCCTCAAATATTTTGGTATACTAGAACAGAGGCAGTATTTCCTCAAATATTTTAGTATACTAGAACAGAGGCAGTATTTCCTCAAATATTTTGGTATACTAGAACAGAGGCAGTATTTCCTCAAATATTTTGGTATACTAGAACAGAGGCAGTATTTCCTCAAATATTTTGGTATACTAGAACAGAGGCAGTATTTCCTCAAATATTTTGGAACAGAGGCAGTATTTCCTCAAATATTTTGGTATACTAGAACAGAGGCAGTATTTCCTCAAATATTTTGGTATACTAGAACAGAGGCAGTATTTCCTCAAATATTTTGGTATACTAGAACAGAGGCAGTATTTCCTCAAATATTTTGGTATACTAGAACAGAGACAGTATTTCCTCAAATATTTTGGTATACTAGAACAGAGGCAGTATTTCCTCAAATATTCCGGTGTACTAGAACAGAGGCAGTATTTCCTCAAATATTCCGGTGTACTAGAACAGAGGCAGTATTTCCTCAAATATTCCGGTGTACTAGAACAGAGGCAGTATTTCCTCAAATATTCCGGTGTACTAGAGCAGAGGCAGTATTTTCTAGGAATATACAAACTTGCAGCTGTACTTCCATATCCCATAAGGATCAATGTAACATAAGTCTTTAAAACAAATGTTAATTGGTCATCATCAAAGAGGTTAGGGCTAAATCATCTAAAAACATTCTATTGTTGACATTTGGGAAAAAACCTACTTATAAATAACAATATATTCAACACAAACAGATATATGTATGTGACTTTTGTATATGAAGCTTACATGTGAAAATATTCATACTTACTTTTATCTGTCTTTTCATTGTTATGACAAACAGAATTATAAAGTACATCACAAGTATTGGCCAAAACACTGGGATATTGAATGCTTCGAAAAATGTGCAAAACATTGCTATAGAGATGGCTTTCGTAGTGGAATACCTGAATGAAAAATAAAAAATCATACTTATACAAAAATACAAAAGATAGTACATTATCATCAGGTCATGTAAATTTAGAGGTTTTTGTCCTACTATCATCTCTAACATTAATTTGACCAACACTTAGAAAATTAATATGTACATATTATACATGAATAATGTAAAACTCTGTCTTCTCATAACGACATAACTCATAGCATTTAAAAGTGTGCAACAATTATCTAATTATTTGCAAGGTGTAAATAATAAACATAAAATCCAGACAATTATATGTTTACCTTATGAGACACCTACAAATCTATTTTGGGTAAACAATTTTATATTGGTGTGTTGTGTGATGTAACAGTAGTGTTGGTGTTGAGTGATGTTACAGTAGTATTGGTGTGTTGTGTGATGTTACAGTAGTGTTGGTGTGTTGTGTGATGTTACAGTAGTGTTGGTGTGTGATGTTACACTAGTGTTAGTGTGTTGTGTGATGTTACAGTAGTGTTGGTGTGTTGTGTGATGTAACAGTAGTGTTGGTGTTGAGTGATGTTACAGTAGTATTGGTGTGTTGTGTGATGTTACAGTAGTGTTGGTGTGTTGTGTGATGTTACAGTAGTGTTGGTGTGTGATGTTACGGTAGTGTTGGTGTGTTTTGTGATGTTACAGTAGTGTTGGTGTGTTGTGTTACAGTAGTGTTGGTGTGTGATGTTACAGTAGTGTTGGTGTGTTTTGTGATGTTACAGTAGTATTGGTGTGTTGTGTGATGTTACAGTAGTGTTGGTGTGTTGTGTGATGTTACAGTAGTGTTGGTGTGTGATGTTACGGTAGTGTTGGTGTGTTTTGTGATGTTACAGTAGTGTTGGTGTGTTGTGTTACAGTAGTGTTGGTGTGTGATGTTACAGTAGTGTTGGTGTGTTTTGTGATGTTACAGTAGTGTTGGTGTGTGATGTTACAGTAGTGTTGGTGTGTTGTGTGATGTTACAGTAGTGTTGGTGTGTTGTGTGATGTTACAGTAGTGTTGGTGTGTTATGTGATGTTACAGTAGTGTTGGTGTGTGATGTTACAGTAGTGTTGGTGCGTTTTGTGATGTTACAATAGTGTTAGTGTGTTTTGTGATGTTACAGTAGTGTTGGTGTGTTGTGTGATATTACAGTAGTGTTGGTGTGTGATGTTACAGTAGTGTTGGTGTGTGATGTTACAATAGTGTTGGTGTGTTTTGTGATGTTACAGTAGTGTTGGTGTGTTGTGTGATGTTACAGTAGTGTTGGTGTGTGATGTTACAGTAGTGTTGGTGTTGAGTGATGTTACAGTAGTATTGGTGTGTTGTGTGATGTTACAGTAGTGTTGGTGTGTTGTGTGATGTTACAGTAGTGTGATGTTACAGTAGTGTTGGTGTGTTGTGTGATGTTGTGTGATGTGTTACAGTAGTGTTGGTGTGTTATGTGATGTTACAGTAGTGTTGGTGTGTGACAGTAGTAGTGTTGGTGTGTTGTGTGATTTTACAGTAGTGTTGGTGTGTTTTGTGATTTTACAGTAGTGTTGGTGTGTTGTGTGATGTTACAGTAGTGTTGGTGTGTGTGATGTTACAGTAGTGTTGGTGTGTGATGTTACAGTTTTGTGATGTTACAGTAGTGTTGGTGTGTTTTGTGATGTTACAGTAGTGTTGGTGTGTTGTGTGATATTACAGTAGTGTTGGTGTGTTGTGTGATGTTACAGTAGTGTTGGTGTGTGATGTTACAGTAGTGTTGGTGTTGTGTGATGTTACAGTAGTGTTGGTGTGTTTTGTGATGTTACAGTAGTTTTGGTGTGTTGTGTGATATTACAGTAGTGTTGGTGTGTTTTGTGATATTACAGTAGTGTTGTGTGATGTTACACTAGTGTTAGTGTGTTGTGTGCTGTTACAGTAGTGTTAGTGTGTTGTGTGATGTTACACTAGTGTTAGTGTGTTGTGTGATGTTACAGTAGTGTTGGTGTGTTTTGTGATGTTACAGTAGTGTTGGTGTTGTGTGATGTTACAGTAGTGTTGGTGTTTTGTGATGTTACAGTAGTGTTGGTGTGTTGTGTGATGTTACAGTAGTGTTGGTGTGTGATATTACAGTAGTGTTGGTGTGTTTTGTGATATTACAGTAGTGTTGTGTGATGTTACAGTAGTGTTGGTGTGTTGTGTGATGTTACAGTAGTGTTGGTGTTGTGTGATGTTACAGTAGTGTTAGTGTGTTGTGTGATGTTACAGTAGATTTGGTGTGATTTGTGATGTTACAGTAGTGTTGGTGTGTTGTGTGATGTTACACTAGTGTTAGTGTGTTGTGTGATGTTACAGTAGTGTTGGTGTTGTGTGATGTTACAGTAGTGTTGGTGTTGTGTGATGTTACAGTAGTGTTGGTGTTTTGTGATGTTACAGTAGTGTTGGTGTGTTGTGTGATGTTACAGTAGTGTTGGTGTGTGATGTTACAGTAGTGTTGGTGTTGTGTGATGTTACAGTAGTGTTGGTGTGTTTTGTGATGTTACAGTAGTGTTGGTGTGTTGTGTGATATTACAGTAGTGTTGGTGTGTTTTGTGATGTTACAGTAGTGTTGGTGTGTTTTGTGATGTTACAGTAGTGTTGGTGTGTTGTGTGATGTTACAGTAGTGTTGGTGTTGTGTGATGTTACAGTAGTGTTGGTGTTGTGTGATGTTACAGTAGTGTTGGTGTGTTGTGTGATAAGAGCATTGACAAAAGTACTAAACAAAGAGCAGAAATGTTAAAGCATACATTTAAAATATACATACCAAAATTTGAATTCTGGTAATCTTCGCATAAATGGTTTGAATTCTTCATTAGCTCTAGTAGGAAGTGATGGGCCATCTTCTGAAACATAAATTACATCATGATTATATACTACATTCATATTTTATCTATATTTAGTTTAAGTGTTTAATTGAATTTCTTTCCTCAATACATAATTATTCAGATGAATGAAACTGACCATATAAAGACATGATCATATGCAAGGTTCAACGTAAGTGTCTAGGTTGGCTACATGTTTATTGTTACAACCACAACTTACCAGGACATTAAAATATCAAAAAATAATTCAAACCAGAAAATCTGAACTTTAGATAAGCAGGACACTTTTTAAAAAGCATGCAAATGAATATCATAATGAAACACTTTCAATAAAATGTAAAGAAGAAGTAGTTTAACAAAGATACAAAAGCATGACCTAAGGCAGGTATGTATATATTCAGAAGGATTGAAACAGGAAGTCACTTTTATTTTTGTATGAAATAGATACAAAATGGTGCATTCTGGGAGGATTTGGTAATACATATATTACTTCTGTTACAATATAAGTATGAAAAAAGACTGAGCTTAATACAATCAGAATAACAAAATTCTCATAAGTAATGTTAATCAGTGAGGACAAGGGGAAATTGTAAGTATAAAATCGGGAATTTTGTGAATAAAATTGGGAGTTCATTTTTCATTTAAATGAACAGAAAACCATAAATGCAAGCAAAAAAATCTATATGGTTCCCTGTCTAGACAATTACAATTGGATCACAAACAATTATTTGATGTCCTATTTTCAGTTCTAGGAATCTCTTTCCAAAGTACTTTTGATTCCTACACGACCTCACTCAAGGTTTTCAGTCCAATAGTACAATTGTAATATGTTACAACCTGAATCATTGTTAAATCTTACCTGCATCATCCTCAACCAATGCTGGGTCAACTTGAGGAGTGAGAAAGGCCAGGAACATGTTCAGTAAATATATCCCTAGTGCATATGTTACTATATACCAGCCCTGTAAGGAAGCAAAAGAAACATGTGTCATTATTCCTGACTGAATATCTAACTCTGAACAAGACAATAAACACGTGTCCTTGTTTCTAACTGAATATCTAAATCTGAACAAGACATCTTTAGTGTAGTAGCTCTTGATCAATAGCATTAACAAATTTTCATATGTCTAAGGGTTGCAAACAGTCTCATGACCAAACAGGCATTGAACACATTTATACTACCAGTGCCAATGACCTTTAGAATTCTCAGATAGACATGCAGGGTTACAACAAACACAGATTTTATATAAGATTCCTGATATGCATAAGTAGATCAAAGTGGAAACCTACTGTTGAAATTTTACACATATACAGACTGTGTTGGGTTTTCATCAGTAACCTATAATTAATTTCTGAAGCCAACGGCCTGACATGTAACACTTACCTGCAGTAAGATGACTCTCACACAATAAGCCAAAGACAGTAAAATTGTTGAAATCCATCGTACGCCTGTATGTGGTGTAGTTCTATCCAAGTTACTTTGATAAACCTGAAAAACAAAAACTCAAAGCTCATGATTCAAAACTAACAATCAACTACAGATAATGCTTCCAATCACTGTAGTAGTTATGATTAAAAACAAGAGTATCAATGAAGATGATGATTGCTCCCCAAAACAATTTTATTGGACACAAAATTTTAACAAAGGGCAATAACTCTGTAACTGAGGGGTCAAGGGCCTTGAATGCGATACATGGAGCATCATCTAATTACAACCAATGTATGACATACATAAAAGGGCAGGAGACGGATGAACAGACAAGATTGCAACTACATGCTCCACTGAAAAATTTACCAGGAGCATAAAAATATATAAATATATCATGACAAAACTCAAGATATTGATTACCAGCAATATCCCCCACTCACAGAATTACATTTTAGATGTACGATATTACAATGCAAAAAAGTAAATATACTCTTTATGAAATTTATGATATTTATGAAAAAATCCCACTGAGTAACAGCATCTTAGTTGTGTAGAACAACACTTATATATTTTCATAAATCTTACAGTCCAAATAATTACATAGCACATGATTTCTAAAATATGGACTGTCCAATTCTTCTTGGTAAGAAACAGATTGAAAATTCCTGATATATAAACAGCTGATTGTTGGACAAAACTTTACAACAAAATTTACAGAAATGGACTAGACATTGACAAAAAGCATATTTTGTTACCGTTCCTATCTGTCTGAAGAACTGACGAACAGGGTTTTGAGGCGGAGGTGCTGCCAATCCATCCGATTCAGCCATTTTGTAAGGAACTGTACAGTGAACCTGTGAAATACAAAATTACAATCAATAATCTCACTTTTACAATCTCTTCATGTCTGCCCACATTATACAATAATGCATTTCTAACGTGGATGAAACACTTTAATGCAGGAGCTGTAAATAATTTTCACTTATTTTGATACCCATGAATTTTCCCACAACATTAAAACAAATGATCATGTCCATGTTTGGAACAGAGCGTGTTTTTTTTTTTTACTGAACAGCCCATTAAACTTGATACAACGTAGATGACCCCAATAGTCATAATTTTTATATTCTGATGTGCTGTAAGTGTTATGCGTTATTACAGTCTAATGAAAAAATAAGCCTGACTCAGCACTCAGACCACAATTATGGAAAGATGTTGTCTTTTTCAAAGGCATGCTGCTGAGGAAGTGAAAGGTGTGCTCTTTACCTACAAGATTTCCACACAGGGTATATCTCATAATACACAAGTGAAATTATTCTTAAAACTTTTGTTTTGTTTACATTTGCATTGGTAGTCTGTTCTTGTAATTGTCATATATACCTGTAGTCTCTTCGAGAGACGATCTAATAAGGCTAATTAATCTGCTGAATCATTTGTTGACATTAATGTAAGCAATTTTGTTTATTATAAATTGAAAAGTTGTTCTAAATAACGCGTTTGTATATTATCGTCGTTTTCAGCACATGAGTTTGTTCCTAACTGAGGAGTAATAATGATTTATGGAGTAATATATACTATCTATTGATTCCTGATGCCTCAAAATAATTTTAATATTATCACAAGTATTCATTAAGCAGAAACAAGCCCTCGTTGTTTTACGGTTAAAACACATTAAACGTTTTAGCATTCCCGACACTAAAATAAAAGACAAACTATTACTACCGAATCAATTGAAAAGCGACAGAAATAAACAAATGTACGTGTCGTTTATAACAGAAAGATATATGCAAAGGAATGTCGACGAGATCCGAAACTAACCTACCAAAGCACCGGCAAAGGTTTTTCACGGGAATGAAAATAGTTCAACAGACCTGTTCGTTCTAATAATGAATAAGATAGCCGGAGTTAACAGTCCATCAGTAAACCAGTGTCCAAAACGTTGTAACTGTGATGTAAAAAGACAAACTTTGAGCTAGCCACGTTGCAGACCTCCTGACGAATCAATGGATGCTTTGACATATCCGGTTGAGCATGCGCATGCCAGTAACAAAAAAATGCGGTATTACTATTTCCGACAAGAAACGACAAGGGCTAAAATTACTAACAAGAGCCAAAGAGACAAATCCTCAAGAACCAACAAGAAGGAGAGGGATCAGATTTTTTTTCTCCGAAAGTATATGATTACTTTTTTTTCAAAAAGTACAATAGAAAGCTTGACATTTTCAAATTGATTGATTGTGTTGACTTTTGTGATGAATAATTTCTGTTCATTTTTTATTATTATAACACAATAATGCTGTTATAACTGAAATACCACCGTTGAATGCCACTTATGTTTTATGTGGATAAATAAAAACGTATAGAAATTACTTTAGATGCAAATGCAGAAAAATCGGCTTTCGCCGTTGTCTTGTTGATTCAGAATCATTCTAGTTGTTGTTGATTTTCTCTCCAACCTTTAGATCTTTTGGGTGTTTCTTTAATCGTCACCAAAGATCAACTTCCGGTCAGATTCGCACATGGGTTGGCAAATGACTTTCGCTTTTACCAATTCACGGAAAGATGACAACTTTTCGATATTTAGTGTGTTTTGCCTATATAGGTAAACCATACAGGTTGGTGTTAAACGTTTGCAAACATAGAATCCGTTACATGTGTTGATTTTTATAGATAATTTGAGAATAAAAGCTGACTTCGGTTACATATACGTAAACAGTGTAGTGTTGGTCAATTGTTTTTTACAAATCGTACAAGTCAGGAACCACTGAGAGAATTTTGATGAAATTTGGACAGTTGCATTATTGGGAAAAGCAGAACAAATTTGATATAACTGATGTGTCTAGGCCTCCAGGGATTTGAGGAGCTGGGTCCACAAGGGGGAATTTTGCAACTCCTTTAAAATCCTAACCCTCCTGTGGAGTGATTGGATTTTGCCCAGATTTGGTCTAAGGCATCACAAATTACAGGCTGATATGCTCTTTTTTGAAAATTACAAACAATCAACACTCTACTTCAAAGTCGTCCAATTATACCGTTATATCTTTATGTCGCATAACAGTATATTTTAACGACTTTGAAGTTGAGTGTTGCTCATTTGTTATCTTCAAAAGGAGAATATCTACCTGGGATTTGTCACTTTTTATCCTGGAAGCAATTAAATTGCTTTGCTTTTGCCTTCAATTTTGCCATGACATGTTGGAGGGACGCGGAGAGCGAATGTGATTGTAACCCCTGGAGAATCGAGGATGACTTATGGGGTACACAGGGTTAGAAAAAAATATTTTCAGCTACTCGTCTGTCGGGCAAGTGAAACTTGAAATTTACTTGCCCGAATACAATATTCACTCACCCGAAGATAAAAGGCAACAGAACATAATTTAAGGAACACAAATTTTATCATAAATTTCTATATCAAATGTTTGAACTCAACACTTGCTTTTATTGTTTTACTCATATTTAATTCACTGTTAACGTGAGTGTGAACATCAACTTTTTGACAGTAACTACATACACAAAACAACCTGTTTACAACATTTGTGGTGACGTAAAAGGTTTTCGCATAGTCTGGATCAGCCCGAGTATTGACATGTGATGTAAACAAGGATACTACATCAATGTATTTGATTGACAATCAGTGGATCTAAATTAGTTTTAAGAGTGTTTAAGTTGATAAACGTCATTTATTATGAAATATCAAATAGTCAGAACTACAAATTTCACTCACCCACCGGACAAGTAGCTGAAACAAACCACTTGCCTGCAAGTAGCTTTGACTGGTCTAGACGAGCGGACGAGTGGATTTTTCTAACCCTGGGTACAGTGTTATTCATAGGTAGGGTACTATACATGGGGAGGATAATTTATTTATAGTGTAGGGTACAGTGTTATGCATGGGTAGGGTACAGTTGTATACATGTTAGAGGTATGATGTTATACATGGGTAAGATACAGTTGTATACTTGATAAGGGTACAGTGGGGAGGGTACAATGTTATACATTAATGATAAATGACAATTTCTTTCTCTCTTGTAGAGGATTACAGATACAGCACAACTGTGAAAATACAGTGCAGAGAATATTACAGGTCAGTATTTCATTTTCATTTGGCTTGCAGCAAGTCCTGCAGCATATGATAGCCCAAGGCTGTTCAAGGCCACAGTCACCCTAACCCTAATGTTGGACATAAATTGATAAAGTAGGTGGGACCGAAATGGCCTATCGAATTACTGTTGTCATGGAAACTGAGGCCTAATAAGGTCAGAGACTGGTTTTTTTTATCCTGGTAATGTCACTTGAGTGAGGCTTCTGGATAGGTCAGTATGTTATTAACAACCAGGGTTCCCCCCTCCACCATTACCAAGACTTCTGAGAATTGATCAGAAGCACATCAGCCAGACTTTCTCACAACCTTGTCTGAAACTTTTAGAGACAGATTCTGCCAACTTGAAATTTCTGCAGAGATTTGTGACTATAGATGAAATGTTGGTTGGTCCATCATTTCGCCTCAGAGGCCAAACTGGTTCACCCCACCAATGAAGGCAAAGACTGTTCCATCAGCTGGAAATGTTATGGCCTTGATTTTCTGCAATGCAGATGGTATTCTGATGGTAGATTATCTGCAGAAAGGGACAAACAATCAATGGCACATTTTATGTTTAACTTCTTATGCAGTTAAGAGAAAATATTAAACTCAAGTGCCATGAAAACTCGGTAATGGTGAGTAGTTCCCCCAAGACAATGCCACTGATCTCAAATCAGTCATTGCCATGACTGCCATTAACAATTGTGGCTTTGAACTGATTGAGCATCTGCCTTATTCAACTGATTTTGCTCAATAAGACTTTAAAAAATTGAGAAAGGCCATTTTCGGTACCCACATCAGCCAGATTAAGATGTCATACATGCAGTGTAGGACTTTCTGAACAGTAAAGAAAAGGAATTCTTTGAAAGTGGCAGATACTGCATGGGATTATGTTGGAAAATGATGCAATATGTTTGCCAAAAGTAAAACCCTTAAATATGAGGCTCACAACTTATCAATAAGTCCTCGCTGCTAACCATTGGACAGTCAGTCAAGGCTACCGAATACTGTTGTGGTCTTACTACAGGTAGCTCTGAAGTCTGTTTAATAAGAATCATCCTGTAGATTTAGTTGATATCATCAGTCTTAGTCTATCCATACCTATAGTAAGCCCTACAGAAAAAAGGGGAAGAGTTATAGCCCTTTAAAATGTTATGAACCATCACAATCAGAAACAATTTAGGTTAATTAAAAGGCAGGGTCAACACATCCCTGGGTATGAGTTTAAGGATGTTGAAGCCTGCTATGAAGGCCCCAAGCCTGTATCGGGTTAGGGTTAGAATGATCGGAATAACAAGGATGTATTGTCTCCATGTGCAATATTTTGTAAGTGATATTTTTCTGAAATCTACTTTGACAGGGAACCTTGAGGGCAATACTGCAACGGCCTGACCTTGAGACTACCACCAGCAGCCGCACAGACAAAGGAGTACATGCTCTTTCTACCTATCTCCACTTTGATTTGTCTGTTGGGTAGGTATTTTCAATTCAACCACTTCAGGTAGTGGCTGCCTGTATCTACATCCTGTGTTCATCACTTCATTACTGTCCACTATCTCCTTGAATATCATACATAGGCCCACTGGCCAGTGCATTCTTTGCATATTATTTCACATGTTTTGGTATTGCACTTTAATTTGCCTTATTGTCTTGTTTATCTACAGGTCCACCTTAGATGATGGACAAATTTTCCAGCCTCCTGATTTAAAAAAGCTTTCTGAGGATGTGAATGCCAGACTTATTTCAAATAAGGAATGCATCAGGTGAAATGCTTTAAACCATTTATTACCTTTTAAATGTGATCTCAAAGTGTATAAACTTTTAAATGAGATGTCAAAGAGGATAAACTTTAAACCTGGTATCAAATTGTATAAATTTTAAACCAGGTTTCAAAGTCTATAAACTTTTAAATCAGATTTCAAAGTGTATAAACTTTTAACCAGATTTCAGTATGTATAATCTTTCAATTGTAAAAAAATTTAAACCAGGTCACAAAGTGTATGTTAAACTTTTAATCAGATCTCAAAGTGTTTAAACTTAAAACCATATCTCAGTGTGTATAATCTTTTAAGCAGATCTCATTGAGTACACTTTTATATCAATATGCACAATCATTTAATTAAGATAATATCTCAAAGTGTATAAACTTTAAGCTCTCAAAGTGTATAATCTTGAATCAAGATCTCAAAGTGTATAAACTTTAAGCCATATATTACTGTGTAAAAATTTTAAACCAGGTCTCAATCTGTATAAAGTTGTATATAAGACTTTAATGTGTATAAAATTAAAAAACAGATCTCAATGTGTATTAACTTTAAACCAGATTACAGAGTTCATGATATTTTTAATATTTTATAATAATTATGTTTAAACTTGTCTATACAATTTTAATGTGTCAGAAATCTACTAAATAAAACTCAAGTGTAAACAGAGTTAAATTTTATTTTCACTGATAAACCAAAAACTGCCTTTTTACACAACAACATGAAAACATCATGACCATGTATTATTTGTGCTGTACATCATACCACGGTGAAACTACTTATTGTATTGTCATAGACAAGAGATAGCAGCATCACTTAGACATATATGTAGAAGAGGTCAACTAGAGTGATCAATATTAGCTTAAAGCTTGTTTCAGAATTGTCGTATAATAATGAAATTTATATTTATATATTAGTATACAAAAAGCTATATGATGCAATTTATTTCATGATTTGATTAAACTGTGTTTATTCTAATTTGATATTAAAAGGTACCATTTGCTTGTGTGTCTAACGTGCAGTCTTTTAAACAGTTGGTGCTAGACTCTACCAGTGGAATTTGGTCCTCCTGGTTGATATGACCTGTAATACCGAGTTTTGATTGATTTGAATATAAATCATATAGATCACATATTTTAATGGAAGTCTGGTATAACACTATCTGTCTGGTCTTTACAGCACTAGGTATTGTAAAACAGTCACAAAATTTCACTTACAGTGAAATTGTTACTTTTAAGTCATTGCATACTTCCCTTTCACTTGCTGTCTGGGGTCGTGAAAAGGTATGAAGTCACCTTCTTGACCATGTGGGGTAGGTATTCTGTCCTCTAGTGAGACTCCTCATGCCCTTCCATCCATGCCAACAAGAGTGATTAGTATAACCTTAAAAGCTTGTTTTGCAATTGTTGTAAAATAAATAAAATAGATTTGTTAGGAAGTCTGTTGCAGAAATTTTTCAATTTGGAAGATGTCTGATCTATACCAAAAAGGTAATAATAAAATGTACATCTGGTATTGGAGCTTCTGGGAACTACATACACTTGTACATTGGTAATCTGTTGTTAATGTTACAGAGTTCGAAATATCAAGCAGGTTCCCAGCTCATTTCACTGCCGTTTTGATGCAAAAACCAGGAGTTATGTATACCGCTTAGCAATTGGTCGCAAAGAAGGGATATTTCTCATGCAGGCTTTAATGGAATCAACAAAAATTGAATGGATTTGGTAAATATGTATCATTTGATATTGCCTTTAAATTTTGACAGATGATAATCATTCACCAACTTGCTGATAAGAGATTTCTATTCATTTACATTTCTAGTTTTTAACGGTCTGTATATTATAGACTGAAGCAGAGATGAAAAGATTTCTAGCTGCCAAAGTTTTGTATATTTTAGAGACAAAAAAATTCATGCTGTCAAGGCTCTGTATATTATAGAGACAGAGATAAAAAGATTTCTAGCTGCCAAAGTTTAGTATATCATAGAGACAAAAAAAATTCATGCTGTCAAGGCTCTGTATATTATAGAGACAAAAAGATTTCAAGCTGTTAAAGTTCTGTGTATTATAGAGAAAGAAAGACTACTGTAAGATTTCTAGCTGTCAAAAGTTCTGTGAAAAAGACAGAAAAACTGCTTATACATTTCCACCTGAACTTTTTTTTTGTATATAAATCTGCAATACACTGGTGACTGTTTGACTTTGAGAGTGACATTATACTTTGAATACTACAGCAGTTAATGGTTTGTTTACTATGACAGTGACATTATACTTCGATAACGACTGACATTGATACTTCGGTAATACTAACAGTTGCTAATGGTACAAACCATTGTGATACAGGTATCCCAACTTCAACTCCAGTAAATTTATCAAAGCGGCTGAAATGTTCGCTGGAAAGAACCAGTTCTCACTTTATCGAAAACCTGACAGGAGGAGGGATTTTGCTGGTCCAACGGAACGATCAGTTATAGTGCATATACGACGTGGAAATTTATTGTTTAATGAATGCTTTGAAGGAAATGCAGAACTCTGGGATGTCCATATCACAAGCAGATCTTTCATGCGAAAACAGGTAAATCACCTCTACACATATATAAGGTAATTTCTGTTATATTCTGGTGTGTTATAGGAAAATCTTCTCTGTTAACAATCTTGTGAGTTATAGGTAAATATGTGTTAACAATCTGGTGACTTAAAGGTAATCTTCTCTGTTAGACACAGACACAGGTAAATCCTTTATCTACTGTAATGATCTGGTCAGATACAGGTAAATCTTTTATCTACTGTAATGATCTGATCAGACACAGGTAAATCTTTTATCTACTGTAATGATCTGGTCAGACACAGGTAAATCTTTTACCTACTGTAATGATCTGGTCAGATACAGGTAAATCTTTTACCTACTGTAATGATCTGGTCAGACACAGGTAAATCTTTTATCTACTGTAATGATCTGGTCAGACACAGGTAAATCTTTTATCTACTGTAATGATCTGGTCAGATACAGGTAAATCTTTTATCTACTGTAATGATCTGGTCAGATACAGGTAAATCTTTTACCTACTGTAATGATCTGGTCAGACACAGGTAAATCTTTTATCTACTGTAATGATCTGGTCAGACACAGGAAAATCTTTCTACTGTAATGATCTGGTCAGACACAGGAAAATCTTTCTACTGTAATGATCTGGTCAGACACAGGTAAATCTGTTACCTACTGTAATGATCTGATCAGATACAGATAAATAATTCTACTGTATATAAATATATTACCAGTGCTTACTCAAGATGAAGCTTCCTCTATTTAATTAAATTGTTTATTTAAGTGAAAAACTTTAGTTTGTCGTTTCTTTCTGAGCTATAATTATTTAAGTACTGCAGTTACCACACAAGTTGATAACATCAGTCGTATCCATGTTTCCATAGGACTTGTAATACTGTGCAATGATTGCCTACACAGGTGCGGAAAATGATAGGTGGCATGGTTAATGTTGGAAAAGAAATGGTCACCTTGGAGTCACTGAAACGCATGCTAAATGGCCAAGGCACACAGAACTCAAGGGACATAGTAGGAGCAAAGGGACTTTTTCTGAAATCAACAGCGTTCAAACATGAAGGTACTTGATTATAGATAAGAGACATATTGGGCAATATAACTGGCACTGATCTAATATTTTATCCAGTAACAGGTACGCAGCAAACCTACAGCCTTGTTGTGTCAATTCACTGTGATCTTAATTTCAGAATTATCTTACTCCTTGTAAAAATGAAAGTTTTAAAACCATAATGACAGCCAACATATCGCTATTACAATCCCTAAATATTGAAGTAATTTAATGGTTCATGAAATAGCGAAATTATAATCCCCGGAGTATTAATGATATAATTATTCACAAATATTGATACTATACATCCCCGGAGATAAAAATGTTATAACGATACACAAATGTCGATATTATACATCCACGGAGGTGTTTATGTTATAATGATACACAAATGTCGATATTATACAGTGCCAGATGTTTTAGGGTTCCTATTATGATACATGAAATATCAATATCATACATCTCCAAATATATTCATGAAAACTTTTACTGAGTAGGAGTTAATGAATGTTTCCTTAACTGTCTGTTGATAATGTAAACATATATATATTATAATGGTAGTTTTATTATAGTGTTTTTCGTGTATGGTTGCGCTTTTTTTACTTTCTAAATGACGCTTATATAGAAATGATTATAAATACTAAAATTTATCATTGCACACATTTGTTCAGAATTGATAGCATGCTTATTGTTTTACAGTGCCACAATAAGTTCACTTACAGGGTACTTTCTGTATAACTTTCGGTGGTAGTTACAATCCTGTCATATTTATTAACAAGTCCCTCTATAAAGTCTGTGGTAGCTAAAACCCTGTAATTTCTAACCCCCTATCGTTATCTGTGGTCCAAAACACACAGTCATCTTTGTCAGAGAATCCACTATCAACTGTCTGTGGTAGTTAAAACATTGCAATCCCTATCAATAACCCCATATCGGTTAACTCTTCCACATTTCATCATCCCTTCAGAACAAAATGTTAAACATTCCATGATTCCTTGTCAAACTCAATAAGATCCCATTTTCCTTATTAACCAACTCTTCAGCATTTAATTACTTCCTCATCCAACTCTAGAACATTCGATCATCCTTTCAAACCAACACTTAGCATTTTCTCATCGAACTGTTTAGCATTCCATCACACCAACTCAGTTAAATCCCAAATATTTCCCATCCAACTCCTCAGCAATCCTTTAATTTTTTCACCTATTCTCAATCAGCTTTTGGTAGGTAGTGTGGTGCAGTGATTATACACTTGACTGAACAGACTTACTGGGGCATATAACAAAGGAATACTTATTTCTACAAGTTTAAAATTCTAGTTGACTGATAAGCTTCATGTGGAAAATCCTATTAGATGAATTGGCACTTCTTGTATATGTTATGTATCCATGCTGTTAAGATTCTGGCTTGTAAAGATTGATCGAGTAGATATTCACATCAATGTGCGTTCACAACCTGTGTTGTCAAAAATTATCCTCATATGCTAATAGAGTAGGCAGTGTGCATAGAATGTTGAAAGCTCCATACATGCTTTCTTTTAAAATGAAATATATGAGAACAAGAATCATTCCAAATTATTGATTTTTATCTTTTTTCTTTATTCTTTATTCAACCAATTGTTGAAGTTGAGGAGATGCAAGGAAATTTAATTGATAATTGACAAAAAAGAGGATGTTACACAGCAAAAGCTGTATAGTTCTGGTAGTTATACATGAAAGATGTGGTCAATGGATTTCTTGTTATTGAAAGACACCACATTCATCAGTATATCTGAAGTGAAATAATAGGAAGTTGCAAGGTCTTCATGACAAGTTTTGATAAGCTCTTCAATATACACAATAAGTGACCATGGGTATGACAATAGTTTCTGTTGGAAGATCTTAGAACAAAGATTTATTGAGAATTTTTCCTTAAAACTGTATGTCTATTTTTTTCAGCTTTTGAATTTAATGATGAAAATGCAGATCAGCTACTTAATGAACCGTGCTTGTTTGAGGGCCCACATTTCCAGAACTGTGACTTACATGAGAACCAGGAATCATCTATAGCCGAACATGATGCTGGAGAGTATAGGGAAAACAATTTGTGCCAAAAAGATACAAAAATGTGTGATATATTAAATCTTAAGAGTATAGGGGACAATGTTCATCAAACTTGTGACAAAACTTCTGAATGGCAATTAGATTGTAAAATCCATAAAGACATTAAAAAGGGTTGAAAGGGAATCTGGATAAGTTTTTAATTGTTTTATCAATCAATAAATTTTCTTTTCTTATCTGTACCATCAGTGCCATCAACGAAACTACCAACATGTAAAAAGAATCATAATCCTAACTCAAATTCAATAAATACATAAATAAAAGGAAAACAAATTACACAGACTCATAAAAAGCATGAGAAAAAATGAGACCAAATGTTCGGGAACAGGAAGTGTCTTCTGCTTCATCGACGACATCCACCATGTAAATATTGGTCAATCCAAGTAAGTAATGTCAGGTTCCCAACTGTGATTACTGTTAACAGCAACAACAGGTTTCACTCTCTCCCGACTTCATATCGCATAAGGAAGTACAATGTTTCCCAAGGAGGTCATTGTACAACCGAAAGACCTTTCCAGCATTTTTATCAACCTGCATCTCTTGAAATCCTTGGTGTGAGTTTATCTGTTAGTATGATCTGTCAACACTATAGGTTGGGGCACAGAATAATCTAGTTTACATATCACCGACGTTCTTGTTCAGCTTCGTTCGGATCTGCTTCCCTCAGCTGTTTGCATATTCTCACCTGTCTTGTTCAGCTTCGCTCGGATCTGCTTCCCTCAACTGTCTACATATCCTCAACTGTCTTGATCAGCTACGCACGGATCTGTTTCCATCATCTGTCTACATATCCTCAACTGTCTTGATCAGCTACGCACGGATCTGCTTCCCTCAACTGTCTACATATCCTCAACTGTCTTGATCAGCTACGCACGGATCTGCTTCCCTCAACTGTCTACATATCCTCAACTGTCTTGATCAGCTACGCACGGATCTACATACCCTCAACATTCTTGATCATCTTATTTCGGATCTGCATACCCTCAACATTCTTTATCATCTTAGTTCGGATCTGCATACCCTCAACAGTCTTGATCATCTTAGTTCGGATCTGCATACCCTCAACAGTCTTGATCATCTTAGTTCGGATCTGCATACCCTCAACAGTCTTGATCATCTTAGTTCGGATCTGCATACCCTCAACAGTCTTGATCATCTTAGTTCGGATCTGCATACCCTCAACAGTCTTGATCATCTTAGTTCGGATCTGCATACCCTCAACATTCTTTATCATCTTAGTTCGGATCGGCATACCCTCAACATTCTTTATCATCTTAGTTCGGATCTGCATACCCTCAACATTCTTTATCATCTTAGTTCGGATCTGCATACCCTCAACATTCTTTATCATCTTAGTTCGGATCTGCATACCCTCAACAGTCTTGATCAGTGTCATTCGGATCTAGATACTCTCATCGTTCATTATCAGCTACGGTCAGGTCAGCATGCCCTCGATAGTCTTGATCAGTTTCGTTCCGATGTACACAACCGCAAGTTTCTTGCTCCATTCGGACTTGCTTACCCTCCTCTGTCTGCATACTCTCAATGGTCATGATTAGCTTCGTATGGATTTGCATATATGTGGGAGAAAAAATACATAATTCCTTTACAAGATCATAGTCATGAGAATAACATGATATGTTGCCGTTCCAAACACTGTATATATATCGGCCCTACATAAATAACATTAACATCTACTGATAGTAAAGACTAAAAGAATCGTGCGCTCATTAGCTATGATATGGCACTTATTTCCAAGAAAAATACTTTACTTTATCTTAATAAATCTAACAAAGAAACCCTAATAGATCTATAAACTCATAAATGTCATGGCAACCTCTTGAAGCTTCAATACGGACTTATTACAAAGCACTTGAGCCTAATTCAAAAACAGGTTTTGCCCATAACGTCATATCCTATATGGGATCGAAATGATCAAAATACGACATGTCATGCTCCCTTAAACAATTTTCGGAAATCCCAATTACTGTTTAAACATTGTACAAGATAGGAATTCCTGATTGGAGTCATCCAATATTCAAGCACATAGAGTTTAAAATATTAGTCGTGCCTGTGTATCACCTCGTTCTCATTTATATGCCGTTTGGCCAAAATCTTTTTCTGTCACTATGCATTCATCTTCTGCAATGATAAACACCTGAGCAGACGCTGTGCTCTTCCATCTCTTTTGAAAATACCTTAATTGTATTACATGTATAGTGGATTGTACTAGGAAGTCCAGCATTGCCACCTAGGACGTCAAACAGACTGATTCTTCGGCTACCCTGGCTGTTATAGCCAACAAACAACCTGTGATGTTCTTAACACTATCTTTTACCATAATATACTCTGATGACGGGAGGTGTACTGGTATTTAAGGGCTAGTGTTCTGATTTTCAGTATCTTTTCCATATCTTGTATTTTCGTTGCTGATGATGTGTGGTTTGGGTGACACAGGAGTAGCTTTTGGACGCGAATGTCGCATGTCAAGGAGTCATGGCTACATGTAAGGCCAATCTTGTTTATTATTATTCATCCTCTTATCCGAACTTTTGAAGGAAAGATAAACATTTACTTGTTAAAATATAAGATATGAATTAAAAACGTGTCCCCGTAATCAAGCGAATCATGTTATGGTGGTAATTTCTGCCGAAACATTTAGCCACCTGATAAATCACAAAATATATACTCACATTTGCAGTCTGTAGACCATGAACTTACATATAACTATTTTTAACGGCTCAGTTAAATTTGCACGGGGCAGGGTTTTCATCAATTTTCCTTCATTCATCATTTGCTGGTATTTTAAGATTACATTGTACTCCAAGAATAGCTTACATAGAAAAATAAGTCTATGCACTATACAGCATTTGCTCATGGTGATGCTAATATCTCACAATCAGAGCTTGAAATATTGTTCAATTTTGACACCCTATCACCTCTACTGGTCACATTTGAACAGTCAAAAATGCTCTAATGTGAAAGTAAAACCTCTCATTTTTAATTAATTTCAGTACCAATGACGCACAAGAGGTAGGTACTACACTTCAGGAAAAAAATCTCAGATTTCAGTGTCTTTTATTGTATATTATATCAATATATTATTGTTTTTACGACAATAATGAAATATGCCGTAAAAAATATTATGTAAGAATATACTATTAGTATTTATTATCTTCAAATGATGAGAAGATTTTATTTGAAAATATTTAATTGCACGTAAGTAGCAATAGGATTGGGCACAAGCTTTACAACTCACATAAGGCAATTTCCAAATATTAATACACACACATTATATTTATATCATAGTGTATAACACGTATTTCGTTTGTTGATAATACTTTGTACATATGTAGATCATGCATCTGCTCCGTCTCCATGCAAGCGAAACAGGTGACATACTGTATACATGCCTAAACTCACAACTTGTCAATGTCTATCACTTCCCGTGCTTTGTATACTTCCTCCTTGTCACTCATTGCTTTCTGGAATATCTGTTTCCACTTGTTCGCATACACAGAGAAGGAACAGGTGCATGGTACACACATACAAATGCGTTTCCATTATGAGAAATATATTAATTTTAGACGTTAATATCGCATTTCTTTCATAAAGATATCAGTGTTATCATTCGCAAATATTAATAGTATAGAATATAGAGTGAGGAAGAGCGGGTATAGATCTGCTTGCTAGAATCTGTTTGTTTCGTGGATATATTGCCGAGTATGCAAAAATATAGTTGGGGTTCTTGTTCGGACAGAGAAGTGTTTCCAAAAAGGAGTAAATTTAAGTTTAAGGGTATGTATTCATTGAGTTGATGAACAGCTTTATTCGTTAGTCAATATAATTATCACAATTATCATTATCACGATCGGGTCCGTTCATTACACATGTACACACAGTTTCTTATATAATGCGGCGATCGGGTCCGTTCATTACACTTGTACACAGTTACAGATGAACACTCAGCAAGCAGAGTTACAGAGAGTTCATAGTGGGTAGGAAAGGAAGGAAAAGAAAGGAAAGATGAAATAAGAAGCCAGGAATGTAGATATCAGGACGGGAGTGATAAATGATCTGTCATTTGATAGGGTTTACAAATAACACGAATACAGATATATATATAATTTTATATACAGCACGCACCCAGAACTCGACAATTTAAATAATCATATATATACAGTATAAAACAGCCTTACATACAAGACTTAATATAATCTTAATTCACAAGGATTTAATAATTTGACACAATGTATTTGTATTTGATGGTCTGGAGAGGAAAGGGGTGGAGTGGGGTTGGTTGACTGGAATCATTTTGTAACATCTAGTACAGGTGCATTGTACAATTATATGAGAGAGCGAGAGAGGGAGGGGGCGGGGCGGGGGGAGGGGAGGTTGACCATAAAAAACATTAAAATCAGCTAACAATTTTTATGATAGGTACTATTATGTGAGTGCAGAGGAAAGTAGTACAATGAAATCAAATATCTATTATCTATTGGAAAGGTCGTGCATATATATATATATAATCGATAAATATCTGTTTTTAAGTGTGATATCAATATAATTATATTAAAATGAAAATTGATTTAATCAATGAAAGAAAGATGTGCTAAAGTCTATGATAATTCTTTAAATATTATATATTGGCCAAATGTTCTCTCAAGTTTATCTCCAAACTACAAGATTGAACAACCTCCAGAATAACTCTCTAGATATCATCATTCACTCAAGTAAAGAGTGCCTTTGAATGTTGACCAAGCAATTTATTTCAAACTATTGACATCTTGTATACTTAACTAAGCTACAAGTATCGTTATCTAGTAACCAATGTCATATAACACATGTTATGATAACAGATATCCTATGTATTAAATAAATATCAAACATATATATGAAAGACGAAAATCTGGATAGATAGTCCATTCCTCAAATATTTAGCTTACTAAAGCTTCAGGCTACCCCCTGTATACTCCAGTGTTGACCAGAGACATCTACCTATTATAAACCCGTTCTTCAGAAAGACGTTTACTTGACAAAAATATAACAAAAACAAACTGAAAATAGAGCACAAACGTACTTAATGATCCTATGTACTAATCCTTAGCTCTAGGTAAGTCCTTATATCTTACACCCGTTCGTGGTTTGACCAATGCAATCTAGAAAGTTTGCTGACATCTGGCAAATGTAGATAAACAAAATAAGTTACTTTGACAAATCTTTGATTTATTTCTTTGTTGGTTTAATCCTTTCGTCTGTTACACGAAGCCATTTTCACCATTAAGATTCAACTCAACATCTTTGTCATCAGGGTCAGATGACATCGCTGGCTTCCATTCATCTGTTGGCTTCAGTGATTTGGAAAATCTCTGAAAGGATGAAAACATATTAGATAATTGAGGAAATTACGGTATAACAGCTCCGTCTGCTGAGACATGGAGGATGTATAATAGTGTCTTCAGCAATAACAAATATAACTCACAAGAGTGTCTAATATTTTACGAGCGCGCAGCACAAGTAACAGATTCAAAAATATTAGACACACAGGGAAATATGTTTGTTAATACTGGAGACACTATAAGATATTATAGTTATTACATTTTCGCTACCAAAAATAGCCAAATTACTGGCATATTTATGACAGACATAAAAGGAAAATAATACTATGCTTTTCGCGAACACTACTCTTTATAAATCCGCAGTACGTGTCATGATATAAGCGTGTTTTTTTAAATCCTTAGAAATATGTAAGCATAAAACTAAATTGTCATGTAAGTTAATTTTTATATTCACTTATTCCTTATTAATGTCACTAACAGACGCAATATGCAGTAAAACTAGTGAATAATATCATTTCATAAATAATATTTCTCTGTATTTCTACATCAGTTAAAGACCAAAAGACAAATATAATGTCTACAGCAAGCGATATGAGATCTGATGCAGTCAAGAACAAAGTGCTGAAAGCAGAAAAAAAACTGCTGATCATAAAAGCGTATACGTCGGACCACTACTTATTCTAGAAATCAAAACGCCGGCGGAAAGGATGATTTATTTATCAGGGGTTTGATATCAAACCAAAATTAGAGGATTAATAGCCCTTTTTGGCATATCTAAGATTTTTACTTACAAAGAAAATGTAATTTTTGCCTGAAAATTAACACATTACATTTTTATATCAAGATCATATTCTTTCAATGTAGCAGCATCTTGAAACGGAATCTATTTTCCCACAGCTTTGGGTTTAGATGCGGTGGTTATTTATCAAATGTGAAATAAGGAATACGAATGTGATGGGGATAATTTGCTACCGTTTACAAAGTATTAAATTATGAACTGCGGTTGGTCTAAATCTTGTACGCAGTGAATAATGATGACGTGCAGTAAAAATGTTACCTCCCGTACACTGCCTTTTAGACGTCTAAGTGTGAGGTACATGGTTATAGGAATAGGTATCAGAGGAAGAAAGGCGATAATCCAGCCTACTCCTATAGACCAAGCAGGGTAGGGTCTCAAACCATAGGTCACAGGTTGGTGATTAATGACACCAATCAGCCATAGAACCTGCAAAAGATACGTCAGTTACACTGTTAAACTATTCCTTCGTCTGGTAGTGTGATGCGATATTCATGATGTGATAAGCACACAGATGGACAAACACGATGATTATACTCACAGTGATAAGGGAAACGATACCAATAATATATGAAACAGTAAGATGATTATACTCACAGTGATAAGAGGGGAAACAAATAGTATAGAAAACTGGGAGATAATTATACTCACAATGATAAGAAACGATACCAACGGCATAGTAAACTAAAAAATGATTATACTCACAAGGATAACAAGAGACAATATGAATTGTATAGCCATCTGAGATATGGTATATTTACAGAAATGAGAGGAGGTGTGACGAACTTCCACAGAACCTTCCATAGTTTATTAGGCTGATACCCAATCATTGCTTCGATGTCCTTGTAGAGGCGGTCAGCACCTTGAGTAAAATCATTCTAGTATAACAGCTGTCGACAAAAATAAAGGACGATTCGTTTTAGTAAAAACACGATTTATGAAAAGCGGCTATTTAAAACTATTGTAGGGTGAGGTTTACAGAAAGACGCTAATGCTTGTAGATATGTGATTATATGAAGACATGTTGACAGTACTGTAAAATCATGTATTTTCGTGGGACTAAATTTTATGGGTTATATTAAAATACTATTTCGTGGATACTTGATTTCTTAAATAAGTAAACCCCAATGATTCTATTTATAATCATGTAATAGGTGACATTGATTCGTGAATAATGAGTACTCACGATATCAATAAAAATAAAGAATCTTGACAATACATGATTTTTAGCATCTTACTCTTTAGATCGAAGCAATGAGAGCAAAATATCAAAAAGACCAGGATTAAAACTGAGTTCCGAAAGGGTTAGCGTCTTCTGCTTCGTAGAAGACAAGTGTTGTTCTTGTCAATCCAGAAGGTAATGTTTTGCTATCAAATAAGTAACAAGAACATTAAAAAGAACAAAACACACGTCCTACTTACAAGTTACAAACAGATTGATCAGGGTCCGTATTCATGAAAACATTCTCATGCTCAAGCATAGATTTTGTGCAAACTTTTTTTTATAATTTGTCTAAATCATATAAAATAATACAAATGTCAAATATAAACATGGAATGTTACTTTGATTTGAAATCCCTATTTTTAAATCTTTGGCAAAATCAGTTGTATTTATTAATTTTTAACTTATGCAAGACATAAGGCTTGGGCACAAAATTCATTCTTGAGTATGAGAACGGTTTCATGAATACGGGCCTCGATATAGCCTAGTGATGTTATAGCGACCACAATAAAATGCATAGAGAATAAAGGAACCTCTTTCCAGCTAAAGTTAAAGCAGGATATAGAAAGCTGATTGGGAATTTATGAATGATATTATGGGTCAAAACTTTGCACAATAATGTGACTGCCTCTATTAATCAAGGTGGCAATGTTTCGAGATATGAACGTGGTGGTCGTCAAGGAGATCCTATCGCGCCATGTATTTTTATACGCTGAGTTTGGTGCAAAAGCTTGAAAAAAGTTACCATTAGGTAATGTATATCCAAAACACACCGATCTTTAATGTGCAATATTATGAAAACATTGGGTTGATTCTAGATAGGTAAAAGAATCACTGAATGAGTCCATTGATATACTAAATAATTATGTTAAGAATTCAGGTTTAAATATCAATACTGGCATGGCGCAAGTTATATGGATAGGTAGTAGTATTATGAGGTGTTCTACTTAACAGAACTTAATCGGCAATGTGATTAACATTCTTAGGTTTGGACTTCTAGGTAGATCTCACTTAAATTCCTAAAATGAATTTTGATAAAACCATTAAGATTTAAAGTCCTTGTTTAAATCTGTAGTAAACGAAATTCGGAACCATTTGCCAAGATAAATGTTTTGAAATCCTTATGAATTTCACAACTTATTATTCTACCAAATTCATTAGAAAATAATTATTACACAGTTGATCTTTTTCATAATTTGAGTTTCTATGGGTAAATATAATACGATAAAGGAAGATATGTTTATTTGAAATTGCGTTGAAGGTAGGTGAAAGATGATTGATTTAAATGTCTTTATAGATTCCTCAAGCTAAGCTGGGCAAGGAAAATAGTTCACCCCAGTGACAAATGGATTCTACTTTTAAAATCATTTATTGATCTTAAAGAAATGTATAAGTGTGCGAATAAATCAACTAGTTTTTGTCTAACTAATTTCACAAACGTATTCTGTAAAGATGTTTTTAATTCGTTGAAAGATCTTGACTGTAACCTTGACTGAGTAATGAGACACACAGAAAGTTGATGACATCTCTTTGATATACAAATATTTTAAGATAGTTAACAATGGATGTTGATGTTAAAAAGTGGAGGAAAATAAGATTTCATTTTCATTACTATAAGCTCCAAGTTGCAGTGGTTTCAATTTAGAATTATACATCACATCTTAGTAAATCATTTTTCTTCATAAAAGAGTTATGAATTATCCTTTTATTTACTCTTTGTAGTTTGACGCAAGAGAAGATAATTAATCGTGAATGGAAACGCCTAAAGCTTCAGATACTTCTTCAGAGGTTTGAAACTTTGCTTGCTGTTCTTTAAGTACAAGGACAAATCTATCATACATGATCTGAATGATGAATGAATACATTGCCCATTTTTATGGGTTGGGTTGGGTATATTGAGCTGTTTCTTTCCATGAGAGGCTCGCTAAAACTATTTCTAAATAATACTCCGTAAAGACTGGTTATATAATACTGATGCAAACTAAGGCTTTGTAAATGTTAGGTATACGAATCTGTCACCAGTTATGCATTGGTAAAGGTTGGGTAAATTAATGTTCTTCTAGTTAAGGCTTATTTAATGTTAGTTATAGAACACTGACTCTAATGCACCAGGGTATCAAGGTTTTACGAAAACTGTGTCCAGTTAAGGATTAATATAAGGTGGTTACAGGAAACTGTCTCCAATTAAGGATTAAAATATTTTGGTTACAGGAAAGTGTTTCCAGTTAGGGAGCAATGTAAGTTGGTTACAGGAAAGTGTTTCCAATTAAGGATCAATGTAAGTTGCTTACAGGAAACTGTTTACAGTAGATATTCACGAGATTTTTTTCCTCCTTTTCTTTTTTATGTAAGATTACTAAGACAATTGTTCATCATATTTTTATTACTTTGTGCAACAACTTTGGTGATGTTTCATTTTTACCATGATAATTGTCGATTCCAGCTCCATGGATGCGGAATTGACGTGGGTGTTTATTGGTATGTTAATGGGAGAGGAAGAACACTAACTAGTTATAATTCACATATGCAATATATTTCCATTCCTTTGGGTAACCTAGGCGACCGGTATTCGATATCCCTATTCGATTGCTTATGAAAAGGCATTCTGAGATTATTAAAATATTCAGACACTTTGGCCGTCGTTTCCTTGTTCTCGATATTTCTTGAAAGGCACTGGATCTTTTTTTTCAAATTATATGGAGTTTTATATACGTTATTTGTGAAAAGAGATTTTCATATATATAACGAAGAGTAAAAATCAGAGGAAAGAAAAGAAAAGAAATGAAAAGATTAAGAGAAAAAATAGAGATCAAACGACGATGAATCTTTCCCCATTGACTCTCGTCTACTAGTTGATCACAACGATTGTTTTATGATATCTACGTTAAAGTGAATATGAAAAGAAATATAATCATAGTTGAAAAGGCATGTAATCATCAGAGACATGCCACAGCAAAGGGATTATATATGTTTAAGATCTTGAGGGGTGAAGGTTTAGTTTGTAACGCGCATGGATAACGAGAGGGTTTAAAAAAATAGATTGACTCTTTTTAAAGTTAGTAGGGTTCTATTGATTTAAGGTTACATTTAGAGAGGTCCTATTAATTAAGCGTAAAATACAACACGAAAATACCAATATGTTAAATATAATCCAAACTTACATTTGAAAATTTAATAAAAGTGGCAAATTATGATAGAAAGAATTACGTGGAGACTCCTGAAAAGTATATGGAGAATAAGACCATGTGTTCCGGAAGAGTAAGCGTCTTCTGCTTCATCGACGACATCCGAACATGTAAATCATGGCCAATCCAAGTAAGTAATATGACGTTCTCAAAGGGTCAACATTAGAGGGGACCTATGAATTACTTTCGCTTTCTCTACCCCATGGAACATGCCATGGCAATATTGAAAGTTCCACGTGCGACAACTTGTGGAGAATACGAGAGGACTAGGTTGATGTACACGAAACGAATTTCAATGTCGCATAACGGTTTATTGTAATGGCTTTGCAACTGGGTGTCGCTCCATTGTAATCTCAGAGAGTGAAAGTGATCGTAACCCCTGGAGTATCGAGAATGGGTCAAAGTTAGTGTGTGTGTGTGTGTGTGTGTGTGTTGTATTTAGGGTTAAAGTAAGCTAGACAAGTCCTAGGAATTCAGAGTCAATGTTAGATGAGCCCCATGGGTTAAATAAATTTAAAATGAAAAGAACTATTATTTGTAAACATAACAAATTACCATGTAAAAATGCATAACATGAAGGTATGAAACAAATACATATAATGTCTATCTAATTTTAGTAAGAATACATTTATTAAATAACATTTGCAAGAAAAGCCCAGGAGTTTACAACCAAATGCCGAGGTCAAATTTACTTCTTACTTATGTCGTTTAAAACTCTTCTGGTCGAACACTCTCTCGTTATCAAGTTATGATATTGAGATAAAGTATTTATTTCAATAGTGTGTGACAATAAATGCCAACGGTATAGAATATAATATGAACGTAATATTATCATATCTTTACTACATTTCGATTTATTTATTCACAGCCTTTTCATTATGACATACCGTATATCCAAGCTAACACGGTGGCCTCAACCCCTACAAGCAGCAGGATTGACAGACTAGCTAGGTACCAGTCGGTAAGCTGAACGGCATACATACCACCCTGAAACAGTGATAATGTAAAGTCCACCATTCCGTTATATACAGCATTACAAGATAGCTTAATGATAAGAGTGAAGAACTGAGTCGGAGTCAGAGTGGAAAACTGAGTCGGGGTCAGAGTGGAGAACCGAGTCGGGGACAGAGTGGAGAACCGAGTCGGGGTCAGAGTTGAGAACCGAGTCGGAGACAGAGTGGAGAACCGAGTCGGGGTCAGAGTTGAGAACCGAGTCGGAGACAGAGTGGAGAACCGAGTCGGGGACAGAGTGGAGAACCGAGTCGGGGACAGAGTGGAGAACCGAGTCGGGGTCAGAGTGGAGAACCGAGTCGGGGACAGAGTGGAGAACCGAGTCGGGGTCAGAGTGGAGAACCGAGTCTTGGACAGAGTGGAGAACCGAGTCGGGGACAGAGTGGAGAACTGAGTCGGGGACAGAGTGGAGAACTGAGTCGGAGTCAGGGTGGAGAACCGAGTCGGGGTCAGAGTTGAGAACCGAGTCGGGGACAGAGTGGAGAACCGAGTCGGGGACAGAGTGGAGAATCGAGTCGGGGACAGAGTGGAGAACCGAGTCGGGGACAGAGTGGAGAACCGAATCGGGGTCAGAGTGGAGAACCGAGTCGTGGACAGAGTGGAGAACCGAGTCGGGTACAGAGTGGAGAACTGAGTCGGGGACAGAGTGGAGAACTGAGTCGGAGTCAGGGTGGAGAACCGAGTCGGGGACAGAGTGGAGAACCGAGTCGGGGACAGAGTGGAGAATCGAGTCGTTGACAGAGTGGAGAACCGAGTCGGGGACAGAGTGGAGAACCGAGTCGGGGTCAGAGTGGAGAACCGAGTCGGGGACAGAGTGGAGAACCGAGTCGGGGACAGAGTGGAGAATCGAGTCGTTGACAGAGTGGAGAACCGAGTCGGGGACAGAGTGGAGAACCGAGTCGGGGACAGAGTGGAGAATCGAGTCGTTGACAGAGTGGAGAACCGAGTCGGGGACAGAGTGGAGAACCGAGTCGGGGTCAGAGTGGAGAACCGAGTCGGGGACAGAGTGGAGAACCGAGTCGGGGACAGAGTGGAGAACCGAGTCGGGGTCAGAGTGGAGAATCGAGTCGGGGACAGAGTGGAGAACCGAGTCGGGGACAGAGTGGAGAACCGAGTCGGGGACAGAGTGGAGAATCGAGTCGTTGACAGAGTGGAGAACCGAGTCGGGGACAGAGTGGAGAACCGAGTCGGGGACAGAGTGGAGAATCGAGTCGTTGACAGAGTGGAGAACCGAGTCGGGGACAGAGTGGAGAACCGAGTCGGGGTCAGAGTGGAGAACCGAGTCGGGGACAGAGTGGAGAACCGAGTCGGGGACAGAGTGGAGAACCGAGTCGGGGTCAGAGTGGAGAATCGAGTCGGGGACAGAGTGGAGAACCGAGTCGGGGACAGAGTGGAGAACCGAGTCGGGGTCAGAGTGGAGAACCGAGTCGTGGACAGAGTGAAGAACCGAGTCGGGGACAGAGTGGAGAATTGAGTCGGGGACAGAGTGGAGAACTGAGTCGGAGTCAGGGTGGAGAACCGAGGCGGGGTCAGAGTGGAGGACTGAGTCGGGATCAGGTGATGGGAGAAACGTTTCTTGCAAATCGATATTAGGATTTATGTATATATAGTGTACATACCATCTAATATATAGAAAAAATATATGCATATGAATGAAATAAAATAATATATATGTAACCCTGGTAAAATACTAGCCACAATATACCACTCGGTAATAGAGAACTTCTCTTTAGCTCGATTGGTTGGACGTCAGACTAGTAAGCCAGGGGTCCAGAGTTCGATCCTTAGCAGAGGCATTGAAATAAATAATGACCCCTGGTACATATAAATAAGTAAACTGTAAAAAAAGTATTTTGTAAGTTTTGATATCTTTTTATATTTTTTATTTACAATGATGATGCTAATGATTAATGTATTAGGATGTTATGTTGATGATGATGAATTTTTGATGATGATGACAATAAATGTATCATCATGATGATGAATATCAGGATGATGCTAACGGCGATGATTATTGCAATATGTTATATTTCATATAAAAATGAAGTGGAACCCTGGACTGAAAATAAATATATCGTTCTTCAACAATATTTCGCAACATTATCAAATAACACACAAACTCACTTAAGATGGAAAATGTTACGGAAGTAATTTGGAAATGAGACATAAAAAGTATAATACACTTTATAATTTGTGAATTCAATGATAGAATCTGTTTAAAATCAAAAAAGGATTAGTAAAAATGATTAGAACTATTTGCTCGGACGACAAGCTCTTGGAATTGGCAATAGTTGCGTCCAAGAAACTCAAATATTGGTATAAACCGATCATTTCAAACACATGATGATCCCTGATATAATACTCGAATATGCCACTCTATACAGATACATGTGCCTACATCTACTGACCTGCGCAGTGAATACTATCCCACACACACCACTTGCCAATATTATGCCTGCTAGAGTCAGAAGTCGATACCTGCCGAACATGCCCGGCCAGTTGTCGGCTAGTCCTGTATAAAGGAGTTGTATGTGGACAATCTGTCAATAAAATGTACATTCTAATTAAGTATTAACTTGTATCAAATGATTGTCTCCTTTATTACAAATAGTGCAACGCCCCTCCTTGTAACTACTAATATGATGGTCTCATTAGCTTCTGACATTGAAAGTTTGAGCGAGGAAAGAATGACCATATCCCTGATAAAATAAACCGGAGTCCTGGGAAAATTTCACTGATATATACATCAAGAGACATGAAAAGAATTAAAGCACCTTGAATAGGTTACCTGAGGGACCTGGAAAGGATGATCTCATTGATAAATTGAACAAGGGACCTGAAAAGGATGACTCCATTGATAGACAGAACGAGGGACCTGGAAAGGATCATCCCATTGATAAATAGAACGAGGGACACAAAAAGGAGGATGCCATTGACTCTGGAAACACAGAACGATAAACGGAGAGATCTGGAAAGAATGATCGCACCACTATACGTTTCTCAGCACTTAATAATCAATAGCGAGACACGGAAAGAGTGATCGCTCCACTGAAAGATAAATAGAGGAACCTGTAAATAATAATTTCACCACTGATAGTAAATCTGGAGTGATCTGGAAAGACTTCTGCCCTCACCTATTGATAAATTGAAACACATGTAAAACAACCATTTCACCCTGATAGATGAATAGAGTGTAATATGGAAAACATATTTTATCACTTATAGATGTATCGAGAGAGTGGAAAATAATTATCAATTCACTGTTAGGTAAATCGAGAGGTCTGGAAAAAACATGTCGAAACAATGATGGATAAACCGAGTGACATGGAAAATTATCGTAAAAATGATGGAAATATTGAGAGTCCTGGACAAATTATCGAAACAATGATGACGAAAATGGAGAGACCTGGAAAATTATCGTAAAAATGATGGGAAAATGGAGAGACCTGGAAAATTACCGTAAACATGATGAAAAAATGGAGAGTCCTGGAAAATTATCAAAACAATGATGAAAAAAAATGGAGAGACCCGGAAAAATAGTACAAATAGATTCAAGAAATAGTAGCAGGAATTCGCAGACAATCGAACGTTTATTCAAGAGAACTTTAAGGAAGGTTCCAAGCATCGAAAGTTGATTCAAGAGATCTGGATAGGAAGATGAAACCATTGAAAGTTCATTCAAAGATCTGAAAAGGAAGGGTGAAAGTATCGAAAGTTGATTCAAAAGAACCGAAATAGAGGAATCACACCGCGGAAAGCAGATTAAAAGGAGCAAGTTGATTTAGGAGATCTAAAAAGAGAGTTCAATCTTCGAAAACTAGTTCAGACCATTCGAAATACATACAAGACATCTGTTAAACAAAGGATTAGACGTTTAACCAAAATATCTGAAAAGTAAGATTCGTTTCAATGAATGCATCCTCGATACTTCAGGGGTTACGTTCTCTGTCACCCTCTGCACCCTTGGAATATGTCATGACGATATTGAAAGTTCCATGTGCGACACCTTTTGAACGAGACGAAAATATTAGTCTGATCTTTTGATGTACATCAAACGAATCTCAAGTTAGCATAACAGTATATCATAATGGCTTTGAAGTTAGGAGTCGCTCCTTCAATAGGAGCGTTCCAGCCTGTGATTGGTCAGTTTTATTTCTTCTCGAACCAATCGAATTACTTCGCTTGTGCCTTCAATTTTGCCGTGACATATTCCAGGGGTGCAGAGAGCGAAAGTGGTTGTAACCCCTAAAATGTAGAGGATGCTGTGAATCTTAAATTAAAGGTTCTGAACGAAAACGGTCAAGAGATTATCAAACCAGAATGAAACGTTAAGAACAATGTTTACGTAAGTCACGGAGGTGTTTACCTGGGAGTCAAGTCCGACAGTAAACAGCATAAGGAAGAAGAGAGCCGACCAGAGTTGGGGTAGCTGTAAGGTAGACAACGCCTCAGGATACACAATGAATGCCACGCCAGGACCTAAGTATGTATGCAACATATACAGTCTTTTAAACATTATGATTTGAATTGAAAAATAGTCTATTATGTTACATATATTTGGTACAACAAACAATACAGGGCTCAATGAATTTTATGCAAGTTTTGCTTTTCCTGTTGCTGTCATACCTGGTTTTATATATGAAGAGGAAGTCTTGTTAATGCTAATTCGTTGTGTCTGATTGATGAAATGAATAATAGGAAATGTATGCAACTTAAGGTGTTAAATAACTTAACATTTAATTACTTAAAAATTCTCGATGAGAGCAAAGACTTATATATACAGTATATTCTAAAATGAATGAGTTCAAAAATGGTGCTAATTCTATCACTGTCAAGATTTATTCCCTACCTCATACGTCGCTATCGAGTGAAATGTACAGTATGGTTATATCCACATTAATTACCTTGCTCTACGACTTTCTCCATCGGCAGGTTGGCCTCCTGTGCCATGTAACCTAAGGTCACAAACACTACACATCCAGCGAACCAACTGGTGAAGGCGTCACATATCGGGATTATAATCGCATCCCTGTAACAATTGGTACTAATTAAATCTGCACCACAAGTCTCCTCTACTAAATGATATCAAGTGCATCTTATTTTTCAAATTCTAAGATACTGATGCATGCAGTAAATATTGAATCAGCTTTACATTACATGGGTATTTAAAACTGTTTGATAATATAATGTAGGGTAGAATATAAAATAGAAAGTATAGAACTTAAGTTAAACAATAAAATTACAGAATATAATAATAATTATTATATTTTAGGACACTCTTTCACTACAAAAAAAATAATATTTCAAATAATATCGAAGGAAAAAGTGGATTTAAAAAAAAAAAAAAAAAAAGTTTGCCAAGAGGTTTTGCGAAGTTTGATTTAATCAGTAAAATAAAAAATCATCTCAGGATACTATGAAAGTGTCAGGTTAACGTGATTTTGTGAAGTGTCAGTATACCTTGACTTGGCCAAATGTCGGTATACAGAGACTGGGTGAAGTGCCAGGCTACCGTGATTAGGAAAAGGATTGACAGTGTATGACATTGTTTAATGTTTTAGGTTATTTGTGATGGACATTTTACATTGATGGATAATGAACGATATCCTTTTATGCTTAATTTGTTTATGTTATTTGATGTAAAGCGCTTTAGTGTAATCCTAACGAATTAGATAAGGCGCTATATAAATTTAGTATATTATTATTATTACTATTATTATTATTAAAAGTGTCGGATACTGTGACTTTGTCCAATGTCAGGCTAAAAGGATTAGGTAAATGTCGGTAAAATGAACAGACATTGGGTAAAGTGTCAGGTGTCGGTACTGGCTAACGTTTCAGATACCTCTGATGAAGTGTCTGTGTACAGAGACTGGCTTAGGTGTCAGGCTACTGTGATTTGGTATAGAGAGATAAAAATAAATGCACTTTTGAAAAAATCTACCTCCTTCTTTAAAAAAAAAATGTTGACACATGAAAATGAAAATTTGGTGTCAAGGATACCTACCTATAAATGTTGTTATGAAATTTGTTGTGGCTGGCCAACAGGATCAGAGCACTCGAAGATAGACTTAAGGAGTAGAATGTTTGTGCCGCTGCATCGACCCAAACCTGTAGAAATCAATCTTGAACAATATGGTACACATCTCAAAAAAAAAAAAAACAAAAACAAAAACAAAACAAAACAAAAACCAAAACCAAAAATCATTTTAACGTTATGGAAAGAAACATGTGATAATAGTAATATCAGACAGACTTGCTGAGGAATGAAAGATTTGATGTATGTTTCTAAATTAATGATAAATAAATAGCGCTGTGTTTGTGGAATAAGTTAAGGTACAGAAGCAATCAATTATTTACGGATAATTTAGAAAGCTCCTTCCATCTCGGCTTCATATAGTACTCCATCCCCTGTAAGGATCCAGGAAGAGTCATTCCCCGTATAAGTAAAGCCATGAGGAAAACATAGGGGATTGTCGCCATTACGTACATCACCTGATAATACAAAGGGACAGTGTGGTAAGATAAAATATTTTATCATTTCCATCGTTACCCTGAGATGTGTCGAGGTTTCACAATAATCATTTTACCCTGTGTGAATATCGTAATTCATTCGAACTGTTGTGCTGTTCAGAATATACATCTGTACTTGAAACTGTTCTACGATTGTCTTTTATATGAAAATTACGAAATTGATTTAATTATTGGACTGCTGCATCTCCTCGACTAGATTTTGACTTTTCTTTCGATAACTCTGGATTTTCCTCAGTAGCCTCCTAGGCTTAAGAATTTAGGCCTTTAGCATCACTGACGAGTCCTAGAAGGACCAAAGAGTTGTTTGATGTAGCACCTCTAAGGAGTTCTAGAAGGGCGAAACAGCTGCTTGATGTAGTTTATTAATTGTTTGGATCTACTGTATCTAACTATAAATTATCAAAATGTGCTAATTACTTGTATACCACTTGTACTGTCTTGTTGACTGATACTACCTTTCCTGATGAGTGAATTCCTTTTATGAGACAAAAGAAGATGACAATTGACGTGGCCAGTACACCCAGAAGTAATTCCCAGCGGATCGTACCAAAGGTCTGAATGCTCTCTGTCAGCTGCAGTACATTGTTTCTGTAATCAATGACACAGATATTGACCATCATTACGAATTGTTATTTTATCACTTAACATAATTATCATATTTATTCTGATGTTATATCAATGAACTGCTTTGTAATCATGCATATAAATATAAACCAGTGATAATGATAATTTTATACCAATATGCAATATATTTGTAGATGTTGTTATGCATATCGGACCAAACAGATAACATTAATGTTTTATAAACTTATAGTCAACACGATATATTTGTTGTCGTCATTGTGTATGTCGTACCAAACAGATAACATTAATGTTTTATAAACTTATAGTCAACACGATATATTTGTTGTCGTCATTGTGTATGTCGTACCAAACAGATAACATTAATGTTTTATAAACTTATAGTCAACACGATATATTTGTTGTCGTCATTGTGTATGTCGTACCAAACTGATAACATTAATGTTTTATAAACTTATAGTCAACACGATATATTTGTTGTCGTCATTGTGTATGTCGTACCAAACTGATAACATTAATGTTTTATAAACTTATAGTCAACACGATATATTTGTTGTCGTCATTGTGTATGTCGTACCAAACTGATAACATTAATGTTTTATAAACTTATAGTCAACACGATATATTTGTTGTCGTCATTGTGTATGTCGTACCAAACTGATAACATTAATGTTTTATAAACTTATAGTCAACACGATATATTTGTTGTCGTCATTGTGTATGTCGTACCAAACTGATAACATTAATGTTTTATAAACTTATAGTCAACACGATATATTTGTTGTCGTCATTGTGTATGTCGTACCAAACTGATAACATTAATGTTTTATAAACTTATAGTCAACACGATATATTTGTTGTCGTCATTGTGTATGTCGTACCAAACTGATAACATTAATGATGTTTTCCCTAATACATGGGTTAATATTAATGTTTTCTTACTCCCAGAATTCCTCTGGTGGAGTTATATGTGACGTCATATTCAGATCGCCCAGGTAACCAGTTGTTGAAATATTTGCTAACACTGTCGTGGTTCTGTTGATCACCGTCTCGGTCCTCACTGAACACATCGGCGTATTCCACTCATTATCGCATGTCGCCCAAGGGATCACGGAGAAAAATGAATGTCCGAAGTAGTAAAGTGTCCAAGAGAGGATGACGCCATAATACGTTCCGACAATAAATGTCAAGGTCATCATTCCATAACCGATTCCTGTATAGAATTAAGATTTTTTTTACTCGTAGTTAACAACAACATACTATTTTTCGTGATTTTCTTTTCAAACGATCCAATTATACTTTTAACGAATGAAAAGTTCGCGATAATAATGTCGAAGGATATCTATACATACATGTCTCATTATTTAGGATTATTTTCGCGGGGATGATATTTTCGTGATCACATCAATGAACCGCGAAATAGCGAAAATATCATCCCCGCGAAAATAACCGGAAATAAGGGATCTAAAGTTGCATACCTTCTGTTAGAAACATCGGATCAGAAATCCACTCTCAAGTAGCTTCACTTTACATTTCATCATCTGATAAAAGCCATCACCTTTTGTGTATGTGTCATGGAGTGTGTGTGTTTGTGTATGTGTGTGTGTGAGGGTGTGTGTGTATGTGTGTAAGGGTGTGTGTGTGTGTGTATAATGGTGTGTGTGTGTGTCTGTGTTTGAGTGTGATGGTGTGTGTGTGTGTGTGTGTGTGTGTTTGAGCGTGATGGTGTGTGTGTGATGGTGTGTGTGTGATGGTGTGTGTGTAGGTGTGTGTGTATGTGTGATGGTGTGTGTGTGTGTCTGTGTTTGTGTGTGATGGTGTGTGTGTGGGGTGTGTGTGTATGTGTAGGTGTGTGTGTATGTGTGTAAGGGTGTGTGTGTGGGGTGTGTGTGTATGTGTGTGTGTTATATCAATTATAACGTAATTTACCTCTGAATAAAGGACAGCATTCCCACACTTTCCCTGGTCCTAGATTAGAGTATTGGGCGTACGTGAACTGAAGGAAGACACACGGAGTACCAATGAGGACCAAGAACAGGAAATACGGGATGAGGAAGGCGCCTGTCAAGTATGTAAAAGATTGTAAAAAAGACACACAAGTGAATAGCACATTTTAATACAAATCGAGAGTTAGAAACTGTAAAGCCAAACAATGAATTCAACTGTATCATACAGCTGTTTCGTCCTTCTAGGACATTTACAGGGTTGATACCAATGTTCTCTTCATGTACGACAAGTATGGTGTCACGACACCATGTTATACTGCCCATAGTTTGCTCTATTCAACGCCATTCTGTCCCAATTAATAAATTGACTGCCACTCTGTCGCCATGTCAAGAATCCCATTCTCCGGGTTGCCTCATCTACGCCCGTTACTTGCCTGTGTGCTATTGGCTGAACAGTTCTGCACTTGCCTAACGTTCACGTATTTCCTTTGATCAGTTTTATACACTATATCAGATATATAATCCAAACATATTGTACTGATACTATATCTGTGGTAAAAACAATTCCTGCTGAGAAATGAGTCTTATTATCCTGATGATAATGTAGTTTTGTAAGGGGTGCTTATACATCGATAACAGGGTAATGTAATGGGTGTTGTTATGTTGGTGATTTAGTAGTTATATTACTGGTTAACAATAATAGTGTAGTTAGATAAATGAGACTGTTTTGTGATGAGTGTTATTGCACTGACAACTAACTAGGTATGTTATTACATGGATAATAGGGTAGTAATGTTCTGGGGTTTATTACACTGATAACAGGGTAGTTATGAAATGGGTGTTACACTGATAATAGAGCATTTGTATAATGAGTGTTACAACACTGATAACAGGGTAGTTATGAAATGGGTGTTACACTGATAATAGAGCATTTGTATAATGAGTGTTACAACACTGATGACAGTGTAGTTCGATTATCGGTGTTATTACATTTTAGTTATTACAATGAATACAAGGTAACAAGGTTATTTATAATGCGTTGTTAATTAATTGTATTTATTACACTGACAACAGGGTAGTTATATGATGTGTTATTACACTGACAACAGGGTAGTTATATGATAGATGTTATTACACTGACAACAGGGTAGTTATATGATGTGTTATTACACTGACAACAGGGTAGTTATATGATGTGTTATTACACTGACAATAGGGTAGTTATACGATGTGTTATTACACTGACAATAGGGTAGTTATACGATGTGTTATCACACTGACAACAGGGTAGTTATATGATGTGTTATTACACTGACAATAGGGTAGTTATAGTTATACGATGTGTTATTACACTGACAATAGGGTAGTTATATGATGTGTTATTACACTGACAACAGGGTAGTTATATGATGTGTTATTACACTGACAACAGGGTAGTTATATGATGTGTTATTACACTGACAATAGGGTAGTTATATGATGTGTTATTACACTGACAATAGGGTAGTTATATGATGTGTTATTACACTGACAACAGGGTAGTTATATGATGTGTTATTACACTGACAACAGGGTAGTTATACGATGTGTTATTACACTGACAACAGGGTAGTTATACGATGTGTTATTACACTGACAACAGGGTAGTTATATGATGTGTTATTACACTGACAACAGGGTAGTTATATGATGTGTTATTACACTGACAACAGGGTAGTTATATGATGTGTTATTACACTGACAACAGGGTAGTTATATGATAGATGTTATTACACTGACAACAGGGTAGTTATATGATGTGTTATTACACTGACAACAGGGTAGTTATACGATAGGTGTGATTACACTGACAACAGGGTAGTTATATAATAGGTGTGATTACACTGCAAACAGGGTAGTTATATGATAGATGTGATTACACTGACAACAGGGTAGTTATACGATAGGTGTTATTACACTGACAACAGGGTAGTTATATGATAGGTGTTATTACACTGACAACAGGGTAGTTATATGATGTGTTATTACACTGACAACAGGGTAGTTATATGATAGGTGTTATTACACTGACAACAGGGTAGTTATATGATAGGTGTTATTACACTGACAACAGGGCAGTTATATGATAGGTGTTATTACACTGACAATAGGGTAGTTATATGATAGGTGTTATTACACTGACAACAGGGTAGTTATATGATGTGTTATTACACTGACAATAGGGTAGTTATACGATGTGTTATTACACTGACAACAGGGTAGTTATATGATAGGTGTTATTACACTGACAACAGGGTAGTTATATGATGTGTTATTACACTGACAATAGGGTAGTTATACGATGTGTTATTACACTGACAACAGGGTAGTTATATGATAGATGTTATTACACTGACAACAGGGTAGTTATATGATGTGTTATCACACTGACAACAGGGTAGTTATATGATAGGTGTTATTACACTGACAACAGGGTATTTATGTAATAGATGTTATTACTTGAGAGTTGACGTCATACCTTCAGCATTGCTTTAGATAGTACATCAATATTTTTTTTACTATGATTAACCTTGACTTATTGATATAAACAATACCATTGTATTTCGCTTTCCATCTTAGCCATTCTGCATTATAGAGTGCGGTTCATGTCTGCAAGGACACACGTGTGGATTTTATCACCATTACAAAACATTCATTTGCTACACGGAAACCTGTTTATGGACAACTAGATGAGATGAAAGATGAAAACAAGGATGGCATTCCGAACATATTTTATGTCTTGTGTTATACAACATGGTGTCATAAAATGTACAATAAGTCGCAGGCTTTGAATAATTTCACGCCAGGTAATGTGAATAAGATAATTAAAAATATGCGTTAACAGTATTTATTACGTCCCGGTCTTGTGGTATACAAACTGATAGCTTTAAATAAAAAGAAATATTGAAAGGGCCATAAAAGAAGTGCACATTCTGTAAACAAGCATTTTGTTACTTTATCTACATTTGAAAAAAACTATGAATATATAAGGAAGAGTATAAGCATAAACGAGCCTACATAATGTTATGCAGTCCAATAGAATGTTTAATGGTGAATAGGTTATCACACCCTATGCACCGACGATTATCTTCACCTTTTAATATATATAAATGTGTAAGGTAAGAATGGCCCATCAGAAAACGGGCAAGGACAACTTCATATCGATGGTTGTCTCTAAAGCATGGATACCATTCATCGACAAAAAGTTTTTTTCGGAATGCAATCTATTATCGGTATTTTGATTCAATTCTTCCTACCACCGAGCTGTTAAAATTATTTGGTAAATGGTTTAAAATCAGTAAAATGAAGTTTGAAAACAAAAGGTGGTAGCAATTAAGCTTCCTTTTCGGCACGATATATTGCCTGGTATTCCCATGTGCCAGGAAACCCAGCAAAATACAATACGAAAGTTTGAGACAAGTTCATGATATATAGTATTAATGTTTCACGAATGAAAATATATTTGATATTTCTATTGCTAAGGCTTTGTAGTACAGGAAGAGAGTCTGAATAGATAACAGCTCTCATTAATTTGTTTGAATATGTTCAAGGGCGAGGTACATGGTCTCCGTGTAAATCCTTCTATTATTCATATTTTGCAATAGGTTTTTTTTTTTACCGAATTTGAGTTTAAATTATATCTGTTGACATTTTTTCTTGATTTGATTTATCACCGTGAACTGGAACCCAAACTGAAATCATTCCACGCAGGGTTACCAATGGAAAGGGGTTCACATTGACATTCTATGACCATTTACACCCAGCAGGATGGGCAACAAATACAAAATTCTGGCTAACAGCCTAGTAAAAACAATTCTGTCAACGTTTGGTTGCCCTCTACAGATCCACACGGATCAGGGAACTAATTTCGGGAGTCAACTTTTCTCAGAGTTAAATGAACTACTTAAGAACTCTCTTCCACCCTTCCTCAAATGTCGAACAGCTAAGCGAACAGTGTCGCAAACAATCCGATGTTGTATCAACGGTAAAGACGATACGTGTGGCTATTTCCTACGTCCAATCTAGATGGCGCTCCACGCCATTGAACACTGAGATACAGGGTTCATCCCCGACACGATTATGTTGGGTTGAGAAACACTAGACCACTGGACTTGTTCTAGGGACACCAAATCCTCCAGGAGACATAGAACCCTACGAATGGGTAAAACACCTCCAGGATTCTCTTGCGGAAGTTCACAATACTGCTAGGCAACATGTTGGGAAGAATCAGAGACACCAGAAACGAGACTATGACGTTAGGGCTACCGACAATTTGTTCAATGTAGATGTGGCCTACAAAAGGGACTCCTCCACCAAATTGGGGAAAATCTCCAAGTTGAATCCTCCCTAGCTGGCGCCATTCCTGGTTGTAGAACACCAATCAGGAACTGCAAAGGCTCAAAATGTTGCTACCACGATAGACTGAAACACTATATTGGTGGATCCATCCCTCTGTAGTTACAATCAGGAGGAGAACAACGATCAATCGAATGATGTGGAAAGCCTTTCAACAAGGGAACCATGTGCACCTGCTCGCGAAATCGACCCCGCGTGGCCACGAACTACTCGCTCGAACCACTAAGGGTCATACCCTGACAATGGAGAGAGTTCCGGCGAAGAATCATAGGTTCCTGTACCCCTCAACAACCTGGAAAGGTAATCAAGGGTTCCCTGGAAATTGGACAATTAAGTCCTTTATTGAGAAGTAATGACGAACTCACGTGGAAAAGGCTTCAGCCAGTGTAGATGGATAGCATAGGTTTATCTTAGCTGTAAGAATCTTAGACCTTAAATTTAGAAATTTAAAGGAAATATTCCCAGCCATAAGACTTGGACCTTTCCCACCTCAAATATAACACCTAGTAGGGTATACCATGGTGTTACTGTATAGCTCTGCCAGTAGGTTAAATACGTCACTGTATAACAGTTCGTAATGGTTCCTGTCTTAAGACCGGAACAAGTGTGGGTGTTAGCACTATCGTGTTATCTTCCTATAAAGGCCTGTGCCTCACGACTTGGGATATGGAATATCAGAGGAATTAACATTATCTTAGTATATGTCTTATAAGGGCTAGCCTTCTGGACAGAAGCAGAATAGCATTTACTCGAATCGTTAAGTTAGACCTCCTTTCGCCATTGCTATGCACTCTTTCCTTAAGGATCTTGTCTTAATATTGGAACCTATGGAGGGTACCAGCATAGAAATATACTCCTCACCAATGTTCCTGTCTCAAGACTACGGAACCTGTTGGGAGAAGCCTTTTTGTTCGTCAAAGTCTATATATAGTTTTTGCCCGTCGCAAAGAGGGAGGAGGTAGTAGCCCTTGGAAATCCTATAATCCAAATAGTATAGTTAATTTTGATAGAATGAAAGAACTGGAACTGTAGATACAGATTAATAGGTTGACGGACTGTGTCACTAATTGTATGAAAAGGGTTCTAGCCCTGAACTAGAAACCCATATATTATTTTACACTCACTATGAGGGCTATTGGATTGTGTATGTCGCTTAGTACTACAGAATAGACATAGGAACAAAAGAAGTCTCCAAGCATAGAGAAATGTGTCTCAGCACCATGTCATTTGATGCGTCCCATGACTTGCTCGGTTTGGGTAGCGTCACGTTAGCAAAATCTACGTCACATGACATTTTTACTATGCACTCCACTTTTATGGTGACCTTGTACACAACGCTCTGGTAATTTTCATGTCCCTTGCTTAGCCGTTGTGGTTTTATACACACCTCACACTGTATGTTACATGATTTCGCTAAAGTGAGTTAGATTTCATGTACTTCGCTAGGCTGTTACTACACTTTGTTTGTTAACAGAATCTCTCTAAAATGAAGTAATTTTCATCCCATTATTTGGCTCTGTTTAATACTACATTGTGTGTTTTTTTTAATTATATCCATCGACTTGATGTTGCAGTTTCATTGATAGCATTTAAGACTAATCAATATCCTACAGAACTCCAGTCACTGTAATAGAAAAATGATTTGTTTCGTTTTAATGTTTAAAATAAAAAAATAAATGTGCCCGTATCATTTTATATATACATGTGATTCAGGAAGTGAGATAAGCCTTTTTATCGTCTGAAATAAGATACTGATTTTATTTATCTCGCTTTTATCCAAATAACGATAGCAGCAAGTATGAAAACTTAAAGGTATGTAGATATCCATTTATGAAGATTTGTAAAGCTGTCAAACTATTTGGTATTCCCGCGGATCAACAGGTCAGGGGCATACTGTTTTGTGCTGTCTGTTTTGCTTGTCTGTCGTCAACTTTAAGCTTGCCTATAACTATTGCATGGTAAGAGGTAGAGATTTCATGTTTGGCATATGTGTTCATTTAACAAGAAAGTTCCCATGGTATCCACTTTTTTCAGTGACCTTTTACCTACATTTAAAAACTTAAACACTGTTCTTAACTATTGCACAATTAAGACACGGGTGTTTCACAAATTAAAAATAAACACATAACTTTCACATTAACCGAAGAAATTTCAGAAGATCTTTATAATATAATTGATTATATCTATTCTTTCTTTTCAACCGTCCACATGTTAATAAACCTTGTTTTATTTTCGCTGTATAACAGCACTTTTGAGAAGGGACATATTTTATGAAAACATATTTTAAAACATATTTCTTCTACAATAAGTGAAGGAGACGTTCCCATGGATTGCAATGTCACCAGATATGGACCCGATTGAGCATGTTTTGGAATCCTATGATGTCAATGCACAAGATCCAAAATACAATTGGAAGAGGCATTGATTCTTGATTGGCATCGGCTTGCTCAAAACACACTTTGGCGTCTGCGTATGAGATAAAGAACATAAGAATGAACCAGAAATGTGGTGGCAATGCCCGACATTGGGATTTCCATACCCAATAGTAACCTTTAATTAATCTCCTTGATCAGGTAACATTCTGTGGTAATTTGATGGCGTATCTGTTCCAAGGAGACAATAAAAATAAGACTTTCTCTAGACTTTTGCTATGACTTTTCAGCACGTCTCGTTAAAATAGTACTACTCTTTCGGTTCTTTTAAATTCTTTTCCTAATGACCGAGTATCTGCCTAAAGATATTTCTATATACCCTGTTGAATTGCCATTATTTTTCTTCAACACAGCGAACAAAATTAAGCACAACCTATGGCACAGCGGTGTGATCGCACAACGTTAGACGATGTGCTCACGGTGTGTTCACGGGTGGAAAACTACACGAAATTTAGAATGACCAGGAAGGAAGTGAGGGATAGTATTTATTTTCTAAATAGATAAGAGTATAACCAAGCCTGTAATTAGATCAAATATTTACACTTATTCTTTGTAGGATTGACATGTAGATATACAAAATTCGGCCTGAATAGTTATATAAACTCGTTATGGTTTTGTTTACATAGAGGCAAACATGACCAGTCTTAATTTACTGACACTTATTACATATACAATATATGAGTAAAAAAATGGACGTCTCTTTTTGTCGTGCAATAAATCATCTAAACGGTCATACCGTCAGAAAGGAATATCTATATTCATTACTTCTGCATAAATCTCATTTTTCTATAATTTTGTAAATAAAAAATATACTTAAGTAAATCTTTAAATTGACCTAGCTGGTATGTATCAGGACCTGTCACGCATTACATTTGACATTTCTATTTATTTGGATAAGGCAGTGAATTTACCCCCTCCATTCTTGTAACAAATATATGGAAAAGTAAAGAAAACATTTGTACATTTTTTCTATTTGGATCAGAACTTACCTCCTCCATTCTTGTAGCAAATATACGGAAACCTCCAGATGTTTCCAAGACCAACTGTTACACCAATACACGAAAACAGGAATTCCAGACGGTTTGACCAGGTGCCACGGTCCGTACTAGCCATTTCTAGCTCTTAAATACTGTAGAAGATGGTTAGCTAGTTACTAGAGTATCCTATTTATGCTTCGTCAGGTTTTTCTCGTGATGTTACAGTTCACTCTTATCTTTATACGTGCTACTTATGGCCATGTTCTGCGAAGTATACATATGAATGTTATATATCAAAACTAGTATCCTGTGTAGCTACCCGTCACATTGGATACGGTGTGTGACTCTAGCTATGGAATGACAAAGATATTTTGAATAGTGTGTTATAATAGGTAAATCCATGTGCTGTGAAGTGCTACATGTGTCAACTGCATATCACAAATGGGATAACTCCTGTGATGCTCAATGACTGAAGTTCACTGTTGTAGTTATTGGTGACTTTGGTGTATCATTGTACAGCCGGGTGTGGTAAAGAGATGACGTGATGGATGTCCGTAGTGTAATGTTGTAAATATGGGTTACTTTGGTGTATTTTTGTGATGACGGGTGTCTATATTGTAGAGTTGTAATGATGTTCTGTTGTGGTTATGGTTGTCAGTGATTCTGATTGGCATCTTCGTTGAATTTGGAGAAGAGAACCATTGGCATACCTGATTATTTTTGCCCTTCTATTGACCGAGTTTTTCTCATAAGAGGCTGAATTTATTAAAAAGCTCAGCAAAACAAAGTCCTTTAATTTCTTTTTTTTTTACAATGATGACGTCATTAGATACCAAAATATTTAATTACATCGTTTATCGTATATACCCAACAAAACTGGATATGACTAACTCTTCTACATCAGCCGCTTATCTCGATCTTTTTCCTAGTATAAAGCCAACATAGATAACTTTACATCAAGCTGTATGACAAGGGTGATGATTTCAATTGCCGTATTCTGAAAAGATGCAGGCCGATTATAACTATTGGGAGTTTTTCGGTAATCATAGTGATCTACTAAAGAAAACAAAAACTGACTCTTTGCAATATGAAGTGGGGCGTCAGTTTTCCTGTTAGTTACGTTATTGAATACCTTGTTTACATTTGAGAACGTGACATTACTTCCTTGGATAGACCACGATTTACATGGCTTGTGTCGTCGATGAAGCTGAAGACGCTTCCTCTTCTGGAACATCGTATCTAATTCTCCTTGTACTCTTATTCATAGTTTGCCCTTGTTTTCTTGACTTTGAGTCTGGATAATGATTATGTTCACGTTTGTATTTCGTTATTGTGGTGTTGGGGGTGGAGCAATGTTGAAAAGACAAGTGCCTGTGGGTAAGCGTTAAAGGGATGGAAATTTGTGGTGTATTATTGTGGTGATTGGTGTTTGTGGTTTAAGATTATAAAGATGTCTGTGTTGTAGAGCTGCAGTGATAAGTGCATTCAATGTATAATTATAGTGACAGGTGACTGGTGTAATGTTACAGTAATGAATGATATTTGATAGATATTTGAAGTACTATGGTGGTAATGTGTGCTGTGATGTAATGATGTTTTGTTGTCAGTGGTCAACGGTTGCAAAAGTAGGTGTTTGCTGTGAAGTCCTGTAAAATACAAGTTTAGAGTCCTTAATGTTTGACGCTATTAACTTGTGCTTTTTCAGGCCAGAAATGTCAATGACAAGTCACGAGAGGATGAAACAGCTGTTTGATGTCATTTAATACATTATCTAGCGCCTCTTTATTTAATTTTAAATTTGCATGGAATGGTTCTATTAACTCGTGTGTCTTTTGTACAATCCTTGAGAATGCAGGTAGCAGATTCTCCGGGTGAAATTTTGGTCCCCGAGGTTTGCCGTAATATACACGTCATTTTTAATTCTATCAAATAGTGGCAAGGTTAGAAATATACACATGTACTTGACGTTCGGTTAAAATCGTCATATGTATGGGAATTACATAATGACTGATTATAGGGTATATACATCGCCCTCTGTAGATTTTGGCATTTCTTCGATCATTTTTGGTTTCCCTCAGTCTTCTAATTTTCAACATTAGGCCCTTCGTGTCACTGACACAGCTTTGCGATGCATTTAATTCATTGTTGTGGTCATTGTCTTCACAGTATCTATTGCTAAGTCATCCTTGGTATATCAAGGGTCAAGATCGCTTTCGCTCGCTACAACCCTGGAACATGTCATGGCATAATTGAAAGCACAATCGAAATAATTTGACTGGATTTAGGAGAAAAAACATCACAGGTTGATACACTTCTTTTGAAGATTACAAAGAAGCGACACAACTTCAAAAATATTCGATATAGCGTTATGTGACCTCGAGATTCGATGTACACCAAAGTATCGTTTTAAACTTTTTGCCCTGTCTACATGGTTTTAAAATTTGAACCATCAGTTTGCTATTAGAGCGAAAGTTATTATCATTATTATCAAAATCTTAACGGCCCGTCTTAAATAAAATATCATCAACCGGTGAAAGACAAAACGATCCAAAAGAAAATGACATCAAACAAACTAACGGTTAAAATACAAAGACTACATATCTGAGATAGTTGTATTATCACAAAAGATTAAAAATGGTAAGTTATATTCTATTATATAAACCAACATCTTTAAGATAACATAGAGTTTTAGAAATCTCAACAGTTTCAAAAAGGGTCTTTAGACTTGTAACGTTACGATGAAAAAGCGAATGTGGTCTCAACTCATGTAGTATCGAGGGTGTTGATAAAAAATGTATTGAAAGAGGTTATTCAGCTTTATGTCTTATGTACAATTTATGTAGCTAAGGGTGTTTTTGATGTAATGTTTAAGTAACAGATGTGTTGGTGTAGCGTTGTACTGATTGGAGTATGTGATATACTGACAATATTTACATATTTTTGAAACCTGGAATTCCACATATGTAAATTTTATCTCTTGCTGATGATGATTAATTAATGTCGGCTGACAGAAGGCAACAACAGATAGTTTTTGTCATACAAATATTTTCGTTTCTTTATCCATTTATTATTATTATTTTTTTGAAAACATGGATTGACATCTTATCAACGGCAATTTGAAATATTAAACGCCACAAAATCAATAGTAATGTACCGGTCATTGATACGCTGCCAACGAAAACTTTCATCACAAATAATTTCTATTTGCCCTTAAATCAGTAGAGATATTAGCATTAAAGTTTAATTTGTAGTGTCAAGAAAGCATGTAGTTTGTTACAAAGGCCATAAATAACTCTTTGAAATAACTGCTATAAAAGACATGCAAGCAACCAAGTATACGCATTTCTCCCAGATTTTGGTCATCATTTTGTAAATTTGGTGACGTAGACAATGCACATAAAACTTTCCTCTCGAGGCCCACAGCTGTGTCAGGAAGTAAATATGAATAGTGTCATGGCAAGACACAGGCATACATATAATGATTGATTTCAATAACGTGATGAGGTACAACTTTATTTCTCACTCTGATCAACGCGTTTTGAGGTAACTAAGTTATACGTACCAATATCGGCCGCTAACAGCAATAACCACGGTAGACCACTTTCGTTCTTTTGTGTGCTAACGGGGTTAAATAAAGGTAAGTTATCCAGATAATGAAGAACGCTTACAATTCTGAATGCTATACGAATGAAGGGCACGGGAAAGCTTCTGAAGTAGAGCACAGCTAATTGAGGACCCAATAGGGATAATAGGTAATTATGACTCATTCAAAGACGGGTAAGGGAAACTTCGTCTCGATGGGTTCTCTATAGCATGGAGACCATTCACCAATGAAAGGTTTTACAGAGAGCAATTTGTTATCGGTGTATTGATTCCATTCCTCCTGCCACTGAGCTTTTGAAAACTGCTTGATTAATGGTTTAAAATCAGCAAAATAAAGTTTTAAAACAACAGGTGGTAGCGACAAAGCTGCCTTCGCGATTCGATCTGCTTTTCCAATGCCTGGTATTCCCATATGCCAAGGAACCCAGCAAAAACAATAGGAAAGTTTGAGGCAAGCTCATAATATAGTATTAATGTATTACAAATGAAATTATTGTCGATATTTCTATTGCAACGACTTTGAAGTACATTCATAGGCTTCATCTTGTGAAACCATGGCCGCGCCAACTTTATCATAACATTTCTTATTCTTGACTGTTTCACTTTGGCTTTGTGTCTCCTTTTCTTCGATTTTCAAAGTCATGCGCTGTTGTCCCATTGCTTCATAACGTCTTCCTGGAGCCTCTCGTGAGATTTTGAAAACTTTCAAAATGACACGGATATTACAGGGTCACTCTTAACTAAAGCGTCTCTAAGTTTGCATGGTATGGAGTTCATATGAACAATGACTGTCCGTAGAGTAGGGTAATGTTACTCCATTTGCCTCTCGCAGTCTACTTCTCAGTGTCACTGGGTGGATTTGACGGTTTACATTACCTTCGGTATTTCGTGCCATATCGGCTGCCGTTAATCTCTTGTCACACAAGTGGGCAAGCCAAGTTACACGTGGACGTCCGGATCTTGGTCTGTCATCAGCTCTGCCCGTGGCGTTGAGACGTGAAACTAAACGACGTACAGTCTACTTGTAAACTCCTAAGTGAGAAGACACCTGCTGTTGAATGCTACCTCCCGTGATTATTGCGTCCTCTATCAAGTCTGGATGGCATATTTGTAAGAGCAATTATTTATTGCACACGTATAGGCAATAATGCGCTTCAGTGATGGTCAGAAACCGACATTAGTGTAAATGGAAAAGATCACATGCATTTGTACATTCATGGTCTCAAGCATTGCTAATTTCCCACAGAGGTTGGTCTAAAATCATTGCTTTCTTCGAGTCCACTCATTGGCACATCGCTATGTGCTATCAAATCTAGTTCCCTTGCACACTATGTGCAGAGTTTCAATCAAATTCGACCATTTTGCCCTAACGTTGAAATCTGCACTGATGAAAGAGAGATGTAGACTTCTCAGCAACTTTCAGATCAAAGAAAATCATCAATGATCGTTTGGAGATATCACATATGTAATCAAAGCAGGTGTTTCCCCTCTCTGGATGATGCAGATTGGATCGGATTGGTTAGACAAGAACACAGTTTCTAAAAATAATCTTTATCATTGTTCATTCTCCATTTGCACTCCAAACTACGAGGATGTACTACTGTTGTTCTGGGTCAAACTGAAGACTGACATATAACGGAAAGAGTGTTCCAACTCTTTTTAACATGTCAAGTTCCAGTATATTGAAAACATTTCATTCCATAATGAAAGCATTGGGCAAAACTATTGTTCCTTTGATGTGAACAATTTCGCTTAATGTAAAAAGAGCTTGTTCTTTCTCATCACATTTTTTCTCCATGTATTCAAAATTGTGACTTCTTGCTTTGCATATATGATATTTGACATGTTTAGTTTTCTTTTTAAATTGTGGTAATGATATTGTAACATTTTTCCTCCAAAACATACATTTTTTTTTCAATTTTGACACAAAAAGGGCGCTACATGTTTGGTATGAAAGGCGTATTTGTAAACGCACTAGGATGACCTATTTATAGACATAAGATATTGCGCACTATTTCTAATACAGTTTCCCCCTTTAGAAAGTGGAAGAAATAAAGATAATAATAGTAAGAAAGTAAGAAAACGATATATTTGACACTTCTTTATATGGCGTACATTTGTTATTAGATGTAATACAATCAACTTAATACTTATACTACTTCGTACAGTTAAACAATGCATCGTACAGGTCATTGCCACTTTTTAAATGAAATAGTGCTTATCGATGAATATGAATTGATATTTCAATCCCGGTTTTGACACGGTCTAAACTCGTGACCATACATACGTCCTATGAATATTTATATATTTAGATCATAAGTGTGTGTTCTTAATGTCCATTATCGCCTGACAGGTAAAGTGACTTATAATTGTTTGTTTCAAGATTGTTTACTTCTGTGTTTACCTTTTAAAGTCTTTCGAATCGAAATTGTTTATTTTGTAGTTTTCGTTATCTTTTTCACATTGTCGAAATTATGTACAACAGCGAGACAGAATTGTCGCCAATGTCTTCCAAGTAACAAAACTTTATGTCATCAGTGTAATACTTGTTATCGTGTGATTTGTAATGGTCATTCAATGTGTAATATTTTCAGTAATCACAACAGATGGATAATAAAACCAAGAAACGAGAAACATGGAAAAATGGAAAGGAGTTCATGTTTTCCTGCATTGGTGTCAGTGTTGGTTTGGGGAATATATGGAGATTTCCATATATATGTTACAAAAATGGCGGAGGTAGGTGTCACTGATAGATCAGGGTATGCATGGACGTTACAGTCAATCTTTAAAATAGTTTTAAGAATTTTCACCAGTTGTTCATAAATAATCATGTATATGGATTTCTCCATGACAAAAGACTTTTACCTTCGATTGAAGCAGCAATGCAAATAGCAAACGAATTAACAAAAATCTGCGTGATTTGAGTAATAACATATATATTTATCATGATATATATATTTTATCAGGAATACTAACTACAGGTACATATCAATTGTTATTGAATTAAAGAAAAAGTCATGATACAAGTAAAAAATTAATTCACACTTTGGTAAGGTAAAACTGTTATTGCTTTAATATTAACTTTTCAGCAGGCCTAATGATATAAGTAACTTTGTTTAACAGGGGCGTTCCTCATACCGTATTTCCTGTTTATGACTATCATAGCACTGCCACAACAGATGCTACAGTTTTCATACCCACAGTTCTCGAGCCTTGGACCAGCTAAAGCCTGGGTTTGTTGTCCACTTTTCAAAGGTACTGTTATCGTTAATCTGCTTGCAATACTCGAGCATTTCTGTGACTTCAGAAGTCGCTAGTCGCACTTTATGTTGTTTTTATTAAACTATGGTAATATTACTAAATCAATTTTCTCTTGACTGTGGAAGACACCCTTTATCAGTGTGTCTGTGATTATGGTAGATTTCAGTCACACTTTATCAGCATTTCTGTTACTACGTAAATATCTGTCACGCTCTATATTAGTATTTCTGTGACTATGGTAGGCATCTGTCACACGATATCGCGTTTTTGTAAATGCGGTAAATCTCATACACGCTGTATCATAGTTTCTGTGACTGCGGAAGGTTATTATTATTATTATCATCATCATCTTAATGGCCCGTCAACACATAAAAGGTCATGAAGGTCATCAACAGGTGAAACAGAGCGATCCAAAAAGGAAAAAATCAAACAAACTAAAGGGCTAAAAATCTTAAATTGTTTTATTATCATAAAAGATTAAAATCGTAAGTCATAACCTATAACATAAACCAACATCTTTCAGATAACACAAACTTTTATAAATCGCAACAATTTCAAAAAGGATATTTAGACTTGTAACATTACGATAAACATTCCCCAGTAGACAGACTCCAATAGGTATCAGTCACACTTTATATATTTTTCTATTCTATGACTATGGTCTATTTCAACCAAGCTATATCAGTGTTTCTATGACTGGTATTTATCAGCCAAGCTGTATCAATGTTCTATGACTGGTATCTATCAGCCAAGCTGTATCAATGTTCTATGACCATGTAAGATATTTAGCACGTCATATCGATATTTCTTGGTTTGTGATATATGTCGGCCAAGCTATGTCGATTTTTCTATGACTGGTAGGTATCGGCCACATTATATCGATTTTTCTATGACTGGTAGGTATCGGCTATATTATATCAATATTTCTTTGACTGGTAGGTATCGGCTACATTATATCAATATTTCTTTGACTGGTAGGTATCGGCTACATTATATCAATATTTCTTTGACTGGTAGGTATCGGCTACATTATATCGATTATTTTTTGGTAGGTATCGGCTACATTATATCGATTATTTTTTGGTAGGTATCGGCTACATTATATCGATTATTTTTTGGTAGGTATCGGCTACATTATATCGATTATTTTTTGGTAGGTATCGGCTACATTATATCGATTATTTTTTGGTAGGTATCGGCTACATTATATCAATATTTCTTTGACTGGTAGGTATCGGCTACATTATATCGATTATTTTTTGGTAGGTATCGGCTATGCTATGATTGTGGTAAATGTGGTCATCTCCGTGTATTACAATGTTATCATCTGCTGGGTTCTCTTCTACTTCGGTACCTGTTTTACTGGTCGTCTCCCCTGGACTAGCTGTGATAATGACTGGAACACAGAACAATGTTATAGTCGTGTTCTTCCTTTCAATTCTTCAACGACAATCGCAAACCTAACGTCACCGAATGAATTATATGGAAACTCGTCAGTATTTAACCGTTCGATCCTATCATCAGGAATTGCTAAAACGTCCACGGAGGAATTCTGGGAGTAAGTATTAACAACACATATAAAACTTAGTGTTATGGAAAATGTAGGACGATCTTGCGAACAAATTCATTCAGGTGAGTCCTCGGCATACCGGGCCACGAATACAAATTACTCCTGACTCCAACAAAGCCATATTAGAACCCACGGCATGTTTAATTGAAACCATATCATTTGCTCCTTTTCGAATTAGACTATGAACGACACTTTTGCTATTGTCAACGGTTAATATAGTATTAACCAGTTTCCTTTTGTTAACTCTAACCCGCCCGACTAAGTTGGCGGGCGATATTCAATGGGGTTCCGTCCTTCCGGATGCTGCTTTTGAAGGACTGGTCGGATTTTGATGAAACTTGGTCGGTATAGTTGCTGGTCTTGTAATAACTACATATATTTTGTGTCCCTCAGAGATAAACACAATATCAACCACATCTATTATGTATTTTCTGATGTTGCATACGGTATGTATCACGTCTTTTTTGCTCTCGGTGGAAGACGCTGTATTTTTAATTTCTTTTTCTCTCAAAAGAAGAAAGACATTGTATTAACTTTATTTCTTCCTTTCTTCTCGGTGGCAGTAAGACATTGTAAAAACTTCTGTATCATTTTTTCTGTTCCTCTAAGTGGTTTCGACAGACATTTTATGAACTTCATTTCCTCTTTTCCTTTCAGTGGTAGGTAGATATTGAGTTAATTTCTGTATCATTTATTTTATCCTCTCAGTGGCAGTAAGACATTTTTTCAACTCCATTTCTTATCTTATTCTCATTGGTAGACAGCTTTTAGTCAGTTAGTACATATTAAACATTCTTAGTAACGATCATACATTCTGTTATGATCATTAATTTTTTTTCATGCTATTTTGTTAAATGGTCGTATACGAATACATAAACATATTCCAGGTACAAAGTACTGGAGTTGACAGAAAACATTGACAACATTGGAGGAATTCGTTGGACTCTGTTGCTTTGTAATGCAGCGGTGAGCACTGCTGTGTTCCTGTGTGTATTCAGGGGAATAAAGATGTCTGGAAAAGTATGTAACTATTTCATATAATGTTGTGAATGTTTTGTGATATTAGTAAATTAGTAAACATTACACGATGGGCGATGTGCGCACAATGTTGACACAATGTATACATGATTTGAATATTGTGCCATTGTATGTTGGTTGACATATATTTCGAAACGGATCATAAATCAAACGTGGGACAGGGTTTATCTATTTTCTACATATAAGATTACATCAAAGTAAGTTTCCTAATTATGTCATAAATTTACAGGGTAGACACACCAATAAGGTACAGAATGAATACATAATTACATGTAATTTAGAGTGTTTATGTTAAAAATGTCACACGTGACCAAGGTGAATATACATACATTATACTTCTTCACATTAAATTGACGTCGCTATTTTTCTCGGCAATGAATCTAAAATATTTTTATAAATTATTTCATCATATGCATCATTATCATTGTAAGCTCGTTAGACTTGTTACTTCAACAAGAAACAAACTCTACATACGAATTGAAAATGACCGTTTTTATTAATCTGACCTCTTGACCATTGTACATTTTCTTATATAGTGTGCTATAAATAGCAAACAATTAATGCATCTATGACCTAGTCACTCTCTATTAATGGTCAGCATCCTCTCATCTATATAATGAATATTGCTGAATGATAAATCCCATTCAAATAAGATTATTTTAGTAAAAACACAAATACTTCAGGTCAATCAATAATAATATTTAAATTAAACAACAAAGATAAGGCACATAGCCGTTTCTGGAAAATTAATATATTACATTAAACAAAGTATTATATGTATATATCACCAGTAAAGACATTGTATTTGTATGACTTTAGTATAACTCTCAATGTTTATATTCACTCATTATATAAACAATTTATTTGTAAACATTAAATGAACGCCTTCACCTGTAAGTCTGTGATGTTAAACTTTATGTGAGGTAGACAATTCGACGCATGACCAACTGGTAATTCGAAAATTATCTCATTAAAATGACTTTTATATACACCAAGTATTTTTAAACGTCTATGATTGCTATTTAGTCATAACCACACGAGTTTCTGTTTAATTTATTATCCATAATGTTAGTCAACCATTTATACAAAAGCGCATAAAAAAATCTGAGACCCTGTCTCACAGGTTGGATTTAGATTATGTAATGGTTCGTGTCGGCAGAAGATGTATGCGCGAAGTTTATAGTGCATTGTGCGTTACCAAACCTGTATTGTGAAACATCATTATATTATAATTTCATTGATCAAAGACATTTATTAGTTACAAATGTATAACTTGATATTTAGATGGAGAGATACAGTTAATTTGCATATTTGAAAAAAAATTGAAGTCGGAAACAATTATCTTTTTTTTTACTAGATCATGTACGTGGCAGCATCTATACCATACGTCCTACTAACGATTCTCCTGATCAAAGGTTTGACCTTGGAGGGGGCCGGAAAGGGATTGAGATACTACTTCATACCGAGATGGGGAGAATTACGTAAGCTGTCGGTGAGTCTATGACCTGCATTCCCTAGAAGGTTCTATAACTAGGAGTGTAGCTTATCCATATGCAAGCAGATAGACAACTCGAAAGAAGGAACATTTCCTTCAGACCGGCACTTAGAAAACACAAAATTCGGAAGAAGGATCTATTATTAAAGAGTCTATCATATCCTCAAAGCCTCCAGTTAGATAGCATAGAACTCAAACGAAGGCCTATTATAAAAGAGTCAATCATTTTCTATAGACCTGCAATTAAATAGCATATAATTCGAAAGAATGATCTATTACTAAAGATTCTTTCATGTCCTCAAAACCTCCAGTTAGATAGCATAGAACTCAAACGAAGGATCTAATACAACAGATTCTTTCATATTCTCCTAACCTCAATTTAGATAGCATAGAACTCAAACGAAGGCCTATTATAAAAGAGTCAATCATTTTCTCTAGACCTGCAATTAAATAGCATAGAATTCGGCAGAAGGGTCTTTTACTAAAGATTCTTTCATATTCTCCAAACCTCCAGTTAGATAGCATAGAACTCAAACTAAGGATAAATTACAATAGAGTCAAACATTTTCTCTAGGCTTGAGGTGTTTATTTTCTGGACTTTAATTCCTTCCGTTGTATTAAACATTTTGAGATTTGGGTGCCTAGACGTATTTGAAAACCTACTTGAAATTTGACGAAAATGTGAGTAAGCTGGCATAACTAAAAGAACCCCTTCAAAGTTTCATATTTTTTTGAGCAAAATGACTGGGAAAAAATGTCTTCCTCTGGGTCCAGTTTTTTTAAACTAAAATAACTGGTCTTCCCATTTGCGATTTGCTGACTAAGTGAATGCAATGACTGGATACGAATAACCTCCTTAAAGTTAAGTAATTTTGTGAGTACAGTGACTGTCCTAGAATCACCTCTTCTAGGTTTAGCGATTTTGCTAGCGCTATGATTGGTCTGGATTTGGAGGTACGAGACTGCATTCGGTTGTCACGTTTCCTTTAAGTACAAAGATTTGAACAAAATTGTCTAGGTTAGTAATGACAGGATTACAAGTACAAGTAGCAAAGATATTTTGTGAGTACAATTGCTGGCCTGAAAGGACATTTAATATCTAGTAATTATGTAGGTACAGTAACTACACAAGAAATACCTCTTGTAGTTGATTCGTGACTACATTAACTTAATAACAAGGACCTTTTTGAGGAAAGAGTACAATGACTGAACTAGATGGATCTCTTTGAGATTGAGTATTTTTGTTGTGAGAACGATGACAGAACACGAAAGACCGCTTTAAGATTTCGTAGTTTTCTGAGTAAAATGATAGGACTATTACGACCTATTTCAGATTAAGAACTTTCGTGGAACAAATGACCTCTTTCTGGTTGAATAATTTTGTGAATACCATTAAATGACTAGAAGACCTCTCTGAGGCTGTACTTTTCTGAGCACTTTTCGTGGAACAAAGGCTGTACTAAATGACCTCTTTGTGGTCGAGTAATTTTGTGAATACCATTAAATAACTAGAAGACCTCTCTGAGGCTGTACTTTCCTGAGCACGGCTGCTGGACTAGAATAGCCTTTTTGAGGTTTAGTAATCTTAAAAGTACAATGACTCTAAAAATTCAATATCTGGACTAGAATGGCCTCTTGTGAGGTTGAAAATTTTTTGTTATATCGTTTATACGAAGACTTGACTAAAATTATCTCACTGTAATATTGTGATTAAAATGTCTGGACTAAAACGACATCATTGGTGTATGGTAATTTTGCGACCACAATGACTGGACTAGAAAAAATTAGAAAAAAATCCTTCAAGATTTGTTTTTATATGAGGACAGCGACTGGACTAAGAGGACTTTTTAAGGTTTTATGTTAGTTAGTACAATGACTAGACCAGATGGATGCCCCTATCGCGAATGAATTTGTGAGGACGATGGATGGACTAAAATAACCTCTTTGAGGTTTAGTAATTTTACAAAGGACATAAAGGTTTGGTAATTGGTATGACCATCCTTAATGGATTACGACATATTTTGGGTTTCTTTATTTAAGTAAAATGTCGGGACGTGATTTGAAATGTGTTTTTAGACATAATGACAGTAATAGGACATCATTACCATATGTTGTAAGAACAATATCTAGATACGGGGAGATAAAAAAAATAAGAAAATAAATATGGGAATGTAATACAAATATCATCACAGTATGAAAAGTATGACAGTATGAAATCGCTTATTTCTAATTACTGTTTTTCATGGAGATAGATTGTTACTTAATTACATGTGATTAGATTTATCATGCGCCGTTCAACGTCACCTTTTCCGCCCAAAGGTATGGTCAGACGCTGCCGTCCAGGTCATCTACTCGGCAGGCTTTGCAGCAGCTGACCTTGTAACACTATCTAGTTACAACGATTTTCATCACAATCTTTATAGGTAATCTCATACGTTATACAGTCAAATGTCGTTACCATTGAAGTCAGAGTTTTAATCTAAATAAAATTACAAATTTCGTGTTTTAATGAGTTGTAGCATCATATTACAGGTACGTGACTAATATCTAAACAACACTTCATAGTAAATACTAAAAATGTTATTAAAAGTACATAATATGTTAGGACTGCATTGTCAATATTTTATCAGAAATATCTCAAAATCTTGGCCCGTTTTCATGAAACCATTATCATGCTCAAGCAAAGATTTTGTGCTCAAGCAAACTTTTTTTGTTATTCGCATTAATCATATAAAATAATACAAATGTCAAATATAAACATTGAATTTAATTTTGACTTGAAGCCCTTTCAATTTTATTTTACATCTTTGGCAAAATCAAGTCTTATTTATTAATTTTTTAACTTAAACAAGACATAAGACTTTAGCACAAAATCTATGCTTAAGCATGAGAACTGTTTCATGAGTACGGACCCAGGTGTCTCTTCCACGTGGATTCTGCTGCATCAGCAATCACATTATGTTGTTTTTTCAGGGATGCCATCATAATACCCCTTGTTGACGCATTCACGAGCCTCTTCGCAGGCTGCGTGATATTTGTTACACTTGGTTATATGTCAACGACTTTCAACATGGATATCCAGGATGTAGTTGCAGACGGTATGCGTGATCGTCAGATATCTTTTATATAGACATCACAGAAACAACATTTGTGGGGGCGGGATTAACGTTCTAGTTTCGATATCAAATTAAGATATTGTCTGCTTCTCTAGACATGCACTTATCATGTCCTATCTATCAGTAACCTGCTGCGACATCTCCTCGTGTGTTGGGAATATTTTAGGTAAAGCATGGGTAACAATGACTAGTGATAATTGTAAATACATTTTTCGTTCATCTGCAGTAAATTTGATATGGAACGGTGTACATTGTGACCCGGATGTGCCAGGTTACAACTAAAGGATTCGAATTTCAGTTGAGATGTTATTTATTCGTTTAATTATCTATTTTTATTGCTCGCTTTGTGCTATTTTTAAGAAACTAGTGAATACCAAAAATCGCAAATACATTTTTTTCATCAAACTTATAATGTGATTCATCCCGATAAGTTTTTCAATCGTCACAGATTCCCAATATTGGAACACTTTTAAAGAGATTCATAGCCTTTTCATAGACACGGTGAAATTATATCAAATGTTTTGATACTTATTTGGTTAGCTTATCAGAATAATAAGGAGAAGAAATGTGACTGTTGTAAACAGCATCAGTAAGATGAATTCGAATATTTGAAAACAAAGATTCTTATCTTTGAAACAGAATCTGACGATATCCTGTATTTGCAATATTATGCTCTGACTGATTATAATTAACTCTAGGTCCTGGGATTGCCTTTATGATATTTCCGGAGGCCATTTCCACCCTTCCTGTCCCTCAGTTGTGGTCGGCTTTGTTTTTCTTCACACTATTTACTGTCGGGTTAGACAGCCGGGTAAGGATATCACCAGATAAAATCAACGTCCACCTCTAACGTGTCATATCTGTCAACTTTATGATAAACATTTTTATATTATGTAAATTTTATTAAACAAAAATCTTCATTGTAATAAAATTGATAGTAAGGAGAGTGAATAAACAGGCGATATATAAAGAACATTACACTTACTTAAGGAGGCCCGTGAGGACTATTACACATGTTGGCGTTACTTAAGGAGGCCCGTGAGGACTATTACACCTGTTGGCGTTACTTAAGGAGGCCCGTGAGGACTATTACACATGTCGGCGTTACTTAAGGAGGCCCGTGAGGACTATTACTCCTATCGGCGTTACTTAAGGAGTCCTTGAGGACCATTACACTTGTCGGCGTTACATAAAGGGTCTCGTGAAGACCATTAAACATGTTAACGTTACATAAGGAGGCCCATGAGGACTATTACACATGTCGGCGTTACTTAAGGAGGCCCGTTAGGACCATTACACCTGTCGGCGTTACTTAAGGAGGCCCTTGAGGACAATTACACCTGTCGGCGTTACTTAAGGCGGCCCGTGAGGACTATTACACCTGTCGGCGTTACTTAAGGAGGCCCGTGAGGACTATTACACATGCCGGCGATACTTAAGGAGGCCCGTGAGGACTATTACACCTGTCGGCGTTGATTAAGGAGGCCCGTGAGGACTATTACACCTGTCGGCGTTACTTAAGGAGGCCCGTGAGGACTATTACACCTGTCGGCGTTACATACTGAGGCCCGTGAGGACTATTACACATGTCAGCGTTACATAAGGAGGCCCGTGAGGACTATTACACCTGTCGGCGTTACTTAAGGAGGCCAGTGAGGACTATTACACCTGTCGGCGTTACCTAAGGAGGCCAGTGAGGACTATTACACCTGTCGGCGTTACAGAAGGAGGCCCGTGAGGACTATTACACATGTCGGCGTTACATAAGGAGGCCCGTGAGGACAATTGCACCTGTCGGCATTACTTCAGGAATGTAATGGTGGTTTGTCTACAGACCAAATAATAGCTGGAAGTAGTAATCGTAGGAAGCAGTGGTAAAAGTAGAATTAAAATAATTAATGATTCGATACGGAACAATACTAACACATGACCATTACTAATGGCGCTGATAATAATTCATGTTACAGATTGTACACCTGCAGGTAATAAACGGTGCTATGGCAGATGTGTACCCCGACATCTTTCGCTCCAACTTAAAACTGACCTCGGCCGCAGTGTGTATATTAACGACAATTTTTGGAATACCTTATGTTTACCAGGTATATAATCAAACAACGTCATTTCATATACCGAAATTATCATACCTTGTTTATAAGCTGATGTTACCCCATAATAAACAATTCCGAACCAACACACCCCTCCCCCCTCCAACCTTAAATATGTTGCCAAAATATTAGCTAACAGATTAAAATATTCGTCATCAACTAACGAAACGATCGCTGATAAATAAAAGTGGAAGAATTAGTAACCTGATTAGTGCTAAATAACATTCAGGTATCAGTGATAAAATACAATAAAATTAATCCAATTAACATGTAAATGACTAATTAATGGTAATAATTAACGAAATATAAACAACGACCACGACGATTGCTTAAAAAAGATATAAAGCAGTCTGTTATAAGTCGGGTGATATGTTTCGGTTTTAGAACATTATCCTCTATTTACGAACAGGGTGGCATGTATGTTGTTCAGCTAGTGGATTGGTATATGGCCAGCGTGGCTTGTCTGTTGCTTATTATTCTGGAGAGTAGCGTCCTCGCCTGGATATATGGTAAACATAGTGCAAGTGTTATGCATGCAAAACAATATAAAAATGGAAGCGTTTTACTTTTAATATTTGAAAATAATATGTTACACTTGTAAGACATTCCAAGATAGACAAAATGTTATATTTGTCAAACAATATAAAAAAAATATAAGAAATGCTATACCTGTAAAACATAATAAAACAATATGCAAAATATCATATCTATGGAATAACATGAAGGTCATTTACATAATGTCATACTTGTAAAACAATATAAAACAATGTATCAAATGCTTTACTTGTAAAACATAATAAAACAATATACAAAGTATCATATTGGTGGAACAATATTCAAAGTGTAAAGCGATATAAAAATATACTTATAAATTAATATAAAAACATAGACCAAGAAATGTACAGTAAACCAACTTTCTGTTGCAGCTACTTACTTTATTACAAATTCGTGGTGATTTGCTTTCACAAAATTAAAACTACCATTGTTAGATTTTTTGGTTCGTTTCCACTAAGACAGCATCTGAATTATAGCCTTTAGTATTTGGGCAAATATAAGTAAGTGTCAAGGTAACATAGTATCCGACTGATGGGAGACCATGTGTCAAGGTAAAACAGTATCAGGCTGATGGGAGACCATGTGTCAAGGTAACTTAGTATCAGGATGGTGGGAGACCATGTGTCAAGGTTACACAGTATCAGACTGATGGGAGACCATGTGTCAAGGTAAAACAGTATCAGACTGGTAGGAGACCATGTGTCAAAGTTACACAGTATCAGACTGATGGGAGACCATGTGTCAAGGTAACACAGTATCAGACTGGTGGGAGACCATATGTCAAGGTAACACAGTATCAGACTGATGGGAGACCATGTGTCAAGGTAACATAGTATCAGGCTGGTGGGAGACCATATGTCAAGGTAACACAGTATCAGGGTGATGGGAGACCATATGTCAAGGTAACACAGTATCAGACTAATGGGAGACCATGTGTCAAGGTAACACACTATCAGGCTAGTGGGAGACCATTTGTCAAGATACGCAAAAAGTGACAGCTTGTGACCAGATTTGTGGTTTACTCGAGAACAACAGCATAGATTTGGTGTTTTACGTGGAGAATGCTTCACATTTGTTCCATTTACAGAAGATTCCAATACCATTGATGATGCTTGGCATTGTTACTGAATTGAATTTTTGTGTTCGCTATCAATTTTTCTTTGAAAAACAACGGATATTGCCACATAGAGATATCTCCATCAAAACATGTTTAAAATGCTATGATGACCCTGGACAAAAGTGAACATATTTCTATTTTCCTCAAATCTTGGCAATTATTTTTCAGGGGTTTACTTCGATCGCCAAATTTGAAAAATTCATTTCGCATGCAAACGAAAAATAGTTTACTTTATTCGTGAAGTAATAGAAAAATTGACGACTTCGTCAAATATCAGTACATAGTTCAAATTAAAAAAAGAAGCTTGTAAGTTTGTTTACTAAATAATTCAGACATCACTATATCCACATATCAAGTATTACATTTATTTCATCTTGAAGGCGATAGTGCCAATAAAACGGTAATGTCAATTACAAGAGATATGACTGTCGTCCAATTCTGGAAAAAGTTATGTAATAAATATTTACACCATCGTAAGCAAGTGGCATCACAATTCAAAAGGATATGTATCAATTCTAAGTTAATAATAAGGTAAAATATATATCCACTTAGGTTAGGGTGTGATGTTAGAAACATATATTTTCTATGTTTAAACAACTTAGACAGAAACTTCAAACATTTGCGTGTTTAACTTTTGTAACAGGGTCTGAGAGACTAAGTGAGGATATATCATTAATGGTTGGCTTCCCCATTCCTCGACTGTGGCAATTCTTCTGGAAGTATGTCACACCACTGACAACATCAGTAAGTATGCGTTTTGAATTAAAAAGGCATTCAACACGCAATTTATCAACCAATGATTATTGATAAATAGACAGGCAATTGCTATCTATAGGATAAATAATACAAAATATTTAGAACAAAATTCAACAAAATCAGACATATTACGGGGATATGTGAATGACATGAAATGAGCATCGCTGGATACATGCACATGTACGAAAGGCAAATACTGTCATGTATAATTCATTATGCAGGAAGAGCATCTGTATTGTTAAATATTTTGTACTGTACTAGTATGGAATATAATATTCAACATATATCGTAACACGATATGAAAAGACATCTCAAGGTGTGCAATGCTAAACACGCAAAGACTAGATATTTTACAAAAAATAAAGAGATAATTTTCTTTTAAAACAGATACAAACAAAGTCAGCTTTGCTTTCGTCGATGAAGGAGCAGACGCTTAATCTTCCGGAACACCTGGTCTTAATCCCTCTGTACTTTTTCAGGAGTCTCCGTGTAAATCTGTCTTTTGTTCATACTCTAACATTGTCTTCTGGAATTTGAGTTTGGATCATGATTATGTTGCCATGCTGGTATTTGATTAAGCAGTAAATTGCCAAATCATCACTTAGCCTCACCAGTATCAGCATATCACTCGTTTCAGTGTTAATATCTACACAAGACAAACTGAATTTATCGTGGGAAAATATCAAAGTTCAGTTTCTGTATTGTTATTTCAGCATTCGGCATTTTTGTTCGATATCTTTAGAAATTAAAGAACGTAAATAACACTTGACATGAAAGGTGAATGCAATAACTTTGAATTTGATAAATAAGTCATAAAGTCCACGTCCCTCAGTACATACACACATACTTAACATAGCCTCCGAACTGTGTCTGATTTAAAATGTACCCCCTAACACATTCATATATGTTGAAAGGCAAAGATGATCCTCGGTGCAATGCATGTGTTGAGCCATTCACCGTTAAACATTTTTATTTGACTGCGTTGACCATCTGTCTATTCGAGAATTTTACAAGTATGAAGACCCTTTTTGAAACTGTTGGGATTTGTAAAATTCTAGGTTATCTGAAAGGTGTTGGTCTACATAATATACTATGACGTACCATTTTCACCTTATGTGATAATATACCCATTTAAGATTTTTAGCATTTGTCTTGTGTTTGACGTTGTTCCCTTCTTTTGGATCGCTGTGTGTTTTATCGTTTGATAATGCATTTTGCATACATATAATGCAAACATAAGTATTTACAAATTATAATGGTTAAAATAAGTATTTATATTATAATAATTTATGTTCATGACCATAGCGACTATACAACAACTGATCCGATTACATATTGAATAAATTAGATGATCTGACCGTTCGAAAATGTACAAAGTTTACTTAGCTAAATATAAGCTATTAAATACCAATGTTAACTGTCTGCAAAAATCACGCACAAGGTCATTGACGCGTTTGAAAGAGTCAATATTGCTCAGCTTCTAAACGACTCTGAAGTTATTCAGGAAATTCATCGGCTGCTTTTTCCTTAAGTAGCAAGCTACTACCGGAATATATATATAGGTTAGTTGCTTATGAACTAAGAAAAATAAATAGTAAATGATTTATGGTACAGTATAGTTTTAAACAAGGGCTCTGAAAAGGCTAGGTGTTGGAAGCTCGACCAATATTAGGATAAAAAATTATCATATCTAAGACAAAGCTGCATATTGAATACATTGATATGTAAAATGTTTATTAATGGTTAACTTGTGACAATGATATCAATAATAGTGTTAGACTTGTCTACAATGTTTTATTTCAGTTCATATGGATAGTAAGCTTGGTTAAACACCGCCCTGTGACGTACGGAGGGATGTCCTATCCTGTCTGGTCTATTGGGGTGGGCTGGATTATCGCTGTGACGCCTTTAATGCCCTTAGTAATCAACATAGTCTACTCATTGTTGAAACATCCTGGTAATCTTACGCAGGTGAGGAACACTTGATTGTCAGATCTTATACAAGTGAAAGAAAAGTCAGGGGCGGGGGTTCGAAATTTATTCCGGTCGTCAAATTTGCCATTTTGGTAAAACTTTCCATTGCCAAAGATGAACTAAAATTTTTAATTCTTAACACCAAGATATTGTAGATTCAAATATTCTTTTTAAAAGGAATGTGCAACAATTATAAATTTCATTACCACGACGATACCCGCTCTTTTTTTAAAGGAAAATAACATTTTTTGTATATAATCCACAGAAAATTATTCAAACTTACAAAAGTGTAGGATGTCAGTAGTATACACATATTGACCCTGGCTAACATCCAGGAGCTGATGGGCGGAGCCAAATTGGGTTAAAGCAACAACAAATTGAAGGGTTGTAAAGTTGTGAATTACATCACCCTGGGGTTTATAGTATTCCATGGATGAAAATAACTATGGTTTGTATTAGAAAATAACATTTTTGGGCTTAATTTGTTTATTTTGCATTGAAAATAATCGAACTTGGGTGGAAATTTGGTATAAGATGACAGTGAAGTGATAAGTATATATTGACCCCCAGTTGTTGTGTCATCTAATATTATGCACATTTTACGCCGGCATTATATGTATAATTTAGTTCAAGCTATCTATTTTGTGTTTACAAAGTCGACAAAGTGACAGAAAACAAAAACCATTTATAGAACTAAGGTAGCCGTTATGGCCTTTGGGCCTCTCGCTGATTTTTACTTTGAAAACATCTCGACCTTTGACCCCTTGTTTCGCGTGATGTTTTGATGCGTTTATTATATATATATTTACAGAGACTTCGTGAATCCATTAAACCGCAACGGGAATGGACTAAAAACAAGGAGGAAGATTTGAAATCCCAACAAACTGACCAAGTGGCAATGCTAAGTGTTTGAAAATAATACTTCTAATCACCATGTGAAACCAAGATAAATGTTTTGGAAGCAAAGCAAGTTGTGTATATCATTCTTCTTTCCAAATCTTCCAACAATATTCTTCAGCACTGAGGCCTGATAAGTCGAAATTTTATATTTACTTACATAAAATATATGAGACATCTCCTCGTGGTCTCAAGCTTCCTTCATTATGACAAAACAAAATGGTTAAACATGATCAAAGATAAAAGAAAATTGTGCCATTAATGCAATTTTGTTCTGTTTTTATTCATTCTGTACCCTACCAGTCCATATACAAAATTTCAAAAACTTTATTCTCTGGTTATGATGAGGTAATGGATAATGTATAGGATTGATATCCCAAACCTTAAGTTGATTCATAAGATACAAGTACGAGGCGGAACTAATAGAAGAGCCTTTCAAAGGTCACCAAAAACTGGCCAAGACTTTCAGTTGCACTTTAAAAACACGAAAATAATTTAACATGGCCATTGTATATACCTACCAGAACTAGAAACCAAGTAACACGACATGCTGTTCTATATGTCGCTTATCTGTTGAGCTAACAAACTCATGAGACACAATTTGAGATGTGTAGGTTAATTACATAATGTTTGTCTTCATCATCGTCTTAGTGGGAACATTCCATTTTCTTCTGAGATATGATGTGACCAATGTTTTTTACGTCTATATAGTTCAGCTATAGTTTTTCTTATAATTGTTTCTCATTTGAGAACATGAACATACTTCGATTGATCAAGATTTATGTGAGGAGTGACATCGATGAAGAGGAAGATGCTTAATCCTCCTGCGTACGTCGTATACATTATTAGCGTGTCACACATGTAAACATCATTTTGACGATGAATATTATATTTTAAGTGTAAGGTAAGTGTTAACTTTTTTCTAGAAATTCAAATTCCTAACCAGGACATCACCTACAAATAGTATATTCCGATTTGTTCATATAACGCTATGTTAGACATGACGTTATACAAGTTATCTCCCTTTTGCTGCATATTACATACATCACGAAATGTTACAGAAGTAAAAATAAGTGGTTTGGGTTAGGGAAATCGGTACATATTGACCTATTCAGTTGTGTGTCTTTTGTACAAACTTTGAGATTTCAGGTGGTAGACACTGGTAGGCATTTAGTTTCCGAGATTTAACGTAACCTGCTTGCCATTTTTAATTCGTTTGAATAGTGACACGTCCAGAAAATACACAATCACCTGACGCTGTGTCAAGGAAATCTTGAGATATTGGGAATACATTTTTTTTTATTTCAAATGTAATCATTGTGACCTTCGGCCGTACAGACAAAGTGATTACTAAAATCTCTATTTAATGGCGGTATAATGATATATGTATGGATCTGGGGTCCTAACAAGCCATCTGACATTTTGTATGTCTTTCTGAATCCTCCTAAAAGACAATGGCGATATTTCTTTCAGTCTTATTATAAAACCAACATCAGTTTACGTTAACAGGTAACTTTACATTGAGTAGTTTTTGTTTTGTGTTTTTATGAATCGTTAGTCATCTTGCACTATTCAAATAACTCATTGTATAAATTATAAACTGAGGAGCGTTTAACCGATCTATCACCGCTATCCTTCGGTAACGCAATGTTCTCGTCATTGACTCCGCCCTCATTACTCAATGGTCCTGAAAAAAACGAACTGTGACAAAGTAACAGTCAGTCATCGAAGTCTTTTGTCACTTATTTCCCCCCTCAACCACCTTGTATTATTCAGTATTATGATTTAGTTAGCTTTTTTATTCTCGTGATAGAGCAGATCAAATTATGTACCAGGAGATTTGACACAGTGCCCGGCTTCGTTGTCCTCTTTTTTGGGTGTTCATGAAAGAATAAACAATAAATAGCTGTAAACGACATCTTCAAATACACTGTAATTAAACTGTTAGGGTAAGCAGAGTTATTCCTCTTTTAATCGTGTCACAAGATTTTGTCACATGTCATGCTCTGACGTCCCATTACATTATAAGAATTACTCACTTTTTACTCAACCATACGATTATAGATAAATGTGACAATGAGAAATAATTCTGAAACAATTAGAGGCCACAATTCTTATCGTCAGTCTTTTTATTGTAATGTAATGCTACAATACGATAAGAATGACGTCCACTAATTTTGTAAGAATTATCTCCCTTACTTTATATGTCACACCTCGCGTAACTCAGATGAAAGTAACTTGCAATTAGAATCAGCAGGTTATTTTCAAAGTACTTTAAATAATTTTCTCTGATGTTTCAGACAAATTAACATTCCCCTTCAAATAAAAATGTATCAAATGTACTTAAAATTACATTTGTTCGCTGATTGCTCGTATGTGCTGCCACCTGTAAAACAATATATATATATATATATATATATATATTTGTACAGAATCAGATTCTTTCCAACGCATTACTTAACCGAGAAAAAACATATAAGCAAATGTCTTCAATTATACAAAAGGAATTAACATCCTTTGGAATTTAGAATCGGACCCAGTCAAGAAAAACAGACGCGTCAGTGATTCAAGTAGGGAAAATATTGCGATGCCTAGAGGTGATTGAGAAAGCCTGAAAGTAATGTCAAAATCAAAACAGAGAAGTACGTGAATCATTGGGCCTAGGGAATTAAAACTATTCATATCATATAAACACTTTAAAGACAGCTAATTATCTTATCCTAGATTTAAATGTTTCTCTTGACTTGCCGATATATAACAAAAATAGGAGATATTATTATCATAACTACTATCTTAACGGTCCGTCAACACATTAAACGTCATTAGCGCCATCAACCGGTAAAACACTCGGCGATCCAAAAAGGAAATAACATTAAACAAACTAAAAGGTAAAATATAAACACTAAAAATTCTTAAATGGTTATTTTATCACAAAAGATTAAAATGGTACGTCATAGCCTATAATATAGACCAACATCTTAACGATAACCTAGGATTTTATAAATCTCAACAGTTTCAAAAACATTTGTAACGTTACGATAAAATCTTTCTTGAGTAGACAAATGGTTAATGCAGTCCAATAAAAATGTTTAAGGGTGAATGGTTCATTACATCCTATGCACCTCGGATTATATTTGCCTTTCAACATATATGAATGTGTAAGGTATGTATGGCCAATCCGAAGACTTGCAAGGACAACTCCGTCTCGGTGGTTGTCCCTAAAGCATGGAGACCATTCACCGTTGATAGGTTATATAGGAGGTATTGTATCTTACATATATATATCTGGAAGATCATATATATTACACGGTGCTTAACCAGAATAAAGTTACCTGTTCACTGGTCATGTGCTTTCGTTACACATTGATTACTTGTGATGACGAGAATTGTGTTGTTTTAGTTTTATTTGCACACATGTATACTGTCTGATTTATTGGAAAGAGTAAAAAATTCGACGTCTTTCTACAGATGTCCGTTGCTCGCAAACACTTTTGCACACATACACCATTTAATTGATGTATGACTTGACCGAAATGCACGATCTCGCATGCTGCTTTAGGGAAAGGGGTTTAAAACTTTAAATCATACGTGGTATGCACGTATACATGTGCATAATGCCCATTTCAAGTTATGTGTAACAGTGCAAAGGGCGTAACCGTTGCCTTCCTAGCCAAGCGGTGAAAAGTCAATAGAAAATACTAAAAACATCGATGAGCGAGACTGAATGACAGATTGCTCCCTGTATAGCAAAGCGCGGTTAGGAATGTATCATGATATGATGAATATCGGAACACGCCGACGATATACGATATTTAATTAATAATAGCAATAAGCTAACTACGTAATTTGAAATAACGAGATTCGACGATCTGCTGGTACAAAACACAAACATTGTTTTCAAAATTGATTTATTTTTCTATCGTGTGGAATTGATTTTGGCATAAGGATTGATATTCAACCAACGAAATTTACAAATAAGGAAATTTAAACGCACATACGGTTATGCATTGTATACCATACCGGATGTACATGTATTTTCTATATCCCAAGTATGTACAGCAATCACTTATAATGCCGTTACGAGTTTAAACTTGTCTTGCGACAAGGGTCAGAGCACACCACTACTGTACTTGTACAAATATTTAAGACTAGAACGAAATCAATTGAAATCAATAAAGATATGTAAAGTGGGTATAATTAAGGTAATCAGCGATGTTAATTGAGTTTAGTATTGTTTACTATAGCACCTGTTTCTATATATCGGTATGACGTCACTGAACACATGTTATGGAATTACATAAAGCACAATAAAATAAATTAAATTAGAATGGGTTTTCTTAAACCTTTGGATAAAGCAAACAAACTAAACAGGCATTTCCTGTCAGTGTTTACACACTAGACAAAGGTTATCTAAAATATAGGAAATACTCGGAAATTCATAATGTTCATATAACAACGAAAGGGAATTGAAAAGTTTCGTCTCAAACTAGACACCAACAAAGCAACGGGACCAGATTTCATCAAGTCTTAAGTCCTTAATGAGTTAGCTATTCAAATATCGCCAATCCTTTGTCTCATCTTGCAAGGATCCCTCGGTGCCAGCCACATTCTATCTGACTGGAAGACAGCAGATATTGCCCCTGTGTATAAGAAACGCTTAAAACACAGTCCAGAAAATTACCAACCAATATCCCTCATATGTATCTGTTGCAAACCACAAGAGCATATCGTTGTCAGTAACATCATGAAACATGTTAATTCTCATCAAATCCTTTACCATCTTCAGGAAATCCCGGTCACGTGAGAGTCAGCTAATTGAGTTATGGATGATACTACATGTAATATAGAATTGGGAAGTAAACTGATTTTCTAATCATGCACTTCAGTAAGACATTTGATTAGGTCAGACTCCAACTTTTAATCCATAAAACTAGGAACTATGGCATAATTGGGAAAATAAACACATGAATAGAAAACCCCACAACAGAACTCGATCAGTAGTAGTTGAAAATCCAA